TTGCTGCAGGGACTTCAGGGATAACAGTTGCATACATGCAGGCAACTGAATGCACACAATTCATTGATGGATGCTCTCTCTTTATGGGAACACGCCGTTCCTTTAATGGTTGTTGATGAATCTTCTTCTGAGTTATAGAGGGGTTATGTGTTTTTGCCACTGGGTAAAAATGCAAGTGGTGAAGCACAGCAGAGACAGCGAGTGTATTTAGGTGTAATTATGGAGTAATTATCACTGCTGTGCACTCAGTCTGCTGCAGCTGACCTAATCTAGCATTTTAATCAGCATGAAGGACAAAAGCATCCCCACTTACTCCTCCACTGGTGCAGCTGAAGCGACAGTGCTGATGGGCCCCGTGCTGGATGGCTCCATGTTGTTTTGACTTGTGCAGACACACGCAGGATGTGGCCCCTAGCCAAATCCTGTGTGTGTGTGTTACTATGTATGCATGTGTGCGTCTGTGTGTGTCTGTGCGTGTATGTGTGTGCTCTTCCTCGCCCTCTTATGTTCACACAGTGTCACATTGTGCACAGCAGAGCACGCCTCAGCCTTTGTGTGCCGTTGCCCAGTGATCACAAAGAAGGGCAAAGAGAAATGTGCAGACTGTGTGAGTGTTTGTCTGCTCTGTTTATGTTTTGGATGTGAAGTCTAGTTTAGTTCACTCACTGCTCACATCCTCAGACAACTAAAGATCCCCAACACTGTGTAAAAATAATAAAATCGGTGGATATTGAGGGAGATTTTTTCTATATTTATCATTTATCTCACAACTTATCACACCAGAGTTTCCAGGCCTTTAAGTTTAGCCGTAAATACTCTGGCAATGAAATCAAAAGAGGGGACCTTGCACCACCTTATGCACATCTATTTACTTTTCTAAAAATGCTGCTTATTTTGATAAAGAAATACAGAAGGAGACAAGTAGAAATATTCCAGGGGAAATGTTGCACACACAAGCACCACACGAGGATTATAATAAACAGATTGTTACGCATCCACGCTGCATCGGCTTATTTTGTATGACTTGCTCCACAGACACATTTCAGGCCCCTCCTGGTGAAGTCATAAATATCCCTCCTACCAACAACACTGTGATTTTTCCACCCCTTTGAAAAAACAAGCTTTCAGAGGAGCGACTTACCACTCAGACTGCAGGGAACATTAAACAATTGACTGAGCTTGTTTGTGGTACTGTTGGGGAAGCACAAGGTCAAGAAAGAGCTCCAGGGAAGCCGTAAGTTTTAGCCACAGGCCTGACTTTGGGGTGAGAGGTCAACGCACACACACAGAGGTTGTAGTGGTGGAGGAGATGCAACTGAGCCTGGAGGTACAGGGGAAGAGCAGTGCTGGTTGACAAATGCTGAAGGTACAGAGGATGTGTTGAGTTAGAGTTTTTAAAAGCATCATCAAGTGAAGAAAAATCATGGCAAGAAATAAAAAGAGATCCCCAAGAGACGTGCAGCTGAAAATCAACATTTGAAAACAGCAGATTTCACTGCAAAGCTGATACAGAGATTACAGGGTGATTGGGAGTGCTGTGTTCATGTTCTGTTAAATCCTATTATACAACCTCTATCTGAGCATAAAACTGGTGGAACTGGGAATTGATGGGTTTGGATGTTGTGGCTCTGCCCTGCACTGCGGCAGAGAGGAGACTCTTCTGTCTGTGTTTGAGAGAGAAAGAGAGACAGACAGAGAGAGAGAGAGAGAGAGAGAGAGGGCTCACTGCAGGACTCGCACCTCATCACACCTCATTTGTAATCAAAGATTAGCACACATCTGCACTGTAGTGTGTGGATGGATACATGCAATTTAGACTGTTGATGAGAGCAGTTCTTCATCGATATGGCAGAAATGAATCTGCCAGCAGAAGAATAAGAAACACAAAGTGACAGGTTGTTCTTGGTTTGTGCTGCTTGTTGTGTCCTCAGTGAGAGTTATCTGAGGACCCACAACATGATTTTAATGTTACACAACAGCGCTGAGGACAGTCCACTCAGTGCTGCGTAACTCCCCTCAGATCACCCTCTGTACACCAGTGCCCAGATCTGCTCTGCCTGAACACTTACTCACTGGACTCAAATGTTCCCTCTTGGATTTCTTTCTGCAAACTTTTAGTCACAGACACGCAGCAGACATCCTGTTGGTGCATCTTAAACCTTCAATGTAGGGTTTATTTATTTTGTCTAAATGTCTAAATAAAACCAGGAAGATATCCATGCCTGTGCGTGAATTACAAATGGATTGACTAGATTTCTAAAACCAGGTGAATTGACTTTGTTTGATCCCAAACCAAATGACCCTTTGTTTCAGACAAAGACCCTTGAGGAGGCAGCTGTGTATGGCCCAATGCAAACGAAATGGCAGGGTGGAGTGTATTGCGATGCCACTTCTCTTTGGCCAAGCCCTGGAGGTACGAGCCACAGCTGAGTGGGCAATTGAACTCTCAGTGCCTGTCCAGATGTTGGCCTAATTTACTACGACCAGCAGCGTATGTGGCCCATTTACATGTCCTCACACCCTGTGTGCGCCTGCATGTGCACAATGTCAGCCTCTACCTCAGGTGCTCCACCATCCATCCCACTGGCATCCCATGATTCATTTGGTTTCTTGCAGCAAGAGATTTGCAGTGTGAGGAAAGCCCGGGTTCAGCGTCCTTATTTTGGTTAATTTATAGTCCAAAGCAGGTGGAATACAAATGCCATGATATCATGTCACCGCCGAACTTCTACCTCTGCAGCTGCTGCACCAAGGTATAAATGTGATGTTCCTTATAATTCGTAACCCTAACTTCACACACTGAGAACCTGATATAATCTTTTTGTGGCATCAGTACAAAAGAACAAAGTTATGTTGTGACAACATCTTAAATATGAGGTCTTCAAACTCTTTTAGCAAGGCACAATTTTGTTTATCAAGTTAATTATGCAAGAGTTATGACTGAAGATTATCCAGCTTACCAAAAATTGAATTTTGTCAACAACAACAAAAAAAAAGAGAAATTGTTACAAAAAAGATAAAAAGTATGTTTATTCAGACTGCAGTAATATGCTGCAAAGAATCAAATGACAGGAACTGTTCCCAGCGATCAGACTGATAGCTCAAAGTCTCTCAGCTTGGGTTTGATTTTAAATCCTCCAACTAAAAAGTAATGTTGCTCTGCATGAAATAACTAAACAGACTCTGGCTATTGCCAGCTTGTGAATGTATTGGAGCTAACGTCAGAAAAGAGCCAATAGAGTCAGAGCTAAAGCTAAATTCACTTTAATTAATACATACTAACATTGCCTCAAGTCTGCTGGGATTGCACATTAGTGCCGTTTCCCAAAAAGTTTGACTTTAAAAAAGATTAAAAAGCCTCTTATTCCACGAATTTGTCCACCTGTATGGCAGCTTTATTTAGAGCCTACACTCTTGGAGTCTAAGACAAATTTCCTCAAGGGGACAAGAAAGTGTAATATCGTATGGTATTGTGTCGTATCATATCATATTGCATCGTATCGTATTGGATTCATGATCAGTCAGTTTTGCTATAGGCATTAGTTTCAGCAAAGCTTCTTATTCTATATAATCAAAGTCTGCAGCACCGGAAAAGAGTCTAGAAACACGTGGCTTTGTTGGCCTGATGGCAACTCAGCCACAATCTGTGGCAGTAGGCCAGAGTCACAAACCCCGCAGCTGTTTGGATCCAGATGTGGTGTGTTTGAAGACAGAAGAGAACAGCAGCTGGGTGTGTGAAGACAGGAAGATTTCCAACAACCTGTAAGAAAAGCAAATCTATCTATCTATCTATCTATCTATCTATCTATCTATCTATCTATCTATCTATCTATCTATCTATCTATACATCTATACATCTATCTATCTATACATCTATACATCTATACATCTATCTATACATCTGTCTGTCTGACTGACACATCTGTCTGTCCTCTGTGTGTTACCATCACACCCTTATCATTGAGACTATGATACTAGTTTAGGGCTGAAGTAATAGAAAACGACAGTAATCCCCGGTCCACAGGGATTTAAATTTGCTCTATCATTAATCAGACATACTCTGCATGCATTCAGTGACAAGGAGTCTGCTGGAGAAATTATTACCAGTGGTAAGAGTGGAAAAGATTAGCACCTTACTTCCAGCAGAGATGATTGAAGTGAGCAGACATCTGCTCTCATTCATTATTTCACTTTGAGAAGTATGTGATGAGGGAACTGACAGCTCTGTCAATAGTTGATGCACATTTTTTCTTAGTATTGTTTATGATCAATAAGCTTGTATGACACGTCTGAGCCTGTTGTTTTGAGGCCTGTCCGTAACCAAATTTAAAGTGTTTTGTATTCCCCAAAATTTAGGGTTGGACATTAGGGATGGACGATAAATTATCGTTCACAATTTATCGTCAGAAAATCGTTCCACAATAAATATTTGCCATCTCACGATAAACGTGATAAATGCAAGTTGATGACTAAGCGCGAGCGACGGACTCGCAGCCATAGACCACACAGAGCAGAATAACAAACAAAAATGGCTCAAGGTGGTAAAGAAGACATCTCTGAGGCTCCACATGAGGGATTTCCTTTAAGATTGGGGCTTAGATGAGTGCAATCAGGTAGTCAGGTCACTAGTTTTCGCTGTAACCTACCCCTTAAACTTGTGGTTAATTATCTGATTTGACTATGCCAGCTGGTGTTCTCAAGACAGAATGAGTCAAAAACATAGATTGAAATTATGTTTTTTATCGGGACTTTTATCATTATTGGCAGAATGGCAAAACTTCTTGTGATAATTTTTGTAGCCCATATTGCCCATCTTATTGGACATAAAATAAAATTGGAAACTGTTGGTTGTGAAACTGCAGTTGGTTGTGAACAAATATTTGCAGATTGACTACAGTTATACAGGAAAAACTGGGCCGATGTTGATAATCCTCCTACACTGGAGTGTTGTGGTACTGAACTGAGATGAAGTTATGATTAATATGAAAGTACAGCAATGATTCAAGGGTGCCAGACAGGGCAAGCTTTATTCATCACAGCAAAAACAACCAAAAAAAAGTGAAAAAAAATCCATTTTCGAAAATAGATTTTTTTTGTACATGTCAATCAGAGGAAAGGCAAAAATAAATATTCACATCAACAACAATATTTTCATGTGACATCCTTAATGATGTCTTCCAATGATTATAAAACAGGAGACAGTATGCACAATCATACATCTTCAATAGGACATGCTTAGGAGTTTTACTGCACCATTGTACCACACACTGACTACAACACAAAGGCTGCATATTAACTGACACGGCCTCACATTTATATCGTCTTCAGAAGGCATCAGCTCTCCAACACAAAGTCAAAATATCGACAAACAAGCCTGGCGAGAAACGCATAACTACTGTGAATGTAGTTATGGATATGGGAGTGTCTGCATGTGAACCAACCCCCTCTGTCCAAACAACAAACCCAAGAGCCCGTCTCTGTTTCCTACGCTGGATTGTTGCTATGGGATGCCGAGGAATGTTGGTGTGTGACCATGAACTGGAAGCCTTTGTGCAAATCACCACTTTAAGTTCCTCCAACTACTAGGGTCAGTCCACAGCTGCATAAAGACGCTACAACCATCTCAGAGGGAGAGATTTTCAAGACAACACAGGGACTCACATCATGCTTTAAAATACCAACAAACAGGCAAAAGAAAAGAAATAACACATTTACAAAAGAAATTACAAAGAATGGAAAAATAGCTTACTTTGGACAGGGCCAGCCTGTGCATTTGGATTCTTTTTTCTCTTTATTCCCACATTATTTGATTTTTCCACACACTAGCCCTTTTTGACAACATGATTGTTAGACTTCTGCAGGTTTCCTTGTAAATTTCTAATTTGAAAATACTTACTGCTGTTAACTCACACCAGTAGTTCATTTATGTTTTGCCGCCTCAACTCTTTTTTTTTTACCATGATTGTATAAAACTGACAGCAAAGTTTTGCATCTCAATCTTTTATTTAGTCTGTTGTTCTCTCTTGAGTACGCACTGATTTATTCCATGACCTCATTGGTGTTTCTTTAGTTCAGTTGTTTCTTACACAAGGAGGAAGAGGGGCAAACACATATAAGCAGCCTCTTTGTACAGCAGAAATGGTTCGATGTCAATGAAGCACTTAGGCGTGACAGTTTTCACAAAGCTGCATCTTTATTGCCGCACAGGTTACCTTTGCATCACAAGCGCTTAAATCATTATTGCTTTATGGTTCGAAGCACAGAGATCGATGCTGCACACGCACGGAACCATCAAGCCAAAAAAGATTTAAGCTCAAAAAAGGATCAAATTTTTGCTCGCTAGTCATAGTCATAGTAACCTACAGTAAGTGCTTTGTATTGAAGGTCGATGGATTAACAAGAGTGTCCGACACAAAACTTCGAGTCGTCTTGGAAGAGTAGAGTCAGGTTGGAAATGCTACATTGGATCAGTGTGAATGAGAGAAATTCACAGGCAGATTACAAAAGTCAAAAATCAATGACTTCTGGGAACATGATATGAAAGGCATTTTTCAGAACTGCATACCATTTGAAAATTGTTGAAGACTCAACAATACAATGCTACAAATCCATTTTCTGAACAATATTTGACACAAGTCAGATTTTCCCATTAGTAATAGGCCAGACTTGAGGAGGCATAATCCAATATGCCTTTTCACACTTTAGACTGATAACCAGCCCCGGATTCATTAAAACCACTCAAAAGCTCACAGCTCTGAGCCGTTTGTCCCTCTGCTTCTAGACACAGCAATAGCATCTCTTCTCATCTATTCGTGTGTCTGTCCCTTCACCAAAATAGCATTTTAAAATAGACTCCAGCTGTGACAGCAGAGACATCGGAAGCCCAAATAAACTTCCCTTTATGTTGAGTTTGTCCTCATTTTGTTTTTGTACACTCTTCAGACTCCTCCACTTTTCGGTGAAGCAGTGCTGTGCAGAGCTTCACAACCGTGCATCAACAATGTATGCAGGTTGAAACAGTCTAGACCGCTGTCTGTCTGCACAGCAGTCTGCGCTTACAGCTCTTATCCCTGCTCTCATCAGCACTGAGAAAATGAGAACAGCTCTCTGGGTAATAGCTTTCACTGTGCTCTGTCCCTCTATACTCCTTCTATATATCTGTGCTGTCACACACACCTAAATGGGGACGCCAGCTACAAGCTATTTAACGCCTAAAGAGGGATTTACAGGAATTTGCTCATTCCTGACAGTTTCATGCTAGATATAGTTTTGTACTTAGAAAAATATCCATTGAATCGTCCGAGAGGAATGTACATCACAAGATTAAACGCCACACGTTGCACATTTCCAATTTGGACAAAATCAACATGTGCCTAGAGATATTAAAATCAGACAGATGTAACACCGCTGTAGTTGCATACTGTTTACAGGTGAAAAATGGCAGCTCCATGACCAAACCTGGACTGATACTGTTTTAAAGCAAGATACAGTGGTGGAAAATGATGGATGTGCACTAAAACGTTCAGTAGCAAGTGGACAGCGAGGTGTCCACCTCTTCTGAGGGGTGTTTGGTTTCTGGGGGGGTGAGGGAAGGATCCAGCAGGAAGCCCTGATAAAACCATCGTGCCCACCCCCCCTTCCCCGAGACCAAAGAGGCAGGGGGCTTGGGGTTGCATGTGATGACTGTGACCCCCGAGGTCTCCACTCACATGACCGAGCAGCTCTTGGCCTTCTCCTTCTTGAAGGTGGAAGAGAGCAAATCAGACTTGCTGGGCAGATGGAGGAGTCTTTTGGAGAGGCGCCTGGTGGGGCTGGATTTGGGGAGGGGCTGCAGCTTGTTGATGCAGGCCATCGCTGCTGTGCGGAACACACTGTGGATGCTTTTCTCAGAGGTGAACGCAGAGCACTCCAGGTAAGCCTCTGCTCCCAGCTGCTTGGCCATGGCAGAGCCCTGCAAGACATGGAGCTATTAGAGTGCTGCTTTTCACTTTTCATACATTTTTATTTTCTCTTTATCAACATAGTCAATATAAAGTGTGTCTAACAGGAGGAAATTCATGACTGTAAAACTCATAGTTAGGGAGCAGCTGATACTTTCTAATCATATTTTCATAATATGGGGTTGAAAGTGAGTTGTTGTTAACCACAGAATGAAACTTTATCATTAACATTTGTCCAACAAAAGGAGTATAGATTTTTTTTTGCCAATACTATGGAGCCCAAAATCGAACTTCTATTTATGTCAATGTGTGGTATTTAATTCTGCGTTACTTGTGCATTGTTTCTCAGTCTTACCTGCTCATACGTGATGGGAGTCTGTTTCTGATTGGACAGCTCCATCAGTGTGCAGACGTCTGTGCGCAGGTCAGTCTTACAGCCAATCAGGAGGATACGTGTGCTTGGACAGAAGTCCAGGATCTCAGTCTTCCACTGCAGTCACAAAAAGACAATGAGCTCATCACATCTATTTTTCAAAGTGAGTGGTTAAAAATAACGTGCGGTATAAATAGTTCTCTCTTACAGCACACTTTCATGAAAACAGTTACAAAAACCGCTGACAGAAACAGGGATTTGACGGTGATCTACATCATACCTTCTTCAGACTGCTGTCTACAGTATCGGGGCGGCTGATGTCAAAACATAATAAAACTGCATCTGAATCGCTGTAGCAGAGGGGCCTCACGTTGTCATAGTATGGGGAACCTTAGAGAGAAAAGAAAAGAGAAATATTAATACAGAAAAAAAACATCCTTGGAAACACACACACATATACATTTCTTATGGCATCGCCAACTTTAATCTAACAAAATCTGACCACAGTAGCTCAAAGATGAGGGCATGTTTACTGCTGTTGTATAAGTCCAGAGTTTTCAAGGGTCTTTTTGTGTATAAACTTGTTTTCTAATCATTTTTTTAAGGTGAAATAATTATTTTTAATTACTTTAGACTTCTGCATTTAAAATGATGGTATGGAAGAAGGTCGTACCATTACAAGCGAACCATCAGATTAAAGCAGAGGTCCAGTAGTTTAGCCTAAAATTAATCTTAGTTAACCTTCCTTTAAAAATGTGTGTTGAAATAATCACATTACTCGATGTATAATCGGTTAATGCTTTACACAGATTGTTTCATTGCAGTTGGTCAGGGCAAAAGTGTGTTAAAGCCGAAGACAGAGGCAGAAACTAGAAAATACAGCTGAAGGGATTATGTACTATCAGCATCACTTGTCTGGCGGGGCCTCACTTTTCTGCCCCTTCTTCCCTGCGCCTGCATCTTCTGATGGAGAGAAGATGACAATCAAGCTCTAAATCCTCATTGATCTCCTCTTGCAGTAGATTACGCAAGTGGAACGGTGGGGCTGGGGGCAGGCAGACGCTCCCACTCATGCTCAGAATCCTTAAGTAAACCGCCCACCCCCCAAAAAATCCTCTGCTAGGCGCGCAATACCTCCAGTCCCCCTGTTACCACAGCAACAGGCTAGGAATCCACCATCTACATCCGCCATTCCTCCCACCTCTCCATTAAAACTCCCCTTAACTGCCAATCAATCATTTTACACCGCGCACCACCCACCCACCTACTGCTGGGGACATTCCTCTGCTCGGCCACCAACATTCACACATGCTTACGGCACACCTGATGACACACAAACACACTTCTTAAATTTGGCAGCAGCCAGAGGTGCAGCCAATCTGTGCCGAGATGAAACAGAAGAGGAGCAGCTCAATGGGATTAACATGTTTACTTTGGGCTCGGTGTGAGTCCCAGAAGGGATTCAGTGTTCCTCTTATAGCTTCAGATTACAAAGGCAGAGTAATCACTCATTAGATATTACACAAGCATGGTAATTGATTTACAGCTTGGAAAACAATGCATCAGTACAAAAACATATGAAGAAGCACACACCAACATGGATGTGTGCATACAGACTCGATTCATGAATACTTAATGATTTTCCACATTATCAAAGGGTAAAACTGATTTTGCCAGCTGCTGGGCGCTGTGAGTGGAATAATGACGAGCTGTGATGAAATTCCTCGAAGCTAAATATCCAGAGAAGTGTAAACATCCTGGTGGAGAAACAAAGGGACACGCTTGTTGTGTTCAAACTGTGCTTTTGGCCTGAAAAAAAAAAAAAAAATCTTTGTTCTACGACTTAAAAAACAAATTTACCGAAACACTCTGATCAAAAGATAAATCACAACAGCCGTATTTTTACAAAAGGGGGTCAGACATCGCCGCATTAAAAAAGCAAATTCCATTATCGGCCAAACACCTTTAGGGTTGGAGCACTGAAGTGATGACCGTCTGTGAGACAACTTTGCAGACTGTGAAGATTGACACACATAAGAATTAGGACAATTAGCACAGCTTGGATGATGATCCTGCATGTGTGTGTTTGTAAGACTGTGTGTGCGGTGACTCCGAGGGATCTCGCAGGAGAGAGTCAGAGGTAAGATGATCTATAAATCTTCTCAATCTCCCACAACGGGTTATCACACAGCCGGGAAACTGGGTGTGATTCTGCATTAAATGGCCTCTGATTTAAATGCAGAAATCGATGGAGAGCTGCACAGAGGGGTCCCTGAGCCTTTGCAATTAAAGCTGACAAATTAGTTACCCTGCCACTGGGGGACTGAGATGGAGGGGATGTCTAGGATGTTTTTTTAAGCCCACTAAGATTGATTGTTTCTTTCATTCTGGACAAATGATACATGATTCAGCCGGCGTATCTGAGCTTCCTTTAGAGGGGATGAATGAAAAACAGATATGAATGAGTAAATATTAGTTTCTTAAAGTCCACGGCATGCTGTTTGGGTATTTCAGCAGCCTTGGAAGACTCCCAACACTCCAGGACATGGTTTCTAATCCTGGAAGAAAAAGCTTTTTCCATTGTGGCTTGAAAAAGCCGGTGGGAGGAGGAGAGTAGGGAAAGCAGGAGTGTAGCCTACAGAGGAAGATCACAAAGAGCCCTCCTGTGCCATTAATCCTTCACCCCCTGCAGTCTGATATCACAGAGCACCAGTCTCTTCCCCTCCTCTTCTTTAATGCAGACCGTCTCAGATAGACAGATCAATGCACACACAGAGCCTGAGCGTACTCCCAATGTTCCCTCTCTTCCTTTTTCTCAACAGTACGCATCTCCGACAGATGGAGAGTTTCTGAGACATTGAACACGCAGAGAAAGAAAAACAGAACCAAATTCCTGAGGCTGAGCTCGGCTTCATCTGTCTCGATGATGGGATGCCCAAAGCTAAGTGTCAGGGTGGAAAATGGGCCAGCGCAAAAGTAGGCCTCTGAGTCCAGGACGACAGGTTCATGTTGGAGCGTACAGGTGGGGGAGGGGGGAGGGACACTCCACTTTTCCTGCAAGTGTTTTCTTTTCTTTTTTTCCATGTGCTAAATCAACACAGCAACAGAGCTTCTGCTCATCATTAGCACACTCCTCTCCTACAGTGAGAATACAGGGGTCAGACAGATTAATGATCTGCTCATGGTATGACTCACAGATTTGGGGATGAGAGTAGCCCGGCCCCTCCGCCCACACTCAGCCAGCTGGGAGATCTGCTGCTGCTGCTGTTGCTACTGCAGACGATAACTAAGGATTTCACGTCCAGACCCCTTAAAAATACCCACACTACATTGCGTCAGATGGTTGTTCCAGGGGTCCACATGCCAGAGCCGGTCAGAATCACAGCTTAAGACCCCCGCAGGGAGCGAGAGGCCGCGTCTTTGCTTCTGTACATCACCACGTCTGAGCTGTTAACAAGCCTTACTCTGTAACTCCACACCGTCAGAGCTGATCACACTTTGCCTTTTTGAAGTCAAACAACAGATTTGAAAAATTTTAACTTTAGCCTTGATGCGCTGTGTTTAAATGACAGATTTTTGTGTTTTTTTTTTTATAGCAATCCTTATTCAAAGTTATAATCCTAGTATCAGGATCAGAAGTCTGTTTACTGTTGATAATCGCTGATTTATCTAATCTGATGAATAAAAGTCAAATCACACATTCTTACACCTTATTTTGAAGAGATTGTCTGATACTATTGTCTGCTTTGACGATACCGATCCTGGTACTGAATAAGACACAACATAGCTAAAAAACATGTTGCTATCTTTGACCAGCATCCCTCCTTCTGCTAGCACCACTCGGTTGTAGTTCATTAATCAAACACAACAACATGAGACAAAGATTTTGAGGAACTTTTGGTTTGTACTAATCTTGGCGCCCCTGTGGACCAAGTACTCTAGCATGTGTTATTAGTGTTTCCTGGTCAAATATCTCATGCTGCTCTCTTTTGATAGTTTAATGTCACCTTCATGAAGTGTAAAAAAAGGCTGTATCAGTATCAGGAAATGAACCCCTCTCTCTCTCTTTCTCAAGTCTTCTGGATGATTGTTGTGTTTGCTTTTCAGGTCATGCAGAGACATGGATATACAGTCTGTTCACAAACAGAAGAAAACTCCTCCAAGAGCTTTGAATTATTATACTTTTAAATTGGTGGTTTATTTATTAAGACCCAATAATATTATAAGCAGAACTCAAGACCAATACTGTCTTCAACTTTTTCTTCTTCACCAACTTCACCGAAAACAAAAACTTTCTGAGAAATGTGATGGATCAAATAAACATGTAACTTACCAGAAAATGATCAACACATCATGCTTTGTCTAAGTATTATTTGTTCTATCTCCAAAAAAACATGAAGCTCAAAATTGACAAAACGACTCAAAAGCTGGATGCCCATTATAAAGACCGGAAAGAAGTCCATTTAAATAATTATTTTCTGTAAGCAAAGCCTCTATTTTACAACAACACATTTTGTTTTATCAGCTTAGATGGATAGTGGCCTCATTATAAATCACTCCCATTCATCGATCATAGAAAGAATGATAATAGATACAACATCCTCTTAAACACAAAGGTTTTATCAGCAGGACCGTTCAGCCTGAAATAAATTACTCACTTACAAGCTTCATTATTACAGCCACTGGACAGTTTAACCCCCCAACCCCCAAATGCACACACACACATACACAGAGAGAAATGAACGATCAGAACAGGCTGATTAAAACTAGTGGATTGATTCTGGTCTGTAAATCCATGACAGGGGCTGGGAGAAGGAGCTGAGGATGAGTTCAGTCGAATCGATGAAGGGGAGTGGGGATAATGAGGAGACGCTGGAGCTGCAGCGACACAACTCCACACAATTACAGCAAATAAAAGAGGAAAGGAAGGAAAGAGAGAAGAGACTCCATTTGAACCACATACTATTTTTTGATTCTATTTTGGCTAAACTTGATCTGTTAACATCATAGTGGTTTGCGTCTGTGACTTGGTTTGGACTAATTTCTGGTGTTGTTATTTAACTCAGAGCTAAGAGGGACAGTTCTGTTAATGCATAGGTTATGAGAAAGAGACCAAAAACAACGAAAAACTAATACCAACAATATAGAAAAGGGGGGAGTGGGATCCCAGAGGCGTGTAATGAACACTTAAAATGAAAAGAGGAAAAAGAAAGACAAAAAGGAAAAGGGAGAAAAGAGAAAGCTTGGGAGAGAAATGGGAAGAGAAGTGAAGAAAAGAAAGAAATAGAAAAGATAGAAAGAAAGAAAGAGGACAGAAAAAAGTAAAAAAAGAGTTAAGAAAATAAAGACAGAGAGAAAATAAAGGAAGATTGTAGAACAAAGAAAGACTTCTTTAAATAAAGAGACTGAAAACTGAGTAAAAAAAAGTGGAAAGAAGGACAGACAGACAGAAAGAAAGAGTGAATGAGTTAAGTGTCTCAAACTGAGTGGGTCAGTCAAACAGGGTGGCCTATTGGTCCCATTCACAATCCTAATCCCCTACATCATGCTCGCCTGGTGGGTGACCCGGGGCAGCATATGGAGGGAAATGCAGGTCACTAGTGTTTTGAGTTGCCTCACGTCTGTCTGCTACAGAAAATCTTCCTGCTCGACAGGACCCCTCTTTGTGTGCATCATCGACATCATCATCATCGTCATCATCATCACCCAGCATCGGGCCAACTTCTGCCAGCCAAACCAAAGGTTCACAGTCTGGGATTAAAAAGCAGGATTTGGTCTGGGGGAGGAATTACACTCAGATTTTTCCTCTTTCCGTTTTGTAACGGGGCTGAAAAAAATCTGTGAGCATAGCGAACACTGCATCATCTCACACAAGTCTGTTACATAAAGGATTTGTTGTCCACAGACACTAGGACCCAATGAGGACACAGATATGCACAGCTTGAGTGTGTACGGAGAGGAGAACCATTGTGCAGTGAGCATGAAGGGAATCAAACAGGTGCTGCGGACGCGTGTACACAGTATCCAGGTCAACTCTCTAAGCAGCAGATCCCCGTGGAGATGCACAGTGACACATTGACCCTGTTTTTCACGCTTAGTGTAAATGAACATATGATGCACAAAGTCAGCAATAAGAGCGAGTGAAGCGGAATAATCACTCTTTCCGCTTAGTTTCCACTGAAACACTTTAGATACAGACATAAAACTTGTAGATAAGCCAGTGATTCAACCTGCCATGTGCAGCAATAATACATAAGATTACATTTAATATGTTCAAATTGGAGAATTAAAAACTGAGCCATGCTGCAATGCAACAAGTGTACAGTTACTATGCCTTTGCTTGAAAACACAAATACAACTTTTATCCAGTGTCACGCAAATGTCATCTCTTGCTCTCTGAAAGAGGAGTATCTAGGCAGAAATTCTTGTTGCAGCTCTCTTTTCTGCACGGACAGACCCTCATTACATTCACAGCACACTGCCTAATATATCCCAGCCTCCTCCAGTGCTGCAGGCAGTTTGCAGGCCATGATAGGACAAACAGGCAGACGGACGGACAGAAAATCAGGTGATAATCAGTTTACCTGAGGTATCCCACAGACTGAGCTCCACGCGCTGCTCCTCCAGCTCCAGACATGCTGTGTAGTTTTCAAACACCGTGGGCACGTAGGTCTGTGGGGGCAAATTAGCAACATGGTGCCATTAGTGGGGAGGTGTCAGTTTGTCAGTCAGTCATTTGCAGGTAATTTAATTTAGTCGGATAAACACTGAAACGTGAAAACAGGCACTCGGGGACTCGATTAATCCATTAGCTGATCTCACATTCTCTCAATCTGAAGGAATCTCTGATCAATCAATCACATGCTGCTGCAGAAAATATGCAGCAACCATAAATACAGCATGACGCTGTCAGAAATGCGAAAAAATGAGACTTCTTGCAGTTTTAGAGCTGATAGTTAATGCATTTAAACGTATTACGGTAGATGCATATTATATAAACCAAGAGCAGAAAATGAACATGCGCATGCAAACTGTGGCTCTGCAGCAGACGCAGATTTTTTTACAGCCGCATTGAATCACTTAACAGACTTTTAAAATCAACACCGACAACAGAGAAAAGACGAAACTTTTGTTGATTTTTTCACTGACAAAGGTTTCATTAAAGCTTACCTCTGGATAACAATCCTTCGCCAATACTTGCAACATCGCCGTTTTTCCGCATTGAACGTCTCCCACAAGCACCAGTTTACATCTCACCACCAGCGGCTGTGTATTTCTCCTTTCCTTCATGGTGTTTGCGATTATGTTCCAGTAATTTCCACTCTATTTTACGACAAAATGACAAACAGAAGCAGCAGAGTAGCTCACAAATCGTCCTCGTGTGGCGCACCGCTTCGTTGTCGCTGTCAGTGGAAGCTCGTTGTGATCTGACTGAATTTACCACTGCGGCTCTTTATACAGGCGGGCATCAGCCAATCAGAGCTCTCCATTCCACAGGCTTTTCAACATCCCCTCACTGCACTAAGAAGATGTTCCCAGAGAGCAGGAACACGTTGTTTTGTCAAGGATGAGAGAACAGCTGCTTTAGCTGAGATTTTGGTAAGATCAGGAAAACATTGCGAGAGACTTTTTTTGTCCATGTATTTCACTTCAAACTACAAGCAATGTATATTTATGCAGATGTTTACTGCCATGTAATGTGCATTAACATCAGATTTGAAAGCAGCCTTGTCACTGCAGATCTTGTCACCTGTGGAAGCTGCCACTTGGCCTGCTGCAAATTGATTAATGAGATTGACTGGACTGGCTGGATCAATAGTATATCACTGTCTGAGGACAATGGGGTTGATATACCGATCCACAGTGGAATAATCCTAAAGAGAGTTGAGTCAATGTGTGATAAACAGCTTTGCTTCTTCTTTTATGTTTCACAACTGGTCAAACACAGCCTGTGTGTTTAAGCTAATGTCATTAGTTTTCAAAGAAATAGGAGGTTTTTTTAGTGTATTCAACAATGACCTTAGTTGATTGGGTTTTTTTTCTGAAAGGTTATCATTAATCCACACCAACTTCAAACAGATGTTAAAGAGCAAAATAAGATATAGATTTATTTTCCTGACCAATTTAAGGCATCCTACGTGGGATTTACACTTTTCCCACTGCATAATTTAACAGTACCAAACTAAAGCGATCTTAGTACTATGTTGATAATATTGGCTCATTTTATTTGAACAAAGTAGTGGGCCACAACATCATTAGACCACTTGGGGTCCCACCCTGAGCCTGACATCAGAAGAAAATGGCCACTTGTGACTATAATCAATATGCAGCAGTCTGACCTGTGTCAATGTGACTCTCAGTATAATCCCACCTTGGTGGGGTGGTGTGAGACCCCTGATAGGTGACCAAATCGACTGCCTGCTGGGTCAAGTCGAAGGCTTTTCCTCTCACTTGTGCTTGTCACAACCCTTCAGACTCTGAGGTGCAAATTTTCACACCCCGAGGGTCATTACAGTATGGAAACAGCCCTTCATTGATAGGAAAAGAAGAATTAAATGGTAAAAGTCAATTAGCCTCCTTCCTCCTGTGTCTGGCAGTATACTGGCTAATTTATTTACTATTTCCAATCAGAGCCGTCGCAGTTTTTGCCCCAGTAGGTCAAAGCAATTTGCCTTTGTTCACAAACAGCCCATATCATTCTTCCCCCATGCTAGGATCTGTCTGTGTTTTACAGCCCAATATGTCTTGTTGTCATCACACACAGCACCAGTGGAGGGGGAAGTGTCTGCAGGCTGAAATGAGAAAAGCTGTGCTGTTAGGTTTTCATTTAGCTCAACAACAACAACAACATTTGAACAAGTGCACTTTTTATCTTCATCCATGGACCTTATTTTAATTTTACACAAATATTAAAACTAAATGTTGCTACATTCTGTCAGTCTTTGTCAAGGGTACAATGAGTTCCAAAGCAATCAAGTAAACAGAACTAGAGTTATGCTGGGTTCAGAGTATTTTTGCACTTTGTAACACTTCTCTGGTGCTGGCCAGCAAAAGCAAAGTAATGTTGTAAGAAGTGAAACAGATTCTCAAAATTATATTTATGATAATGAATTTTAAAGTTTTAGAATATAAAGTTATTGATAATGCATGTTTCTTTATCGGTGTAGATGTAGATTACAGTCAGATCTTAAATCATGGTGCTTCTTCCAGAGAAAAAAAAAAGTATCAGAAAAGAAGAACATACAGACAAAAGTCACCTGCAAGAAGATTCACACCGAGCTGCTAAAGGTATTCGCTCTGTTAATAGCATTAGGGTTTCTTTGGGGTTCATTATTCATGGGGTTTTAACAGGGACCCAAATTATCTGTAGTGGTCTCCCTCTCTCCAAAACAAACAGTCCTGGTAATGAGAGCCAGTAAACATGGAGTAAAGTAGTTTGAAGTTAAAAAAGTAAAGCAGTTTGAAGTGAAAAATCTGTGTTTTTCACTTCAGTAAAGTAGTTTGTTGACACTGTGAGCTGAGCTGTAGGTAGTGGTCTTAGGTCAGTTTTTGGTGGTTTGAGTTCCCGAAGGGTTTTCACAAAAAATTCTTGCTCACCATGTACAGACCTATGATGAATTAGAATAAAACGCAAATATAAAGTTTCTGATTAAAGAGTGTTATGGTTGTGTTTTAATGCTTTTTGGTTAGAATTCAAAAGCTGTAAACTCTTATGGAAAGCTTGTGACAATAGCTGTGACACCTAAGAGGAGGGGGGTTCCACTGAGATGGACCCAGATTTTTGTAAGACACAATTTGTAATAATAAAAAATATATGTATTGAGCACAGGGAGACAGAAACAGTGAGAAAGAAAAGTTTTTTGGATTGAACTCTGTCTAACCCTTTAACAGTAACTGCAATGCATACGCATGCATGTCTGTGTAACCCCTGCAGAGCTCCTCTGATGGGACAAAGGAAGACAGGTGGTTGTGAATAATCATCAGGAATAAAGTGATACCCTCCAATATGGCTGATACCGGAAGATGAGAAGGACGAGGTGGTGGAGGACACAGAGAGTGGGAGGATAAATATTAGCTGGAAGGGTAAGCACTGACACCTTAAAACCATCACACCTCCATGTATTTTGTGATAGTGTTGGTAATTATAACCAACACAGTAACACCAGTCTACACATGGCTTCAGGGAAAGAGGTACAAGCTGAGTCACCGACTTTTTCACAAGGTTTTCGGATAGGGAGAAATGTGAAACTTCCTTGTTAGCCCTCCACAGACTCATCAGCAGATGGTGTTGTAACCTTGAGTTTCTAACTTGACTTTCTAATATGATATTTAAAGCAAACCACATAAAGCAGACGTGAGTCGCAACAGAGGAGATGGAGATAATGATAAGCCACTAATAAATGAAACTCTGCAAAACAAGCACTGGTCAGACAGTGATTGATTATCATGAGTGGGATGATTGAAGAAGTTGAGAACATGTTATAGGGTTATGACATTAAAAGCCTTTCTTTATGAACTTTAAAAGGATATATCCTCATAAATAGGGCAGGTCTTTTATTTACTTTTACGGCCTGAAGCATCAGGCCTTTATATGAAGCAGGCTTGTTTTAGAGGCAGGCCTTAATTTCAAATTCTATGAGTTTCAGAGATTTATAACCGTTTAATTCTTTATCTAAAGTGATGGCCTTATTCACTGAATCTAGCCTAAAAGACACTGTGTAATTCATAAAACTCAAAGGGTTAAGTTGAGAAGGTAGAGGGGGAGTGTTCAGATTCAGGTGGTTGTATCACTCATTCTAACACAAGGGACCACACAGGAGAAGAGCTGTGCTTAAGTGCACTGGTGTTCCTGAAAGAGCTGAGTCTTCAGCTTTCTCTAAAAGGTAGAACTCTGTGGATCCAATACAGTGAGTTAGCTCATTCTACCAGGAGGGATTGTAGACCAGGATGTGGGGCTGCAGGTACTGAATACTGGTCTTAAGTGAAGTTATTTCCAAAGAAGGCTAGCAAAACAAAAATTATATATATTTAAAGTTGAACAGTTAACTTCCTCAGTGTGTATATATTCTAAACGCTATGTTATATGTTTGTGAGGTTCAGCTTGTCTGTTCTCCGTAGGTTATTATTCTAGGATTTTAGATTGTCCAACTCATACAGCATGCTTGAAAGCACAGATGTGCTAATACATGCCCATGTCAGTGAATCCAGCTGGAGGGGAGTCAAAACTGCCATGTTTTAAGATTTTGTAAGGTACCAGTCAGTCAGGGGCCCGAAGCATCATCCTAGCTCTTCTCCCCCAAGCAGCACCCCCAGATTTCAGTTCCTCAGCTCCACAAAAAGAGTAAATTTATCATATTTTCCTGGTTTGAAGATTTATGTCTTATCTCATGCCCATCCACAACAAGTCTGGAGCTAAATAAAAGCCAGGAAGACCCCACATTTCATTAATTTCATTTCATTTCATTTAGTAAGTTATAATCTGAACTCAGAAGAGTTCTCTCACATCTCAGCACTGAGCAACAGCAATTTTCAGCTTGGATTTTTCAACTTCTCCTTTACAGAAGTCTGACAAAGACTGGATAAAACTGAGGGGAAATATGTTGTCCTTTCACAGAACCCAAAGAAGAGCAGAAAAGTATTCTTGAGAAAAATCTTGATTGACCTAAACATTGGAAAATATGATCAACATGTCCAAATATTTCTGTTTTTATACAATGTAACCTGAAGGTATAGACATGCCTCTCCTGCCCCCCTCTGGCGGCTTGAGAAATCACTTCAGAGGACAATAAAAACCCCACAAGCAGACAGAAATGTTACTTAAATGTGTTTTATTCACCCCCTCCTTCAAATGTGCTATAGACAAAAGATTCACCCTGTACACATCACCATCAGACACTGTTGGATACTAATCTTGTCGACTTGTCAGAAGCTCAGTAAAATGTTAACATCATCATTAGACCAGACATCTTGTTTAGTTTTTGATAGGGGTACAGCATAACGTTTAGTGCATTTATTGCATCATAAAGCAGACATAGAAATGATAGTAGTGCAATTATACCTCATCATACCCGAGGAGATATCTTGATAGTCTCAGCCAGTGTCTTGTCAATAATAGACTTTGTATTGCATACAGAATTTAGGCAAGTGAAACACAATAGGAAATAATAATCGTAAAAATTTGTGCTTTGGACATATAAGGAAGAATTTGTAGAAATTTCCTGCAATAGAAGTAAAACAAATGCAAAGAGCTTGTTTTTTTTTTCTAATCAAACAAGAAACTGTGCAGAAGTGGTAGTTATGTATCTCAAACCTGGTCCTTCAGAAATGAATGTGGGTGTCAGTGGAAGCAAACTTTACTGTGGGCTTAAATAACTGCAGTGCATCTTTCTAAAAGGAGAGGAAAATATATAGAAACTCATGCTCTCTGAGACATTAAATATAGATTTATGTGCAGTGACTAAAACCCCTCTCTGCTTTCTGTCAGCATTACTTGTTTTTGTGCAATATGATTATAGTTATAATATCTGCATATTGAATATACAGTATGTACAGCAAAGCCTGGATAATGTATACATGTTACTGGTTATGAATGTTGTATTAATTACTCTGGAGGGTTTGTGGCTCATGTCAGGATGGTCCCTAAAAGCCCTTCTGATGAAACAGGAATACAATATGTCATGCACGTATATTAGATTATTTACATATGTGGTATGGTAACTGATTGCTATATTTATATATGACAAAGCAGATGCATCAATGTGAGATTTTCAGAGCTGATTGAAATGCATTTGTTTGTACTGTATGACATAAGGGGGAAAACAGGATAAATAAATAAATAAATAGATAAATAATGTATACATGAAGCTTTTGGAGTTTGCAGCAAACATATATAAACTGGAAGTTGCACGTAATTTCTATTTATATGGCGGTAAATGAAATAGTTGAAGTTGCAGTGAGCTGCAGGTAATGACATATATTTACCACAAGAGGTCACCCTCCATATACTCAGGGGCCTGCGTAACTTCTGCCAAAAGATTATGAAATAATTTACTGGCTTATTGGGAAGTAAGCCTCGCAATCTTTTGATGTGCTTAGAGACTCAGTGTCTCTTTGGCGGTGATGAAATCCTTTCACAGACGCAGCACAGTGGTGCTGTGGAGGGCGGTTGCATGAGCATGCAAAGTTGCTACTTCTTTTCACCAAGTTACATAACTCTGAGCCACTGTTGATGGATGAACTTACCCGACTATCCAAAGAGAAACTAGGAGTCTATATTCCACCTTCTTATTTAGTTACCACCACATTACTTGGCAGATTCATGTGAAATGTAAATAATGCTACCGATATGAAAACAAAGGCAGATATGATCCTGACTGTGCAGTTCATGGTGATGTGGTTCTTTTAAGTTAAGTGCTTATATCACAAAGTATACATTCAGCAGACATGCTGAGGCAACATGTAACCGTATTATTAAACAACAAATCTATTTAAAATCATACACTACATCTACTCAACAAGCTGTTTTTATGGTCCTGAAGATCAAGTCATGTATGTTCAATATATCACAGATGTAGTATTTGTTCTGCTAGAGAAAAATACAATAAATAAGAGTAGATATAAATACCTTGAAATTATAATTTACATCTGAGCGGATGGATGGGGTCAGTGTTCCAGTATCAAACTAAGATTTTTTTTTGTTATGAAAACCATCATCAGGGGAAAGCTTCTACTAAATTTTAGCTGCTGCCAAAATGAAAGCCTGAGACTGAAACTAATGTATAGATGACAAGATACTTTAACATCTGAAAATGAGATATCAGTGCATCCTCTGATATCAGGTTATGCCACAAATTATATTTCTGGATCAAATTAAATCAGACAGAAGAATTTAACCATCTGCATGTTACTGTTACCATCTGCAGTTTGATTAGTCAGACTAGATGTGTACCTAGGGCGAAAATATAACATGGTTTATGTATGTGTATTTTTGGTGAAAGGGCATTTTTGTCTGAGGATATTAAGTGTCAGTTATGAGATTTCTACAAACAAATAAGAATTATTGCAAACAGTCCCCTCTAAGCTGACAGAGCAGCATTAATACATTCACAGCTGTGACAGATGGATGCAGAATGTTGATGTGGAAGCATGCACTCGACACGTATGTGGTTTGCATCACTGTTGTGTACAGATATGTGACCGGCAATAATGAGGAAACAGATTATTTAGGGTGGTCTTTTCAGCTGCAGCAAAAAAAGTGAATAAAGTATTTGAAAAGCTACAGGATAAAGAGGAAGACGTCAAATGAAAAAGTTACTTGTGCATTTCAAAGTAAATATTTGGTTAAACTGGAATGAGCTCAGAGAGAGCCGTAGAGGTGGAAGACATAAAGAACTGGGTTTGTGTCATTCTCTCAAGAAGCCATCTTTGTCAAAGAGGAAACCCTACTATGAGAAGCTACTTTAGTTTTGATCTTGTGTTGCTATGCTACAGTACTTTTGGCTAACATCCTCTGACGTCACAGGTGTGTCATTTGTCTGGGTATCAGTCGCACCTGGGATGGCTCAGCTTGGCCTCCAGTGTGAGGGCAAAGGAGTAAGGTGAGCTCTGGGTGGGTGAGGGAGGAAAAACCGTGGTGTGCAGTGACTGCATTGCTGTACTGGGTTTTGTTACCAGTATTTGTGCAGCTGTAGAAAGCGGCCCTGAGTTGTCGTGTGGCGGTGGAAGCAGGGGGCTCTTGTCGAGGGGGCAGCAGTGAGGTGGAGGACTCACCGGATGAACCTTTCTCTCCCTCTTCCTCCTTCTCCTCATGCTCCTCTCCCTGTTTGTGTATCTCCTCTTCTTTCAGCTCACCAGCCTCCTGCTCTTCCTCTCCTGAAGGACCCTGCTTTTGTTCTTCTTCTTTTCATCAGAGAAAGTGGTGGCTGGCTCTGGAGATACGAGGGCTGCTGCTGCCCCCTGGTGGCGCCCTGGTCCCTGTGCTCTATGACCTCCTTGTCTGACCCCAGCCGACAGCGCAGGCTGCTGCTGGTGGGGGAGAGGGGGAACGTTTCATGAGAGATTATGGCACCTGAGCCAGTTGCAGAGGAAACCAACACTTCAGTGTGGAAGTCAGACAAGTTTGTACTCACCAGTGTCTGTGGTGGTAATCACTCTATCAACTCTTGAGTCTCTGAAAACTACAGAATGGAGACAAAAGTGATAAAACTGATTTTCTACAAAGCTTCTACAACAAACTTCAGTTGTTGTTTTGACTTACTTGTTGGCTGGAGTTAGCTGAGGGTGGGGTGATCACACTTTGGTCCAATAAGGGGTTAACAGGGGCAGAACACGGGAGATGTGTAGCACGCCAGTAAATTTCCAGATACTCTGCGAGGTGTTCGCATGCATCCTCCAGCTGATTCTCATCCAGGATAACATCAAACATCTCCTAATGAGGAACACAAGTGATAAAATAGTCACATTACATCTCTGAGTTTGAATAAAGTATCACTGTAAGAATTTAAGGAGCTTTTCCGAGCTTGACTGTATTAAGAGATTAAGGCCATGTACACACATAGCCTGCTAAAATGAATATATTTTTATACGATTCGGCCTGAAAACTGTGCTTTTGGAAAACTGCAGCCAAAGTACAGATTTTGGAAAACTTCAGGTTTGTGTTTACGTGAGGACATAGATAACCAGAGTTTTAAATTCTCAAACGTCAGTGTCCTCGACAACTATTTGATAAACGTCATATACAATGCACCTTTGTTTATGTCAGGCAGTGGATGGCACAGATATATGCAGAATATATTTTTTGTGAGGAGCAAAGGAGAATGAGTGCTTTGCAGTCAGTTATTCTACAACAAATAACCCTTCCTCCATCTTTCTTATGTCTTATTGATTTGATACCCCAAAATGATGCTTAAAAGCAATTCCACCTCTGTGTCTGTCTACACAATCGAACGACACAGGGTTATATTTCATGTTTGGAGAAGTGACGACGAGAAAGGGTAGTTTGCTCTGAATGGATAAAATAGGTCTTATTTTTTGGCTAATACTACCAACTCCAGGTCTGGCATCCTTATGACCGCGGTCAGTAGCAAACTCATGCGGTTTTGTGTGGATGGGATTTTATTTGAAAACGATGATGTGTGTACGTGACTTTTTTCTTTTTTTTTAAAAAGAGGGGGTTGGATATTCGTTCATCATAATAACCGGCTATGTGTGTACATGGCCTAAGGATGAGTGACATACAGGCGGACATTGGGCAAGCTTGTCCCCTGCCATCATCTGGACATTCAGGTGTTTGCTTTGCGACTTCCCTCGAGATTTGATCAGCCTCTGAAGAACCTGTGAGATGAAAATGAAAGAGAGTAAAACAAATAGTTTTCAAAGACATCTTCAACTGTAACATTTGATCTCCGAACTCTTCTACCTTTGGCGAGGAGACTTTGACGTATACAATAATGGGAGCCAGGGAAGTTTTGAGGAGCTGTGCTGGGTGGTTGATGGTGTCAGCATCCAGGACGACCAGCTGAAGAGATTTGGCTAGCTCGAAGATCCTCTCTATCTCACTCTGGACCTCAGCTGCAGCAAACCAAAGAAGACAGGGATTTAACATGTCTCACAGAGGGACGGGGCCTTTTGAAGTTCAGTGGAGACGTGGCGTAAAAGACGAAAAAGGCATCTATTCTTAGCAGGTTTTATTTTTTATAGAGCAAAAACAGATCAAAGACAAATTGACTGTCACTCACCCAGACTTGAGCGTGTGTTGGATCTCTCCATTATGGCCTTCTTGTTGAGCACTGAACGCTTTGCCAGTGACAGATCAGCAGTCACCCGTGTAATAGAGATCCTACAGGAGAAGTGTCTTATCACACCACATCCACAACTGCTCCATTTCAAAGGATGAGATGAACTTGTGCTCTCTCACAGCTAAAAATAAGTTGTCATCGTCATCATGTGTCCTATCGACCATGAAACGTGATAGGCAGAATCCTCTGAACGGCTCATTGGCTCGATCACAGAGTTTGTATACACTGAGCTGCAGCAACACAGAGACAGCTGTACTCACCTGCCGTCAAATCTGTGCTTGAGGAAGTCAAACAAGGCTTTCTGCATCATGTCTGTTACCTAGGCAACAGAGAGGAAGAGGAAAGAAGAGAGGAGAGGAGTCAGGAGAGACAAGAGTTATGAAATATAGCACACACAGACTTAGACTTAGACTTAGAGAAATATTTGTCAATCCCTCTCAAATTTGTTGATGCTTCAGCAGAAAACTCTTCATAGGTGGGTTATACTACACTTCAACACAGTTTTAGTCTCTATCAGGCACCAGAATTACTATTCATTTATAGAAGTCATGCCAAAATGATATAATGCTCTACTACCTAGATGTAAATAGGAACAGATGACAGACTTTGTGTAATTTGGTAGATAATGTATAACCAGCACATGCATGTGGACAGACTCTTTTAACTGTTATCAGATTAATGATGATTTTACATAATTCTTTATTACCTCCATGGTGACATACTTTTGTCCCATGTTATCTATCTTTAAGTCAATGATAGATAAAATAATTAAAACTATTAACAGGCTTTAAACTAAATCAAAATGTAAAGCAGTCTTTATTTCCAATACTAAATCTGTTTGGGGTTAACTTGAGTTTTATTTAATCACTGTAAGTGAACTGGTAAAAGGAGCCGCATCAAACAGTCACCACACAGTCACAATAAAGCATAAACAGAATTCAGTCTAGTAGAATATACTGTCATATCTTGTAGCTGCAAAAAGACATCAAATTCTGATTTTTTTTTTTACTTTTACACACATAATGGTATCATTGCCACTGAATACAGTCAGTACAGTACATATGTTTAGAGCATATGCTGCTGTGAATGTCTGGCATCTGCCCGTTCCTAGTTCGTTTAATAACAAGGCAGGTTACTGTGAAGTGAATTGCCCTTCGAGGATTAAGAAAGTTGTCTGAATCTGAATCTGACTCAGTCAGGTCTGATAGAAATGAAGAAGTGAGATGTAGATTTTGAAGTCTCTGGTGTAAATACTGCAGCTGGACTTTGAGGTGAAGTAGGAAACATTCAGTATCCAGTGATTAAACTTTGAATTATACAGTCTTTGTATGGTCATTGATTCTGGATCAAATAGGGAGAGGAGCTCATTTGATTTGAAGAGTTCAGAGTCTTGAATTATCTGTGGAATAACTGCATATATTACCCACTCTTGTTATAAGTTGAGTTTTTGTGGTAGACTGATCACGATTCTTATAATAATAATAAAAATGCATCAGATCTTTTCATAGCGCTTTATCAGAGACCCTCAAAGCACTTTATATTGGATACATTATTCATTCGCTCACGGAGTCACACTCTGGTGGTGGTAAACTAACTTAGTAGTTACAGCTGCCCTGGAGCAGACTGACGGACACGTGGCTGCCAGTTTGCGCCTATGGCCTCTCTGACCACCACCACACAACACTCACAATCATACACCAGTGGAGGACACACACAGGAAGGAAGGTGGGTAAAGTGTCTTGCCAAAGGACACAACCGACAGACTAGGGATGGAGGGAAATCAAACCGCCAACCTTCCAGTTATTGGGCGATCGCTTTACCTCCTGAGCTACTGCCTACTGATACTGATTACAAGGGAGCAGATTTATTATACAGATATCACATTGTCTTTACAAATGTAAAATAAAATTACTGTTGGCCTTATGATGCTTATTTAGTCAAAATATCATTCATCGTATCGATCAATCAGCTGCCTGATTAATCGGTCTATCTTTACAGGGTTTATTTGCATGTCTTTAAACACATGCAGGACTACATGTGGATGAAGACTGAATGTGTGATGCTAATTCTTCTTGAACCCTGTGAGGGCAAAAGGAAGGCAGTCTATTTTCAAGAAGCCCTGAAAAATAGATGGCCTTTTGAATAGGGGATGAAGTACACACTGGCGTTGTTTCTCTGCAGTGTAACAGAGGGATGGAGGAAAAGCAAGAATGCAAGAGAGAGAGAAACAGGAAGGAAATGCCAGAGAACAGCAGAGAGCAGCTGAATATAATATGTATATGAGAGACAAAGCAAAGGGGAAAGAGGAGAGGAGAGGAGAGGAGAGGAGAGGAGAGGAGAGGAGAGGAGAGGAGAGGAGAGGAGAGGAGAGGAGAGGAGAGGAGAGGAGAGAAGAGGAGGAGGCAGGCTGGCGCTCACCACTGGAGCATCCCCAAAGCACATTGCCAGAGCAATGCATAAATATTTCACACACACTCACATACACACACATGCACAAAACAAACGGCTTGGCGCACAGCCTGTGTAGTCATAGAAGAAAGAGGGAGGCAGAGAGAAAATATTGGAGCACAAATACACTCTGTTCAGTTACATGCTTCATATTTCAGCACATTCACCAGCAAGATTAATCCAACCTCAATGATGTGATTTCTCATACACCTAACCCCTGTGTGACACAGAATAACTAACATGTATAAGACAGACATAGAGGGAGTGTTTATGCAGTTTTAAGTCATTGGAAAAAATCTAAAATTCCTGATTCATGTTTGAATTTCATCAGGATGTGAGTGTGGTGGTCAGTATCACAGTTACTCTAATGGGATAATGGTACTGGAGGGATTCCCTGCCAGTCAAACCAGGAAACTCACTAGACTCTAGAGTCATCTCATTAAAGGCAAAAATATTAGTTCATACACTCATTTGAAATGACCAATACATTGATGATTCCTTAAATTACAAATTACAAAGTTCTCAGGGGATCACCAATAAAACTCCATCTCTACTTTAAGGGGACATGAATGTATGAACTAAATTTGCTCACAGCAATTTAACGGATGTCAAGACGTTTCACTCAAAAGCACCAGCGTGACCTTCACGGTGGCACTGGAGAAAATGTCACAAGTCAACAAAGTTAGTTGGATGTGTCCTCCAGGCACCAATTAAAATGTCAGAGTAATCTATCCAAAAGATTTCATGATGCTTAAATGTTAACACGGCTGATATCTTTAGTTTAATGTCTCCAGCAGGAAAACACTCATTTCTCAGAAGCTTTAACATCAGAGAAGATGTATGTTATTTTTTCTAACAGAAAGACAGAAAAACGTCTTAATTTAAAGCTTTGTGCAAGACTTCCAACCATAACTTTGGTTACCCTCGGTAAAAGTTCAATGTCTGTAGAAAATGTGTGTAAAATAATACATGTCAGTGATCCAGCTTAGGTGAACTAGAGACACTATTAATATGTTTTAAACTCTAGAAGTTTTAAGTTGTTTTTTTAATGTCAATGTTAATTATGAGCTATTTGACTTTTCATTGGCTCGTTAATAATTACCTTTGAGTAGCTGCATCACACAAAACAAATCAGACCATGTAAAGATTAAAGCTCCTGCGAGGAGTTTTTTTTCAAATGTTTATATAGACTGAAATACTTGTGGATGCCTTTTTGTGACATATCAAACAAAACAAGGCATTTGCAACAAGATTGAAACCTTTTAGATTTTAATTAGCTTGTTTGTGGACATGCAGATTTTTCCAATCCATGTTTATGTTGTGTATTGTGAGAAATTTCAGTGTAAACTAGATCTGGGAAAATTACTTAATCAGAACCATCAGTTTTGTTTGTAGTGGTCTCATTTGCTTTTGCAGCTCATACAAGGGCACCAGCTTGGATTTCAATCTGTTTTATAACCAAGTAAAATCTCCATACAGAAGCTTTAATCAAAGTCTTTCTGATGGTTTTCTCACCTCATAGCCTTTCAAAGACGGGCCAACCAGCACCACAGGCCGCATGGAGGGAACCACATCATATGGAGGAACATGTTCTGTCTGCAGGTGGAAACACATGCAACATTATATAATATGCTAAAGTAAGTGTGCTGCAATAATACACATGAAGCTTATATACTGATTTGCGTGACTAGTAGGATTTCTGCATTGTTGCTAGCAATGAGCAGAGCTAGCTAGATAAAATGCAGCTACTGTGCATTTTATAGCTCTGTAAAATTTAGCGTGTTTTAAATAAATGGCGTACACAGAGGAATAGGCACAACACGTACCTGTTTCTGCTTCTGTTTGGCTTTTAGGGTAAAAAGAATCAACATTAAGCATTGAGCCAATAAGGAGGCTAAGGTAAATAAAAGTGTTCAAAAATACAACATGCTCGCCATGCAATCTGTGCTCATGTCATGTGCTTTTAGGTGTTATTAGATGTCACAATACAAGCTTTGAATGGAGTATTTAATCATCTTTTACATCTCAGCTCAGGCTTAAAAACTGTGGCAGAGAATGTCAATGGCAACCTGAGAGAGCACATCAAGGCAGAGCAGACAGACACGACAGAAGGTCCCCTTCAGTCCCACTTACCTGCAGATGGAGGGGTGGACCTCCAGCCTCCCGATGAAGCGTTCCCTCCTTTCCTGTGGAGCAACATAATGCAAAGCTTCATTATGCGTGAATTCCCTCAGGGTGCAATTTAGAGAAAAGGACTTCCAAAACAGAGCAACACATGAGCAAGAAGTTGTTCTAAAAAAAGTTTTCAAAGGCTGCACGAGATAGAGTCGTGGAATTAGGTCAACAGAGAGAGAAGCAGATGAAAGTGAGGGGGAAGAGATAACAGACATGCAGCGATATCTCAGAGCTAAGTGGCCTCTAACCTTGCTGCTGCTTTCTGCTCCTGTTTTATCCTCATGGCCTCTAGTTTGACCGGGCTCGGGATGAAAGTGATGTCTGCACCTTCCTTCACCAGCCGACCAATCCACCAGTCATTGTTGTATTTCTGCAGGATGAGGACACACAGCTTCAATACTCAACTAATTATGTGATACTTTTAAAGGGATATTTCAACATTTTTAAAGAGGGGTTGTACGAGTTACATGTCACTGGTTGATGTATTAGCAACAATGCCTCTTTAGTGAGAAACTACAGGAGGACCCAGGCAGCTAGCAGTTTAGTTAACTTAGCTTAGTTAAGTGTTTGGCTCTCACAGTTTTTATTATATGATGACACAAGCCGTGGTTCACGTTTTTCATTTATTTGAACAAAATACACTGTGTTGGCCGCTGAAAGGGTAGACTGAGCTGAAATAACAAACTTTAATGCAATCACTGTGTTTGCTGGGTAATCTTAGGCTTTTGACCCTTAAAATGAAGCAAAAATGAGACTACAAACATATTTAAAAAATCACAAAATAGAAGTGACTCGTACATCATACACCTTATCAGCTGATCATTCTGCAAGCAGAGTTGCACGTGTCTGTTCACTGTTTTTTCTTAACGGTCCAAAGACAAATGGGCCTTCTGATGCAAATTGAGGTGCTGAAAACATCCTCAGTGGAGTGTAGTCTTCGGTTGAATGAGTGCTTTGGTTGGGATTTCTCAAAATTTGCTCACTCTGTCTGCATAGAACCGTTAGCCTAGCCAGCATGCTTGTTCTCCCAGCAGTTTCTCATTAAAGGGGCAGAACTGAACAGTGTCCATTGTGGATAATACACTTATTAGTGATCTATAACTTATACTACAGCCTCACTCCAAAAATACTGGACTATCTTGTTTAAGCTGAATGCCTCTTACTTCTTTTATGTGCAGGAAGTCTTTGGTTTCAAAGTTGATAGCGGCGCCTTGGACTGGACAATCTTCATCAAGAGCCCCACAGTAACTCACATTGGTTTTCACAGCAAATGCTACAGGTTTAGACTGAGGACAGCGCAGAAAGAAAAGCAGAAATGAGACAAACACTTTGATTCTCATTCACCTTTTTAGTCTGAGGTTTACTTTTGGTCTCACAGATCTTGGTAAATTTTCATCATGTTCACTGATTCTGATTCTTAAGAACTTTAAATGAATTTGAAGACGAGCATTAGACTTTAACCTTGGCTCTCTCAAGCTGCAGCTGAGCCTGGCGCTCGGCTTCACGCCGAGACGCCTCCTGGTCCTCCTCCAGGGACAGGTCGGAATCCGAGGGTCGACTAGTGTAGGAATCGGCTGAACCCTGAAAGAAACAAGAGGAAAGTAAAAATGAGAAGACAGAGGAGGAGAGGAGAAGCTGTCACTGCACGGACAAACATAAATCCATCCTAACACCTCACAGAAGCTGCTACCTCTTTAAAAAAAAAGTTGGTGATAAAATTTTGCACTCCATTAGTTTAGTGATGGATGGGAGCAAACTTCTCAAGGTTTCAGGTGTAGCCAGCAGTTGGCAACAAAATACCTCTGGTCAGAATTTTTTCTTTTCTAAGCATCGCCTTTTTTTTTTACAACCTGACAAACAGACTGAGATGGAAGAATGAAGCTGGAGTTGAGTGACGGCGTCTAGGAGCTGATCTTTACAAACAATTTCATGCAGATATCTGTTCATACAGATTCAATTTAGTTACATTTTCTGATGGCTCATGTGGGGCAAGAATGCATTAGAGCAGATTATGTTCATAACCAATTATTAATTATTAATTGTAACCAATTATAATCAATAAACTGATGCAGACAGATCACTGACATCCCAAAGAGTCTCACATGCCCCTCTTCTTGTTCAACCTGAGCCTGAACCTGCTTGTCCTCTCCTGAAACCATGTGATCCAGCCTGTGAGGACCAGTGACTTTCTGCAGCTTTCCAAAGCAGCTGTCTCAGGGGAGCAACATATGCGTGAGAAATGCAACAACACTAACATCCAGCCAAGGACTTGTTGTCTATGAATTCACCCGGCAGACACACACATAATAAGTGTTTGTCTGTGGTGTTAAAAAATGAAGACAGTGCATTTGTGCAAAACACTGCAGTTCCTTTGGTGTCCACTTGAAGCTGTCTGCTTTTTTTTCTTCTTTACCCTTTTTGTTTTGGCTGAGGGATTTTTTGACACTGTATCAGTTAGGATAAACCACAGGTTATGAGTTTTAAACAAATCTGACAGACAGGTGGGTACATGTACCTGTTTGCTCAAGCTTGTTGTCCCTAGAACTCCTTAAAACTCATTTAAAAGCCCGTGGCCACTGAGCTTTCTCCGCTGTGGCTCCCAAATTGTGGGACGAATTGCCACTGGAGATTAAAACATCTCCCAATCTTTCTACTTTTAAATCACATCTTCAAACTCATTTTCATTCCTTGGCTTTTAGTTCAGCACGAGAGTTGTGTCCTTTTATGTCTTTTATGTTCCTTTTATCACTTTTATGTCTTTTATGTTTTAGTGTTTTTATTTCATTTATATAATTTCATTTTGATAAAATTTTTGATCAAATGTTTTTTTACCTGCTTTTTATTATTTCTTCTTGATGTTTTTTACTTCTGCAGTGTTTGTTCTTTTAATTTTATTGTGTAGCACTTTGGTAAATTTCAGTGTTTTTTAAAATGTGCTACATAAATAAAGCTGATTGGATTGGATTGGATTTGCAAGGAGGCTCACCCCAGCCTCATCTTTTTGCCTATTTCTGGGGTGATTGAAAATTAAGTTGTCAGCATTTCCAACATGGCGCCCACCACCATTGGGTGCCAGAACATCCTTGGAGAAACCAATGGGTGATATTACTGAAGCTATATCTGTGTTTTATGCTGCCTGTGTTATTCTCTGTAGTGTCTGCACTACATGCACCAGAGGAGAACAGCTAGTCTGCACTTGAACTATAGTAAGTGAAATACTTTTTGATAATTCATTACTTAAGTTGTGACTGTTGTCCAAGAAAATATCCCTTCAGTACCTTTGTTTGGTCATAGTATTATAAAAATCCACTAACATGAGGTCTATTTTTATCACATTTTAAAGAGTAATGTGATCACTCATCAAAAAAAAAATGCATTTTCCTGTTTCAAATCAACACCACTGATTAGTAATATGTTTATTGGCTCTAACAGTCACAACCTGATCATGAGGATTAGGATTAAATTTAAGGTCATTCAATCTTTCAGAATACACAAAAAAATAAAGAAGAAAATAAGAATGAAAACAAAACCTAGCTGCAGAAATCCCTGTCAATAACATAAAAACATAACACAACAGTTTACTTGCTGGTTTAACTTCTCAAATTGAATATGAATCTTAATCACTAGAATATAAGAACCCCTTAATAACAAACAGCTTCTGAAATTCATTTCAGCCAATTAACTGTACAGACCAAACCTATCACACATGTAAACTTACCGACCCATAAAACACTCTCAAAGCCTCACTTCACCAGTTCCTACTTTCATGCTCTCTCCCCCTCATCAGCTCCCCTCTCCTCCCCTTCAGTGGCTTCAGTTCAGTCCCGGCTGGTTTGCGGGGCTGGAAGACTTCATAAACCAGACAGGAGCTCCCACAAAATACAGCCAAATATAGCTCCATAACAACGTCATCCTCCTTTTACTCTTTTTTCCCCCCACCTGTCTCCTCCTCCTCTTCCTCCTTCTCTTCTTATTCCCTCCTCCCCTCCATTTTCCCTCCATCTCTCCTTTGCTTTATCAGAATCCAGAGCAGCAGAGTTTGTAGGAACCATTTGAATATCAAAGCCTTCCAGCGGCTGTGGAGTCTACCAGCAGAAGAAACAAAACCTCATTAAAGCACACACACAGTTCTGCAGATGGATGAAGAGGACTGATATTCTGAGATGCTAACCAAGTCTCTCTCACACAAGATATCTATACATCCTCCTCACCTTATTGATCTTACTCTTATGTTATCACACAACAGTGAGCTCCATATGATGAAAAGGAGCTACAGCTACACCTGAAGTTGAAGCGCAAAGCTGTTAGACATTTCCTCTTTGCTACAGTTCAGCTTTTTCAAAACAACTTTGCAACACTTTGCTTCGTCATGCATGCAGTCCATACATCTTTCATTGATGTATAACACTCTTTACTGGATATTTGGGGTGTGTAAACCGACAGGAATTTCAAAGCCAGATATGCAGTTTTGTATTTTTAAAGTGTAACATCCCCAAAGTTGTTAACTCTTGATGATAAGCAAGCAATGATGTGTTAATGTTGCACTGCATTGCATGATTATTACATTATCATTATTATTATTATTATTATTACATTATTGCATGATATAAGTTCACTGTCCCATTCACAAGCAGCAGTCAACTCAGTGGTGCCCCTAATAATGCAAGTTTATGAGGAACATTTAGTGTAATATCGTGTTAAGACCACGGTCGTAATATGCCAGTATTGTATATTGTATTTTGTGTCTTTCTCTGGCCTGGCTGTATCTGGTGTGTGTTTAGTGAGTTTGTTGCTTAGCTTGTATGTAAATTTGGTGTGCCAAATCATGCTCCCGATTGGCTCGTGCGACAGGGGTAGGCTGCTGCAGGGCTGGGTTTTCAATTTAAAGACCCACTCCAATGAAAATCATGTTTTTCTTGTTTTTTACATGTTTATATGGCATTTTTTCTGAGTATTTCTGCATTCAAATCACTGTGAATCTCTGGCAGACCCAAACGGCAGGCTCAGACACAGTGAGATTTCCTACGTAGCAAATCCAAGCTCTAAGCTCCGCGGAGTGTGCAGAGCAGCGCTGTCTCCGCCCACAACTCAGAAGCGAAATGCTAATGAGCTACTGGAGCTCTGCAGAAGAACAGCCCTTGGAAATGACACAGGTCACGCAATTTTGGCTAAAAACTTCATAGATAAGATTTAAATACCACTGAGAACACTTTAAATAGTGAACAAAAACAAATGAAGGCGGGACCACCGGCTCAGGGGGGATTCCATGACATCCTTATCCCAAACGGCCTCGTCACCTTTTGTTAGTTAACAGTTTTCCTCAGTTATAATTTACGGTTGTTGCACCCTGAGGACGACATCATTCTTTGTTCTGTCCTCATCCTGTTTTTTTTTTTTTAGCCTAAATAAATTACTCCTTTGTTAAAACCCTGAAAGTTTTTTATGTGGCTGTTTGAGAGGTGGGTGAAATAGGTCCACTTTCATGTTGTGTCCTCGCCACCCCTAAATAGAAATGATCTATCCATACAAATCCATTTTTAACCAGGTTGTGAATATGTTTGATTTTGTTGTAAATAAATAAAAAAAGCACATAAACATGGATGCTAATGGGGGTTTTCCTTTGCTTTTGGAGTCAGCCTCAAGTGGTCACTAGTGGAACTGCAGTTTTTTGTGCTTCTGCACTGGTTTTGTATTGTAGAAGGGAAGGTTGGTGCCTTGTCACCGTTTGTGTTTTGCTTTCTATCGAAGAGATTTCAAACTTTGACAAAAAGACTGACAGGATCACATGTGGATCAGGTGTGAAACTGTAAAAGAGTTCTTTCTGCTCTTCTCTTGTTTACTCATCTTTTTTGTGTTGTTTAACAGCACTGTTAATTCCCTGATAACCATGTATAGTAAGTATTTCACTTGTAAGTTTTCCAAGCTTTCCAATAATCAGTTGGCTGCCGAGTTTTCCCTTCATGTGCTGATGTACATTTACTGAATGAATACATGATAAATACATGTTGGGTTTTCTTGAAAAGATCAAGTAAGTAAGTACTTTACAACTGAGAGCTCAAAAAAGCTGATAATTTTTTTTCTTAATCATCCATTTGTCCATTATCTTCACTGGTGATCCCATTTAGGGTGGCTGTCATTCAGCAAGAGGCAGAGTACACCCTTGACAGGTCACCAGGCCATCACAGGGCTGGAAAGACAACCATTCAAACATACTTACAGCTACTGGTGATATGAGGACACCATTTAAGCTGGTCAACATGTTTTTGGGACTGTGTAAGAAAGCTGAGAGAGGCCACAGATGAACAGGGCGACCATGCAAACTCCATATGAAAGGACCTCTGCCTGACCAGGGAGTCAAACCAGGAACCTCCCTACTGTGAGGGAACAACGCTAACAACTGCAAAACTGTGTTTTTATTGTACTGTTTTGATTTATTATTCATTTAGCAGAAAAGTGACATATAGGTAGAGTGGACAGGGACTCCACCTCTGGAGCACATAATGCCTCAACCAAAACAGGTAAACCTGAATCATAAATGTACTTGAGTGAGAAAATAAAACTCTTTAAGACAAGTTCACTTTTTAAAAAGTGTACTGAAAGAGTTGAGATTTTTCTTGTGGTTCACACTGACCATGTGTGTCAAACAGAACTGGTGCAGATAAATGAAAGAAATCTAATTCCTCATTCTGTTCGAGTAAATCTGATTTAGATTATTTCCCTCTTTTTTGTGTGTGTTTATATAGACTGTCTTTCTATGCTGTATACAAAAAAAGTAACTTTAAGTGTTTGATTTCATGACTTTGAGTTATACACTAACCAGCCACAACATTATGACCACCGACAGATGAAGAGACTTTGGTTTTGTCTTTACGATGGCACCTGTCAGAGGGTGGGAAATGTAAGGCAGCAAGTGAATTTTTTATTCTTAAAGTTTTTGTGTTCGAAGCAGAAGATGAATAAGTGTGCGCGCGTTTGACATGGACCAACTTGTGATGACTCTACAGCTGAATACAGAGCTCCAAAACTGTTGTTCCTAGTAAAAGGGGTCCAAGGAAGTAACACCAGTCAACAGAAGACATGACAGATCCAACAGAAGAGCCACTAGAGCTTAAACTGAAGAGAAAAATCAATGCTGCATCTGATTGACAGGTGTCAGAACACAGTGCATTGCAGTTTGTTGTGAACTGGATTCTGAGAAGCAGACTGGTCAGGGTGCCCATGCTGACCCGTCCACCACTGAAGCCTTAGTGAAGATGTGGGCATCAAAACCGAACCACAAAGTAATGACAAGTTCACTTTGTTGACCTGGATCTGATCCACAGAGGGTTCGTCTCACAGTTTACAGGACTTAAAAAACTGCATCTGACTTTTTAGTGCTAGATACCACAGCACACCTCAAGAGGTGTTGTGGAGTTCATGTCTGTTTTGACTCTGATCTGACAAAAAGCAGGCCTACACAACATCAGACTCTTAACGTTACGGGTGATTGGTGTTTGTGTCTCTATCCGTCACATTCTCTCTCTTTTGATTTGTGAAATTGCTCAGTGGAAAGGTTTCTGACTGACTAAACAGATCCACAAGTATCCGCAAAAGTACCAAAATATAAGAATCCCTTGATATAATGTGAGGATAAGAAGTCCTGAACAAAGGCAAAGTCAAAAACCATGACATTCAACAGATGGGACTCCCAGTGCACCATAAATTCAATCCAGAGCTTCAAAGTTACCCGCAGAGTGGCAACAAATGGACAAACTGCCCATGTGTACAAGTACAGCATGTCCACAGAAGATGAGACGGAGGAACAAGGTATGAGAAGAAGAGAGGAGATGCTGGTGAAGTGAGTGAACCAGAGCAGACTTCTCCCGAACGAGAGTGAGAGGAGGGGAAGGGGAGAAAAACAGAGGGAAGAAGAAGAAGAAAAAAGATGTCTGAGAGCAGACGGATGGGGGACTCCAGACAAAGAGTCTGAGTTTGCATGCAGCATGATTTAACAAAACGGGCAGCATCCACAGCGTACCTTGTTGCAGATGAGTCCTGTAGCGCTCGAGTCGGAGGCAGACATGATGCTGCTGCCAGCGCTCTCTCTTCTCCCCCATTGCACAGAGAAGGCAGAACCCTCCTCCTCCTCCTCTCCTCAGCCCCGTGGTTACGGGGGAGGTGGGAGGGGGGGCAGCCGCGCTCAGACTAAGTGCTTCACAGCTTACGTTGCTGCACTGCCTCAACAGCCATTTCCTATTCAAAATTGATGCCCCGACTGCAGCACTGGTGTGTACACGCCCTCACACTGGTACACTTTTGTGGGTTTTTCTTCTGCTTCCAGGCAGCCCTCAAAAAAGGAGCTTTTCTCCGGTTTCATGCACTATCTATACATCCTCTTTCCTCCTCTCAGCTCTTCCACTGAATCTAAAATATTCCTCTTCTCAGTTTCTCCACACTCATAAGCTTTCCTACACGTCTCTGTTTCCAGTTTTCTGTTTCAAGATGTCCTAAAAAGTGGTATTAAATGTTGTATACTCCCTTTTTTTTCCCCACCGGGTGCAGATTGCACTATAAATAAGACAGAGAGAAGACTGAGCAGTTATGTAAGACATTCTCAGTGATGATAACGAAGAGATGAATGTTGGGAGACAACTCAGCTCATCCTGATGCCAACTGGAAGCTTTCTCTGTCGAACAGGTGACTGCTCCCGAAAAAATAAACACAAAATAAAAAAGTTAGGATTCAAGACAGGAGAAGTGAGATGATGAAGAGAAGATGTGTATGAATGAATGAGGGCAGGGCTGTCTTTCTGCCCCTGCGCCATCCCTCCTGACGGAAAGGTGATGCATGAGCTCACAGAACAGAGATGAAGCAGTGAGTCAGCAAGCAGCCATCGAGAGTCCATCAGTCGTCTTTGTAATAAGTGGGCAGAGAAGGTCTCTCTTGATCAGACAAGCATGGTTGTTCCTGGCAGGGCTGGAGCCTGGATGCACGCCTGCTCTCCAGGTCGCCCCCAGGCACAGAGGACCCAGCTACTTCAACAACCATTACACTGGCAGCATGCGCTCATTCACCCTCATTCAACTCAAGAATTAAGTGCACTCCAGCAGGGGCTTTTAGCAACAAATGTCTCAAGGCGATATTACTGTGTGGCTTTGTCAGAATTAAAGGGACACAAACACACACAAATCCACACACGCGCGCACACATATACTGTTGTATTTAAAGCAAATAGCTCCCTCATATTCCTACACAACAGAGAAGATAGGGGGACTATTGAAAACCAGGTCTTTAACAGTGGGGGAGGAACTAAAGATGGAGAAGGAGAGAAAGAGATGAGATAAAAAGAGAGGAGGGAGAGCAAACCTTATTAGACGAAATTCAGAAACACAAGTCAGACAAGAGATTTTCAATATCGTCTGATTTATCTGCTGTTAAGACCAAATGAGCCAAAAGTGAAAGAGTGTGACGAGGAAGAGCAGGATAAACAGTAAGAGAAAGAAGAGAGTCAGTATGTTAAAACAATAGGACCAGAGATTAACAGCAGAATCTTTTCTTTTTGTTATTTTTCTGCTGTTCAGTGCGTCTAAATATAGCTCCCCCCCTCTCCCCATCGCAGACTGGGGCTGGCAGTGGGGGAGAGGAGAGTGAGGATTGTCAAAGTTCACTGAGTTTTGATGAATTCCCTCAAGAAAGAGCCAAGCAGATTTGAGACTGGCTCAGCTATATTCACTGATGCTAGATAGCCCATCTGAATGTGAACTAAGTGGCCGTATACGGACGACAAGAAACAAACAGACTCCGAGGCGCGTCGTCTCAGCTCGCTCTACAGTATGTATTCAGTCTATGCAGCAGTGTTTTTCTTCTCCCTCTTCCGAACAGGATAATATTACATCTGATGTTGTTCAAACCTCCTGGTAATATGATGCAGGTGTACTTCATAAGGTTCCTTTTTTTAGCTCTTGTCTTCAAAGTTCACACAGTCTTCAAGAACAAGGAAAGAAGAGTAAAGCAGTCGCACAAAGACGAAGGCACGACATGAATTTCAACGAAAAGTAGATTAAATATTTGAAAATGTTTGCCTTTTTTCAACCACCGCACACTTATTCTCTTCAAAGATCAGCCGACAGAGTGCTAGTTTTGTTACTAAAAACTTTCCCTGTGTTTCTTAACTCTTACGTTAACATCCCCTATATGAAAATTTGGCAAAAGATGGATTTTACTATCTTATTTATTATCAATCGACAAGACTCAAAGTTTGACATTGATCATTGACCTTGAGTACATAACACTTTTTGCTGCAGCAGACACATTTCAATTGAAAGCAAAAGGTTTGTAACTTAGACCTTTAGTTTGTGTTTTTGCTGAGCCCCGCAAAGCCACACTCTTGTGCTGTAAGCAACAAAAAAAAACATACAAACACCAACTGGGAACTCTGTAAAAAAAAAAAAAAGGCCACCCCAGAGTTCACAAAGTTCCAGATGTCCCCAACAAATCTGGACATTTAAGCACAAAATCTGTGCTTGAAGAGGCACCTTTCAGAGTGTGTGCAGTGAGAGCTGAGGCAGTATTAACAGGCAGAGGAGGATCATGCAGAAACAGAGAAAAGGTCTCCTGACAGTGCAACCAGAGTAGGGCAGAGTGGATCAATAAGAGAGCTACCCAGATTGATACTCCATCCTGTCCTGTGCAGCTCCACCCTCTTCGTGCTCTAATGTTACCTCAGGATACTATCTCCCTGCCTCTAATGAGCCTTTTGCAGCCTATAAATACGCACTTCAACTCATTTCAAAGCGTGCTGCATGCTACTGCTTTCTCACCAAAGACACCAAGTCCTCCAGCTGGCAGTATGGGGGTTTAAAAATAGGGGGCATGTCATATGTAATGACGTGAATCATCGGTGTAAGAGTTGACTGTGTCGTAGGAGCCCAACTAGGAGAGACTCGACATCTTTCAACCATGCTGTGGACTCAGCGATGCTGTGCATACTTTACCCCTCCAGGGGTCCTTCAACCTGGCTTCACCAAACTGCTTCAAAGTGCGGAGCAACTGGAGCTAACCCACATAAAGCTGTGTGCACCTTCAGTGCAGCTCCGAATGGCACAGTGCTGCTGCATCCTTTATCAGAAGTGTTTGTCGGAAGCTGACCTGATTTAAGCTCGAGGTTTGAGTTGGGGCCTAATTGGTGCATCTTGACTCATGGGCTGAGCTTACTGAGGGGAATGTCAGGGTTATCAATATGTAATGGTGCCCTACATATTTGCACATCACAGCTTTACATCTAAAACAGTGTTTTCTCTCAAGTTTGAGATGTTCACATTTGACCCGACAAGAAAGTACGGCTTTAGGAAAACAAAAGTCTTTAGTGCATACAGATCACAGAGATAAAAGCTGACAAAGCCAGAAGAGTAAGTTGGGGACGCTATAAAGAGAAGAATAGAAAGATGTCCCAGATAGGACCACACAAACACAGAGATGTCATAACTTAAAGGAGGAAGCCTTTTCCTCCTTCTGACTTTGTTTTCTCTTTTCAAAGTTCAGAAAATACAGAAAATCTGATTCTCTGCAGAGAGACTCGCAAGGAAAACTGGAACTGGACTCAGTGGTCCTCTAAACATGGCAGCTTCATCAAATTTAATCAAGACATTACACACTGATGCTCCAACGCACAATCATATTCATGTACACACACACACACACACACACACACACACACACACACACACACACACACACACACACACACACACACACACACACACACACACACACACACACACACACAAAGCACTCGGCTCCTCACGAGACAGGCTTTTAGTGCTCTGTCTCATGCAGTATTTAATTGACCCCACACAGGAAGCCTAGCGGTCCCAAATGCACTCCTTCCCCCCATCAACAGAGAGAGCATGAACGCCTGCAAGGATGCCCACAGCTTCCCACCACCGCTCCTCCATCGCACTACATCAGCACTAAATGGCATTTTCTGCTTTAGTGCAACTCGGACTTTGCACTGAAATGTCAGCACAGAAGGGAAAGAGTTTAGACTTTCAATAAATTTGCAACAAGAAAAAGAAAAATTCAGTTATACATTACTTTAACAAACACAATTTGACTATTTCCACTAAATTTTTCAAGGGCAGAGTTTTAAAAAAAATCCTATTTCCTCTTCTACCTTTAATCTACATCTATGGAGGTGTCAGTGCAACACTGTGCACAGATCTATATTTCAAATGATGTCTATCAGGGCATTTCCCAGCAGAAAAGAGATGCAGAAGATAAAGAGGGTACTCACTCAGTTGGAGGTGGGAGAGCAAACTCCCCGTCTCTCTAACTCGCCCTCTCTGCTACTCAGTCATGGTGTGCTCTCTCTCCTGGGTAACACTGAAGTGTACTGTAGCATGCTTGTAAGCAGTCTATCCCTTCTTCACACTCCCCCTCCCTCTCCTCCTCCTCCTCCTCCTCTGATTCTCCACCACTCTCAGTACACAACCCTCGTCTACGTCACAGAGGCTCTCTCCCTCTCCCGCCCTCTCTGATGCTGCTCCCCTCTCTTCCCTTCATCTCCATCTCGCTGGCCCAGTGGGACCGGAGGGTTGGATCCGGATCGCAACTGCATGTGGAGTTCATTGAGGACTCTGTCATGCCTTCACACTCTAAAGTGGTAACTTGATGTGAAACCAGCTCACACCTTCAGATCATAAACCCAGGCAGAAAAATAAATACATAAACATACTTGCAGAGCATCTGATTCTTATGACTATTGGGGATTTTCATATATTCATAGTGGTAGTTTTACACATGAAATTTGGTCCCTGAACATCTAATTCAAAAATCTAAGACCCTTGGTGAAGGGGTTTGCTTCCATGTCTGGTTTAAAGATGTCAAGCCCTAATGACGGATAGGTGCAGCTCTAAATTTGTTTGCCATTTTACCCCAAAAGAGTTTAATGACTTGATCATCAGGTCTTTGAGTAGGACGGTAAATTAATATACGTATCATCATAGCTAAGGTAGGATCAATGTCCAACTCTTTTGAATGTGGCTACAAAGTTCAAAACCATAATCTCATGTAGGGCTGGGTGATACGGCCTCAAATCAATATCATGATATATGAACCAGTTCACCTCGATAACGATAAATGGACGATAAATTCTCCAAAAGCTGCTCACCCCTTCCCACATTAACTTTGTCTACTTCAGCCACTGCTTAAGCCGCGACAACTTCTGAACCGTCCTTCATCTCCTCACCTGTCTTTCCCTCTCTGTCATGGACTGGATGGGGTGGAGTCACGTCTCTGATGTAAGACAGCATTTTAAAGGGACATGATATTGACGTAAATTTCGGTATCAGTAAATTTTCAGTTTATCGCCTGGCCCTAATTTCACATCTTCTTCAGCTGGATTTGATCATTGAGCCCAAGACCTCAAAAAAAAAAAAAACAAGAGTTCATGCAGAAGTGAACAAAACCCTCTTGTACAGCACAAAAACAAACTCTCAAAGGGGTAAAATATGTTATTTCTACAGTCCTATCACACTATTGTTCATATAAACCTCTATGGATTTCAACCTGTCAAAACCAAAAGTTTTTAGACAGGGGAAAGTCTTGTGCGATGGGAGCTATGAGAGCTGTGCTACTTGTCTCTATTCGACATGTGGAGGCGTCCCAAGTGAAGCCCTCTGTTCACGCTGTGTGCTGTGAGGATGTCACGGCTGGCTGTACTCTGACACCTGATCAGAGAGGATATCTTTGGATTTCTGAGCTTTTAGAGCCACAAAAACCAACCAAAGAGGAGACGGATGTGTGGGCTTTGAGTGTTAATTTGTGTGCAGCAGAACATCTCCAAAAAGATCCAGCAAGCTCAATAACATTCATCTAATGGCAGACCAGAATGACAAAATAAAACCCTGACGACGGCTAATGTGAAAATCTCCTGCAAAGCTGAGATTCATAATTCATAGGATAGGTTGCAGGGAACAGTGAGGCAGAGTAGAAACACAGGAGGAGAGAAAAGCAGAAAGAGGGGGGAACCATCCATTCGAATTCAGCATGAGCAAGAGTGAATAAAACATGAATGGATGAAGGTCTGAAAGTTAAACTCTGCAGAGCTGTGCAATGAGCTGAAAAGGCAGAAACATGGGTGGGAGCTGCACCCAAGCATTGAGTGCAGATGTCTGTCAGCGTGTCCCGTATGAAGCAGAGCTGCTGCTGCTGCTTCTGCTGCTGCTGCTGCAGCTGCTGGTGCATTATGGATGAAGGGCTATTTTAAGGCAGTGGGATGCTGCTGCGTTTTGATTTTTGAGTGGAGGAAGATGACACCTGGCTGCTGCCAAATCCTTGCACAAGGTCTGTACAGTTCCTTGATGGGTTCAGACGCGCAGGTACAGCTTGTGTTCCAACTCAAGAGTTGATCTCTGTTTGAAGTTAAAACCTCAAGAGGAGGGGGGATGTAAACAGAGGGGTGAGACCACGGTGAAGTGAGTGACAGTGACACCAAGTAGTTTTATTCACAGACTGTACTTAATGTTGAGAAAAACATACACACATGCAGCACAGCATATGGTGTGTTGCTGGGTTGTTTGAGCATTTTCTTCACCAAAATAGAAAAATGTTCAAACTGAAAGTGTAAATGTCACTGATTGTAAGACTTAAAGATGCAAAACATTCATATACAGTCAGGCTGAAATGTACTGTTAGCTTTTTCTTGGCAAAATGACACACAAAACAGTAGTGGCGGGAATCACTAGTGGCTCTACAATACGCTATTATTGTGATTTTTAACATTTTGAAATACAGTGACTATTGCAATACAACATATTGTGATTTATACATTTTTTTTCAACTGTTTAGACATTTGTCTTTCATTAATGTTTGTCTTATTTACACTGTATTTTATTTTACTGTGGCACATCTAGCAAACCTTATATATATATATATTTGTTGTAGTAACTTCCTCCTGCTCTATGATGTCACCTCTGCCAACCTCACTGGACAAACAGTTGATTTTATTTTTCCATTATCACAGATTTGACCTCATATTAACAATTCATTTGAAAAATTGATACTTGGTAAATGAGACGATACGATACATCACAAGACAAAATATTGTAGTACTATGCTGTATCGTTTTTTTACTACCATCCCTACAAAACAGTCACTAATGAATCAAAATAGAGTGAGATGATGACTGAGTTAAGAACTGGTGCACGATCAAATTGCAAGATTTTCATGCTATCTGTGTCTTCTACTTAAAATTTTAGAGCACAATATTACCCTGCAGACCATTTGGGTCAAAAGGATTTGATGGCACCACCTTTAAGTCCAGCTGTATGAGGAGTAAGTCCAACAATATTTCTGTGGTTTGCCTTTTCTTCCTTAAAAACCAGCCCCCTCCTCAGACAGAAAGAAATAAAAATAATCAGAAAATCATATTTAAAATCGTCTCTCTCATGCTTTATGGACCTAAATTTAAAGGCACTGCTGTAAGGACACATAGGCTGAAGCTGACTTTCAAAGAGAGCTTAAATATGAAGGGCAGAACCTTCACTTCAGCTCTCAGCATGAATCCACAGCCCAGAGACCGACCAGACCCCCTGTAGTTTGCCTGCCAGACACTCGCTCAAGCAAATGATGCAATCAGCCAGCTCCCCTTGAGAAACTTTTACCAGCCAGAAAAGGCTGGGAGCACACTCAGAATCCTCACTTTTGACTTTTCAATCACCTTTAAGATTATCTAGATCTTCTGGTAGGGGAACAAGCTCAGAGAGATGCACACATGATGAAACATGGGTTGAATCACCAGTTTATCCAACTTCAGAATTAATTAGAAGAATATATCCACAACAGTAATCACCAATCCATCTTCTTTAAATATGTTGTTTATACTTATATATATGAGACAGACCTCCATACCACATTATATCAAATCAGCAAATGCCAAAATGATGAGAAAATGCCAGAGCAGCTACCCAGAAAGACATTGAACAACCTTCAGAAAACCATTGATGAAAGGTTAGAGACTCTGAGGGTGATTGCATTGTTATTTCATCACATTTCTGTTGAGTAGAAGAGAGATCTCTCTTCTCTCCTCACCAACTTATAATGGATTTTATCACATTTTTTAACAATTAACAAATTTAATAATCCATTTGTGCATAACAGCTATGCATCAGTCTGATAAATACAGATGAATTATGTCAGTGCATATTACAATATCATTTTCTTTAACATGCACACTTCTCACATTGCTACAGAAAAAGCTTCTATATTACATAAGTAGCTTTATTATCATGCCTCACCCAGTTTGTTGCCATCTCATGACTGTAAAAGGTGCACTGCCTTAACATGAGGCAGTTTTGTTTTCCTTTCCCTAATGTGTTGCAAAGTGTGCAGTTTGTGGGTTCCAGTAGGTAATCTACTTCTAACAAATACAGGTAAGAAAGTCTGCCATGCACAATGACATGGCAGTGAGTAAAATAATGAGTTGTAGTTGTTTTGTTGCATGCACACAAGGAGGAGTTAAGTATGACAGTGAATCAAATCACACATGTGACTATGTGATCATTTCAGGGTTGATGCAATCATGTTTATCCTGCAGCAAAATCTTAATTATTTGTCTCATGCTCTGATAAATAAGAAGGTGGAAGCATGAACACACCCACAGTGTTGGGTGATTGCCTGCATCTGTTGCTCCACCTGAGTCTTTTTTTTTCTGAGTCAAATGTTTTTCTCACACGAAAATGTAAAACCTGCTTTTAATTTCCTCTGGCAGGCTGATAGTAGAGTCGATGCATGCTGGGACTCCTTTACTCTGAAGTGAGAGATTCCCGATGAGGTCAGCCTGTCTAATGAAATCATCGGTGCTATCCCATCGAGGAGCTTTTCACATTAGCTGCTTGTTTATGTCTGAAGGTACAGCAATAAAGGCTGCTCAACGCTTCAGACAACACAGCAAAAAAATAAAAACCTTCTTCGATCGTGACAACCTCGATCACAACAAGAGAGGTCCTAAACAAGAGGGAAAACTGAAAGCAACCCACCTCGTTGAGCAGAAAGACGCTGGAATTGGTCAGGGACATCCGCAGTTAAAGGGGACCTCGGTCACATCGGCCCAACTTGGGGGAATCAAAGTAAAAGCCTCAGTTTGGGGGTCAAAACATCAGCATAAGGCAGATCACGGCGCCTCGTGCAAACATTTCCACAACACGAGGGCTCGGCTGAGACTCAACGCTTCATGTGGACGTGGAGCTCCGGCGACATCCGCGCCGTGAAAAAAAAAGAAAACTCTCCAGTTTGTGGGTTCACGGTATGATCAATGACTGTACACAAAGCCACGCGCACAGACTCACTGATGGATACATTACAGCTTTCTTTATAAATTATGCAAGACCTGCTCACAGCACAGGATTTCTGCACCTTTGTATTGGTTTCCTTCTCATAAATCTGAATATAAGATGACCATGTAAGTCTTTTAAATCTGTGCCAAACTTATTCAGTCATACATGCCTATCATAAGAAAAATGCAAAATTGATGATATCCATCTAAATAGTAACATTTCCAGAAAGGTTTGATTTGTCCTCGACCCACTTTTCTGCAAATGTTTGTGACAAGTGTATCCCCCATAAGCTCAGTGTTCAGGAGGATTTGTTGCCTAGCAATAAATGAAAGGAATGGGATTATCCAGTATTCTTTTTTTCATGCTCAAATTTCATTACACATGGAGGAGAAAATTAAATATGTTAGGCTGCATTAAAGCCTGCAAGGTAATAACTGTGTTTGTGGAGGTTTGTTTGACTCAGATGCTGTTTCCACAGAAGGGCATGTCTCCTGTGTGTGCTGGATGAGGATGTCCATGCAGGGCAGGCAGGGATTGGATGTATGTCTTCTCAATTTTCACTGATCCAGCACTTTGGCCTCCTCTCATCCTGTGAACTCCTTCCATTTACACAAAGTCCATCGACCGAAAGAGACAGGTACAGCTTACTGCCAATGTCAAGAAGACAGGAGACTGCTTCTGTAGCTGAAAACACACACTCACACAGAGCCAAAAGAGGAGGTATGAAGGGGGTGATAGTTGTTGTCCTGCATGCATATTGGCAGGTAAAAGTGACAGCAACCCATCCAGGACTTTATGGCATCTTAGTTCAATAGGTTGGATACAGAAAATAAAACAGGCAATTTGTTCACAGTGCTACAATCTCCAACTCACCTTCTTCTATACTGGTGAAGTATTACAGTTCCCAAGTGAGTGTACACAATGCAGCCAAGAGAGGGCGCTCTTGAGACACTAATACTAAAAGTCTCACATTCTAGCAGGTGAAATTAAAAAGACTAAAGATTTTTATGTTGGACCAAAGAGATGAAAACTGTGCATTCGTGTAGTAATAGTTCCCTGCCACAAATGTAGGCAACGGAAATCTCTTAAACATAGCCTAGAACCCATTTGTATGCAACACATTTTCAGCAAAATATGGACAAATCTGCCCCAGACCAGTGCAAAAGTGCTTTACATGAAGAAAGAGAAGATTTTTGAAATTAAGAAACAACATTAGACTCTAACACGTGCGATAATCATGAACAATTACAGACACCATGAAAGCAGATCAATCAGAGAAGTGGAATGAACGATTATGAATTACTGGTGTCCTTGTCTTAACAGGTCAGTTTTATAATACTGCGTATTAACGACTCTATAAAGTCAACGGTAAGCACATATAAACAATAGAAATGGGTGTGTCTACACCTGTGCCACCGGCTGTCCACACTCCAAACACATGATTATACCAATTAAGAATTGTCTGAATGATTAATTTCTAAAGAAGTTATAAACATAGAAAGAATACACCCACTTAAGTATTACCTGTTAGTCTAGTACTGAACTGTGCACATGCATGGATTTGTATAGTGCAGGAAAGTCATGGGCATCCCCAGGAAGTCTGGGTGTAATAAGAAGACATTATCCGGGGCCCTCTAACCTCAGCCAAAGCCACCCCAACAACTGCTGGAGCCACAAAATATCTAACTTTTTGTTGCACTTTGATTATTAGGGATCAATAATTACAACAGAGAATCACACTTTCAAAACAACATCTGCAATCATAATTACTTATAGTCACAAGTTGTTGTGCAACTTATTACAGTTAAGTTAATCTGTTTAAAGTTGACTTAATATCCTAAATATGTGAAGAAAAAATATTTATTGTTTTGCAGTTTCAATTAGACAAATATAAATATTTAAACTTTACCCATTCACACCATTCTGCGCATTTGGTTGTGATGAGAGGAGCCTCAGAGAAAAACTCAGTCCATGAAAGCCCTCTGTTTGTCAAGTGTACTGTATTATGGTTAGGTATTATTCCCTGTGTCAGAGGCTCTTCATTTAGAGTACCACGTGGATGTTGAGCAATGGCGCCCACTGTTGGAAAGATAGGAAAAATACAGGAAGCAGACTTAAGAGTGTGAAGTGAGTGGAGTGTACATGACAGTTGTCATACAAAAAATTAAAGGAAGAAAATAGGAAAATTAAAACACACAAACAGACATGCATAAGTGTTTTACACAACTGGGTCAGATGAAGTTACAACTTTCACATCTAACCTATTAATAATTTTGGACTAATGTCTCAGTTTAACTTTTTACATGAAATATTGTTATTGTGTAAAATGTAATAAATGCAGCTACATGGTGGCGTCTTAAAATGTTGAGGCTCTTCTTTTCAGATTTATTTGTAACTCCAAAAAAATTCAGCATATTCTATGACTCCAAAAATGTGGCTAATTTTGACCCAGCACTTTTCTTTCTTTCTTTCTTTCTTTCTTTCTTTCTTTCTTTCTTTCTTTCTTTCTTTCTCTTTAGAATTAAAAAAAGTCCCATATCGGTCTGTTTCATGTCCCTCCTCTTGCAGAAAGAGTTTACATCCACATAAACTTTCTGAATAACTTACTCATACCTGTCTACCTTGTTGTACTGCACCATTTTATATGACTGTCTGTTTTGAAATATAATGATACAACCTTCTGTAAGCAAATGTTTAATGTTCCCGGTGGGATCCTTTAGGGTGTGTAGTTGTTTCAAAGGGTGAAAAGTAAACAGATTCTTTTGTGTCAACACAAGTGTTGCCTTACTGGTTTACAGATTAAACTTTATCGTGTGACTAGTAGTTTACAGGCAGAGTCAAATACTCCCGTTAAAATTGATAGCTACCGTGTTATTCTGTATTCTGAATTCTTACATCTAATGGATTTAAACACTTGTTCAAAACTATGTGGAGCAGTTTCATTAAGACTAGAGGATTTGGGGGACATTTTTCGGCGATTGCGAGTTTCCACCATTAGGTGGTGTTACAACGCTGTCTGAGGGGATAGTTGGTGTTACTGTTTGTTTTCTGTCACTTTGAAATGAAATAGACAGTTCTATTAATGTCTGTTTGGTCGTTTTGGTTATTTGATACAGTGACTGGTGCTTTAATTTGAAAAACAGGTACAAAAACACGTGGGAAACATTGTAGCTAAAGTGAAAATCACCCACACTCTGTCAAAGAAACACGCTCGCGTCACCTCTAGGGGGACTCGTGCGTTTACTAATGTGATTGCAGCTCGTGTGAGTGTGTGTTAGTGTGCGCGTGAGTATGGCAGAGAGAGGCAGGGAGAGACTGGGAGGTCGAGGTGGTGGGATTGTACTGTAGCTCTGGTTAAGCAGGGTGAAGGTTGTCCGGTCAATTCCGCAGTTTTCCCCCCTCGCTTTCCTCTGAACCGAACCACCTCCCTCCCTCCTCCCCTCTCAGCCGGACTGACCCGCATGTGAAGCGTGTGACGGCGGCTGCGTGAAGACCGAAGACGGGGCTAAACCGGAGCTCCACTGCGGTCTTACAGTGACTCCTGTAATAACGAGGATGTCCAGTGGTAAGTACACTGCCTCCCTCCCTCTCTTCTAGCGTTCCCACGGCAGTCTGGGGGGAAACTGCTCCACACGGTGTGGATTTGTTGCAGGCTAGCTCAACTAAACGGGGATACATAGAGCAGAATGCCAACAGCTGACTTGTACTCCAGTGTTTTGCTGTGATGATTGCGGCGGCATTGAGGAGCCGAAACTGTTCTGCAGGACTGTCCACAGAACAAGCACTGGTCCTCATGCAGGCACAAGAAATCACACTTAAAACAGCCACCATAAAACAGACAGATCAACTGATGTGGAGTGTGCGTTGTGATCCAGCTTATTTTCACCAATATCCTCTGGTACAGTGACTTGTTTGGGGTCTAAACATAATGACGTACACGTTTCTATTGAGGGAGACAGGCCCAGTTTGTTGCCTGTGGTAGACCCTAGCTGGACTGAACATCTCTGTGAAATGAGTAGACCCGCTGCCAAGGCTAAAGTTGTCCAGCGGAATGTGTTACTCCTGATAAGTTGGTGAAGGCGGCGATGTGTGTCGGGCTGCACTTTTCTCCTGCAGCCCCACATAGCCCACTTACATTCTGACTTCAGCCTATCCAGTCGTGCTGTGTTTGTGGTATCCATGTGTAGTGTTTTTTATTTATTTCTTACAAAGAGGCTTGATTTGAGCTCAGAGGAGAGCTGGCGACTTCACATGTAGGCTACTCAGAGCGTCCTGTTATGTAATGCGCTTCGGCCGATTGCCCGCATCCAAACCTGCCTGGGCCTTCACGTGTAATTGCCAAACGTGTTTTTTGACATCAGATCTGTGTTAGCAATAGTGACAGAGAGGTGGTGGGGTGGATTTGTTGGTCATTGTTGAGTCATGTGTGTATGAAAAGATGTTATGATGGAACAGTTTAACTCGGGATACTGAAACATTCAGCTCTAAGTGAAAGCATCACCATCTTCATTTACAATGCGTGCCCTAAAGATAACTTAATTCTCTCATTTGTTGTATTTGCTTCATGCATTTCCAGTTGGAGATGTTTGCACGTACTGTTTAGATTACATAAGGGCCGCATGCTGATGTCTGACTTGTCGTAAATGTATCAAAGGTGAGCCGAGGACTGAGGTTAAGATCCTTGTAAGCTCGCAGCTCAAAGTGAAGTGGCCACTTTATTCTTGAGTGGGTCATAATAAATAAATGCTCTTGCTATGAGATATGATGCTGATGCTGGTTTTGTGGTAGTTCTTCACCGTTTTTTTCTTAATTGGAACATAAACAGGAGTTGAAACAGGAGTTTTGTTGATTCTACCTCCAAGTTTTATTTTAACCAAGCTGGCAAACATTTCTTTGGGTGCTCAGTGTGAGAATATCCATGAACCAGACTGAAACCTCTCTTTAAATAAAGGTCTTTTTATGAAGGGAAAGTTGAGACACTGGCATAAAAATCCAGCAGTTGATCCAAACCAGGGCTCTGTGTGCAGCTCATGTATATTTTCCCCTGTCACTGTGTGCCTCAGCTCAGGCAGCACGGCAGAGATTTGCTTATTAAGTTTAGAGGTTAGCAGTGTCCTTGACATGTGCTGCCAGAAGCCGGCCATAGTGAGTCATCAAAGCTAATGGGGGAAGCATGGACAATTTAATCTGGACTGGAGAGCTCTTGATCTCTGATGGTGCCCACTCAGAAGGCCTTTGTTGTCAAATAGAGCACACCCATCCCTGCCCACTCAAGATTTTCGAGGCAGATTGCAGTGATAGAACGTGGCTGAGTGCTGTCCAGCCAAGAACAGTTGTTATCCTTCTTTGAAAGTCTCATCTGAGTTTGTTGAAATGGGGTTGCTGTGTTTAAGTTTACGGCTTGACAAAAATGACTGGTTGTTACCTACAGCTGCATGAGGTCATAAATGGAGGAGTTGAGCTGTCACAATCCTGTGTTTTGCTAACAAAAGAGTAAATAGATTCTGCCGAGGGGATGGAGAGTGAACTTTGCATTTATTAAATATTGTGTCCTGAATGTTAAAGTTTCTGCCAAACAGCATCTGCAGATAAAACCAGCACAACTGTTTTGTTTTAAATGAATTTTCTTTGGCAACTTTGTGTCTCTTTATTTTTCCACAGGAAGACAGGTGGTGAACTAGGCTGTGCACAGGGCTGACATGCTGACTGTTTTTACAAACAAAGGCTGAAACACAGACACACCTCTGATGCGACCAACCCGCCTGAGCTCATGGTGTGTGCGAGCTGGGATACACTAGTGGCCTGGCCAAAGAGTGCAGCAATAAAGCCCACACAGGTGAGAGGAACACTTTCTCTCTTGCACAGTCTTTGTCAATCTTTAGAAATTAAAGCTTTTATGTGGGATTTTTTTATTTAAAGGGCTAAATTATTTGAATTTAAGGGTCCTTTTAATCTATTTTTTCTAGGATGTCGTGGGCCAGAAACCTCTTCAGAGGCAGAACAGATGAACGAAAGACTGCATGGGGGGAACGCAATGGCAAAAAAAGAAAGGATAGTTCATCACTGTGCAACCCACACTACATGAGCTGCCTGAGAGACCCTGAGGACCTGGAGCCCCCTAATGTGGCCTCTAAACATTATAGCTGCACAGCGGGCACCAGTGGGGGTCAGTTTGGTGTTCGCTGTGGATGGCAGGAGGACCACTACAGGACGAGGATGGGTGGCGGTGGCGGGGATCTGGGTCTTAAAGCGGTGGATCTGGGCTTTGAGGATGGCGAGCCGAAAGGGAGGAAAGATGACGAATCAGGGGAATCGGCGGAGGGAGGCTGTAAGGTGATGTCTGTGGTGGACTGTTGGAGACGGTTTATCTGGATTTTCCAATCCAAGAAATTTCAGTCTGCCAAACTGGAGCGGCTCTACCAGCGTTACTTCTTCAGACTCAACCAGAGCTCTCTGACTATGCTGATGGGGATGCTGGTGGTAGTCTGCGGAGTCATCCTGACTATTTTCTGCATCTACCCAATGTCTACACCCCTGTATCGTGAGGCCAGTATAGCCTATATCTCAGTGCTTTCATTGGCCATGGCTCTTTTTCTGGCCATGATGGTGGTGTGCAACCGAAACGGTTTCCACCAGGACTACATGTGGATAGTGAGCTACCTGGTGATTGGGGTCCTAGTTGTGGTTCAAGTATTTGGGGTGGTGATGGTTCACCCCCCCAGTGCCTCAGAGGGCATCTGGTGGACAGTTTTCTTCATCTATATTATCTACACACTGCTGCCCGTCAGGATGAGAGCTGCTGTGGTCTGTGGAGCTGTGCTGTCCATCATACATGTAGTGACTGCATGGCAGCTTAACCCTCAGCACCAGAATGTTTTCAGACAGGTGAGTGACAGCAGGAGCATTGTCTAATGAAAAAAGTCATGTCTAAAAACAGTTCTGATGTGGATTTAGAGGTGAATTGGATTTTAATATCAATCAAAGATATCATCAGTAATTTTAACCAATGTTATCGATTTACACTCTGCAGAAACATGTTTAAACTTTATTGTTTTTTTGATTACATGTAATCAAAACTCAACATGTGGGTTTCGGACTGTTTCTCATATAAAACACACAACCCGAAGACATCATTTTGGGCTTTGGGAAATTACTACACAATTTTTATGACATTTCCAGTTGACATAAAAAACAATTCATCAAAATTCAAACTGAGCAGCTTCACATGTATGTTGTTGACATACAGCAGCCAAGAAATTGTCCTTAAGAAACTTGCTTGATCTCGATTGGTCTGAAAATCTGTTCTTGCTTTCAGATTCCTACAGATTAATTACTAAGATCTCCCTTCATGTCCTCATATATATATATATATATATATATATATAATATTGGCTCAAAAACTGGAGGTTAGATCAAGCCAAAAAAAGTACATTACACTTTTAAAATTTGTTTGTGTAAGGAGATGGTCACATTTTTAACAAACACTAACCATGTGGACAGTAATTGTCACTGTCCATGTTTTCCCTCTGTGTGCTGGTCACTCTTAAGAGTAGTTAAGTGGGGGACAGAATCAACAGTGTCTGTTTGTCCACACAGAAAACATTTCAAAGTTCAGCCAAAGTTGATATGAGTTCTCAGCCGTTTCACATATTCAGTGAACGACTTCCAACTTCAGGGTCTTGTCATACCAAATTCCTGCTACACTCTTCTTGAAAAAGATCATAACTTTGAACGATTGGTCTAGCTCAGCCCGCTGAAGCCTCTTATCAGTTTTGGCTGTACTACATGATTCTTTTTTGAACAGACAGATGACTGTAGACTTTCTTTCCTACAAAATAAGAACAGAACTCTCCCTAGCTAGCTTTTCCCACTAAAGAACAGTGGCCTGTAGAGTTTTGGGCTTTAGAGAACTGTTGATAGATGGAATTATAAATGTGACTCTATCTTTCAGTAGTCATTACAATCAGTTTTAGCACTGTCTTCATGTTGTGAATGTACATCCGTGAAACATCTTTTTAGATTCCTCTCTCTGCTAGAAAGCAACAAGCTCTGAAGTCAGAGCAGACATTTACATTCATGAGAAAACAAGACCCAATTCTCAGGCTGGTACCAGTCATGGTCGACCATTATCACCATACAACTGAGCACAATGTTGTTACTGTGTTCGCTAGTCAAAACGCCCTACTTTCTTTTCCTCCCCATCAATATAGGACAAACATTGTGCAGATGCCACAGCCTCTTATCCACGTCGAAGGTGCTGCACTAAAAGCAGATGATGCTGTAGGTCTTGGCAACTTTAAAAATAAAAATTTGTAATGGGTCTATTATTCATGCTGTATAGGAAAGTTTTGGCAACTCTGTTGGGGTTTGCAGAGGGTCATCTGGGTTGAATGAGCCCGTTTAACTGCATTGTGGAGGAATATCATGATAATGTAGCATGGTGCCATTCAGGACGCAGTTCCTCTCAACAAGGAGGCTATTGTGGTGAACTGACACAGGGTGGGGTGGAAAACTTGTGTTGTGCAATGGATTTGATGGAAAACAGGGTGATGACTACTTGGAGTGGAGGCTGTGAATAACATGAACACAGGACAAGTAATTTATTATTTCACATTAACATATTGGAATATTTCTTAATTACTTGTGGCTGTTAATGCCTTCAGTATGTGCTGATGGATGCTCATTAGATGTCTTATAATGATTAATGCCGCTATGTTTAAAATATGTACAGTGCATCCAAACATTATATTTAGTTTCAAAACTGTTCATCAATGAGCCAAAATATGATTTAACAAAAACAGTCGGCATTATCGGTTATTAGAGGTCAGTCTGCCCACTATCTTGATTTATCTATCCATCTTGATTTTTGAATATATCTGAAATAAACGAAGGAAAAAAGAGAGGAGTAAAAATTGTAAATCAGAAGTTCCCTGTTTCCCAACTATTGTCACATCAACTTCCAAAATGCAGAGTTCAGTATTTTATCGATGAAATAAAACTTAAAAAAGACAAACTTCGATATTTCAGAGATCAACTGATTTTAGGCAAATTTTTTTATTGACAGGTGGCTACAGAAGCAGTTTGACCTAGGGATGCTCCGATCCACATTTTTTTCACATCCGATCGGATCTCGATTCCTGAATTTGGATATCTGCTATAACCGCTCTGTTAGCTTGACCATCATGTTTATCTTTATTGTTTATTCATTATTATCTGTCATGCTGTCTGCTGGAAGTTTACCTTGATTTTGGTATGACTCCAGAAGTAATTCCTGGTGTCTCTTTTCCTCTTTCTATCCCCTGGCTAAAAAATCTGTGCAAATCCTTGTCCTTACAAACATTGCACGTTGCTGTCTTACTTTGTGGCGCTTCAACTGTAAAATATTTGCACTCAGCAGACATATTGTGTGAAAAAGTTCGTTAGCCCTAGTGCTGCTCAAAGCTAGCCTGGTAGCTTTCTGGCTGCAAACTGCGGAATGGATTTCCTGAATGGGGGCGTGTTTCATCATTTCAACAGACAAAGTTAAAGCAAAGACATGACTTTAGTCGGAAGTTTCCGATCCATGAACTACGTCGGTCTTGGAACCCATTACCGATACTCAATATACTCGGTATATACTCGGTATATATCGGATCAGCCCCATCCCTAGTTTGACTATTTTTGATGACCCAGAATTTAATAATTCACTTTTATTTCAGCTCCAAACTATTGAAATATGTTCATTGTCTTTCTGTGTCTATTGAAACAATAGGCCATTCTCACTAAAGACATTGCTACCTTTCACATCAGGAAAGCAAAGGCATCATCAATAAAATAATGATGACTAAATTCCATTAGCTTTGTCATTGTCAGGGTCTTCAGTGCTGTGAATGCTTGTGTCAGATAGTCAATGATAATGGGACACTTAGAATTACAGAGCCTCACTTAATGCTTTTAACTGCAGTGTTGCTTTTCCAGTATGACGGCTCTGGCTGAAAAATCATCTCCACTCAGAGTTGCTCGTAAAATTTACCTGCATGACTTTTTTTTTTCTTACACATATATCTCAAAGCTGTCCTCCCCTTCGATTGTTGCTGCACAGTGCAGTGGAGCTTTGTTCGATGGTGGGGAACGTGAGCGTCCCCGTGATGGCCTTTAAGTAGCCTTTTCACCTTTGAAAAAAAAAGTCAGAATCACGTCACAAACTAGACATGATTTTTGTTCCTGTTGAAGTTTGCCATGTTTGCTCTTCTAAAACACACGAACTCTGGCTGGAGTCTGGACCTGTTATTGGTTTACTCCACCAACAACTGCTATTAAGCAACCAGATGAGTATGGAGCCATTGTAAATGAAGCAATGTTGACTGAACTCTGCTGGTCTGGTGTGCGTTTGTATTCAGTGAAAGTGCCCCAGACTTGTGTCCATACGCTCCAGCCTGGGCTGTTGCATTAGCTTTCTGATGATTGACAGCTGCCCTGCCTGAGGGTTTGGACCCCAAACACCAAAAGTTACAGCTCTAGTAATCGATGATGAAACGGTTTCCCTAGTTTGCTCAGTTGTAAATGCTTTTGTCATCCTTACATCAGTCTGAATGAAGGGGATTTTCAGGTGATTCATTTGTTTTCACGCTCAGAAAAAGGGCAGCACACGGTATCTTTTAGTCATTTCTCAGTACCAGGGGATATCTCTCAAGCTACTCGCCGTTGTATGAATAGAGAAGGACTCCATTCAGGCTGTTTCACCCGCGGTATCACACATGGAGGCTTACACGAACTCTGTGGTTCTTCGTATGTCAGGGCCAGACTTTCTGTTCTGGGAAAGCTGGTTTCTTCTTGTGGGACCTCATCATCCTCCGGCCCACTCTGTGTCCCAGCCTTGTTTTTCCCCTTATTTGTATTTTCCCTGTGGGGCGTTCATGCAGGTTCAGGGCTGAGAAGATGTGAGAACGATGATGATGATGACAGACGGGGTCTTTGTCAGGGGCCTCTGTAATGAAGCAGGGAAGAAGGGGGGCATTTGTGAAACTGATGGGGACGACAACAGATTGAGAGTGTGAAGTAACGCTAAGCTGACTCAGTAAAAGTAAAAGAGACGCCACTCTTCTCTCTCTTTTTTTTCTTTCTCCACTTTCCTCTGAGTCATTATTCCACACTCACATTATTCCTCAACAAACTGAGAAAGAGCCCAGCTTCTCATGGGGATAGTTTCCATAGATCTCCCTGTTTCAGGGCTCTGCTGTGAAGAGCCTCCCAGACAACCATAGAAATATGAAGGTAGATCTGTTCTCAGAAATTAAAAAGTGAAGCTGCAGATTCATTTGAAAAGGTTATAAATATCTAATAAGAAAGAACATTTTTGATCAGACAGGATGGACTCAGTTTGTTCTTGAGCTCTGACCACCATGTCCTTGGTGGTAGCCCCCCCAAAGGTTTCACGCATTCTCAAGTGGTCATCAAATAATGTAATTCTGTGGTTTTGTACTTTAGTTGACTTCTCTTGGACTGGACTTTGGTCTTGACTAAATAGAAAATACTAAAAAAAACTTTTTCCCTCACTTCTTGCTTGGCTTTTTTTTGGCTGTTGCTATTGACTTTTTCAACGGATAAAACATGGCAGACCTTTCTGTAATGACATGCAGAAAATCAATCGATGTAGAGCTGTGGCTCTTCAATGCAGATCTCCACTTTTGAACCATTTAAACTACCCTTGTCTTCAGTTTCATAGATTTAGATTATTTTTTATGATTGAAAACCAAACCAGTTTTTCAATCATAAAGTAAGTCAAGTTGCTGGAAACTTTCTATGGATAACTTATTGTGTTATAGTGCTTCTAGTGCTGCAGAAGGGTTGGTCATTTCATCCTTATCTTCTACCTTCATTTGAATTTGGTTTTGTGAGTTAGCTACACCCAGCTCAATCAAGTATTGACAGTTTGACTCAAAGCTTTTTGACACAGAGATGCTCCAATCCTCTGTTTTTCTGTTCAGGTTGTGACGGGTTGTTTCTGGAATCTCTTACTGGGAGCTTAGAAAGTTCTGATGCTGAATCTTCAAATGAATTAAATTTTGACTTTAGCATCTAGAAGCAGGTAGCAGGGTCATCTGTTTTGGACAGTTTTCTTTCAAGCTCCTTTGAGCCTTTGGTCTGGGCACAACCTAGTGTCAATGCTTATATTATCAGCATCAGTAATGACATCACCCACTGCCCCCACAATCAAATGTGATTTTAGAGATGCGCCCAAACTTCAAAGTAGTCCTCACTCTAAAATTCCCTCAAGCATTTGTCTGCTTTTGTCAAGTCACCGGAAATTTGATTAAAGCTTGTGGCCCCAAGTCCCCCCCGACTATGGCTGGAAGTCAGATATGCAATATGCACACACACGCACGCACACACAGAGATGGAAATACACATCACTTGTTATAGATTCATTTAGGCCCTGAGTGCCATCCTTTGAGAGACCACCTGTCCAGCTTTAGTTTGTTGAGGTCCCTTGTGGTTGAATGAGTGGAGAACTAACTCCCAGACTGGCATGCAGAAGAAATTGCTTTGATATATGTATTTTAGTAACTTAAGAATGAACAGCTGTGCATCCATATACCTTCATGTATTAAGGGGGATTATGTGACTTGAAGAGTCATTGTTTGGTTCTATGAAGTTAGAGGCAGGCGGTGTGCAAGATGTCATGCAGGGATTAACAAGGAACCAAACAGAAGTTGTCCTTTTGTGTGCAGCAGGATATATTTGGCTAACCAAATCCTAAGCAGAGTCCTCTGAGGAGGAGCTATCGACAGGCAGGTCAATAAAAGAGTGAAGTCTCAAAGGTACATCTCGTCTGTGCTTTTGTTATTGTGTGCTGATCCGGCGCTAGAGGAAAAACCTGTTCCTTTGGCAGATTGTTATGGGGTCAACGAATATGGGACTAGTGGAAACATACTGGGACCTCTGCTGAACAATAGAGTTAAAGATACTAATCAATGAAATGACACAGGCATGGCTGATGTGTGCATAATGCATTTAGGCCAGAACATTGGTGTTATAGAAGGGGAAAACAGAAGGCAACCACTCGAGCTACTTTAACCTTTATGCAATTATTTAGGATGTTTTCTCAGGAAGTGGTGCAACAGCTGTTTGTGTGACACCCTCTGCCCTCTAACTCATGTCTCATGGGTGATTCTGTTTATGAATGTACAGGACAAAGCACATTTTATTTTGTTTCTTATTGACACAGAGCTAGCAGAGTTATTTAGGCCTGGGTGTTGGGTGGGGTATTGTTTACATTCTAATCATACTCGTAACAATAAGATAATGGGTTTCAGTGTGTATAGGTGAAAAAAGTAGATGCTCTAGTTTTAGGGATTCAATCAAAATCCATCATTAGATCCTTGTAGGTTTAAGCAGCATTGAAGGTTACATCTTAAAATTAGCTTTCTTGAAAAAAAGATCAAGAAACATTATTTTGTTTTGCTTGAAGTCGAGATAAACTCAGTAGTTGTGTTCTCATGAAAATGCTGGTTTAGATCAGGCTAAGTAAGGTTTTTAAAACACAATATAAGATGACATATATTAGGTATTCAGAGCCAGCATTTGAAGATCCATTCTGATCTGCAGACTGTTTTTGCTTAGCACCCGACATGTATTGAAATTTGACACTAAGTCTGACTTTTATTGAGCGAGTTCAGCGTCCTGTGTTCGCACTGTATGTCCAGCCGAACACACACACACACAGGACTCAAAAAGTGGAGTGTGTGATCTGTGTCTGTCTGCGTGGATCAGAGCAGCTCACACGGTTGTTATCAAATGGTGAGAACCCATCATCAGGTACTGTGGGTGCCAAACAATGCACTGCCTCAAATAATAGATCCCCCCCATTCTTCCTATCCCCTCCCCTTTAGACAGGGAGAGAGCTTGTGACTCATCCCCCTTATTGTATTACAACCAGAGGCAACGATACAAACTCGGATAGCTTCCACCACCATGGGTGGGAGCAATTAGGATTAGTGATAAGAGAAATATTGCCCATAGAATGCGGCCAATGATAAAGCAAATAATTGGCCGGCTAATAATAGCAGTTGAGTCAGGGATGAGGAAGTGCAGGCTTCTAATAACAGCTCATGGTTTACTAACAACTTGGCTCTCCACAAAAGTAAATACAGGGATTTAAGGCTGAACTGCCATGGCGGACAGCCAAGAGATATATATTAGGAATCCATTAGCGGTGTTAAATGTTGATCTGTAGAGCACGCAAACCCAAAGGCTTTTAAGGGCAGTTTTACTTTGGAGATCCTGTTGAGTGTAGAGCACCCAATCCCAGCGCCGGTGACAGGAAGGTGAATGGCTCTCTGTCAAAGGTCAGTGTCAGACAAGCCAACTGTCGGGTTATCCCACTTTCCCAGTTCCAATTACACTTCTGCAGCATATGTCCGGCCTGCGTGAGAATGCATCACTGCAGTGAAGCTGTAATTAACCAACATGCTCGCTATCTGCACAAACACCTTCCTGCTATTGAAATGTACACCGCTGTGGACAACACATGTCTCAGCTGGCATACATGGACCTTCTGCAGCCTGCCTGACCGCTTTACCTGCAGCTGACCTGCTAATGAAATGGAAAGAACAGGCCTCTGTCTTCTTTAATCCAGTCAGTGTGGACAGTTTTTCTTGATAAGTTTAAAGCAGCCAGCCTCAGTGTCTCTCAGCTTGGCTTTTTCACATATTCAGTGAATGACGTCAGATACAATAACAAGACTCCAGTCTCATGATGTAATTTCTCACACTCCACACATACTTGATTAATTTAGAGGAAGTTATTCTCTGTCTTTAGCATTCACAGGATCTAAAAGGACCACGTCTGGAGCTCAAACCTCAGGAAAAAAAAAAAAAAACTCCTGTGAGTTGTAATGTGACCTCCTCTCACATGTAAAAAAAAATGAACATGTTTCCTTTTAAGGAGGCAGAAAGACAGGACCTTTTGTCTTTGTTTAGGATAAAGTGTCATGAGCACCTTTATGTCGTAAAGAAGAGACGCAGCTGTCAGACTGTACATTTACCTTACATGAAATGTGCCTGAGAGACTCCAAAGGCGTCTTTGTTGTGGTATGTAAAGCCCGTCAAACATGGATGTAAACAAAGAAACATGCACTTTTACAGTAGCTGTCCTACTTGTAGTTTCTAAACCATGTGCTGAAACTTAGCACCTGCGTGTTTTATTCACGTGAAACACTCCTGATGTATCAGGATTCACAAACATGTGCGTCACACGTGACGTTATTCCTTGAAGTTGGCCAGAGAGGCGGATGTGTTAAATGCATGAGTTCAGTCTCAGCTCATCATCAACTGATGAAGCCCAAACATCAGCTGAAGCAGTCGCTGCGCTGCTCTCGTGCTACCGCTGTTTAAACTATAACCTGTTGTTCTTGTACCAGTATTGATCTGTATGCTTTGTAGTAAAAGTCAATATTGTGTATAGGAAGAGACAGAACAGGGAAGGACATGGTTAAAACTTTAATGGTTATGATAGCAGACTCTTATATAAGTGGACAATCAAACAACCAAACCAAACTCTTGTTTTTATTGGCCCACACAGGTTTTAAGTTATAGTCTGGAGAATTTCAAGACGCTTGAAGAGGAAAACATGCTCAGGTGCTAAACAGATGATGCCCCATAGTTTTACTAGGCAGGTGTAGACTGATGTTACACCCACCCGTGTCACAGTGTAATAGTGGTTGCAGGATCATGCTGTAAATTTGTGCTTAAAAGGAGTGGGAGCCAATAGCATCTAAAATGAGAATTCCTGGATGTTTAGCTCATCGCCACATAGTTCAAAGTCTGGACTGGCTCACAGAGTTCAGAGTAGTGGGACGAACCAGCAGAGGAGAGTGGTGAACTGGTGGGCTGGTTGGTTTGTTAAGCCCATTAACCAAATCTTGTTTTCTCAAAAGCTGCCGTGCTGTAATTGCAGCTGCGCCTGCGAGGGTGTGAGTGGGCAGGAAGTGAGGGGTTAGCGAGGACACAGCTGGGAGGAGAGTGTTGTGTCCGGCCCTGCCTACCCCTCCCCCCTCCTCCCCTTTCCCCAATCTCAGCCTGTCCAGTCAAACACTGACCCCGGCCTGGACCACCGAGCAGACAAGACCACCGACAAACACACAGTAGTGACATCTTTACACCTGCTTTACATCTAATTATACTTATCCACCACAAATGTTTATTAAATGATCATACTGTGGGTGTCAGTGAATTAGTGGTGGACAAAGAGCACAATTAGGTGTTTTGAGTGAAAGTGGAGATACTACTTTGACACAACTGCATAGAAACATTATTTGGGTGTTTTTTATAAACTTTGAAAAGTTTAAAAATACTTTTAAAATCATTGATTAAAATATTTGGATGGCTTCTATACCAGAGGTTGTAGTTTGTAAGTAAGACATACATAATGTGAATGACTCTTGTACATCTGTGTTGTTCACAGTAGTTATTATAAACACAGTAATATGCTTTACATAATATATACACGTTTGTTAGGATTGCATTGCTGCCATTCTAACAATTCACAGGAGGATTGAGTACTCATTGTAGTTTATTCTGCAGTGACATGGGATATACATCAACAGCAGCTGCATAGAAGTGTGTTCCCACTTTAACCACAAAGAAAGGCTCAGTGTTCCCTAAACATACAAGTTTTGGACACCCATAGATGAAATTTTACAATTTACCATGCAAAAAAAGAATTAGTTCCTTTGCACTTTGTTTAGTGCTCACAGATTTAATACTTCATGCAGTTAGATTATTACTTAAGTTTAAGGACTGTAGTGTGTTTTTTAACAACACTTTAGTATTTAAGTAAATTTAAAATCCTTATAATCATTTATTATTTTGTTCTGATCTTCATTTTTATTCAAATAACATTATTTACACTTTTAAAACTGGCATGCCACAGGTTTTTAGATATGAACCATAAAAGAAAAAAACAACCATAGTAGCACATGCTTTCTCTGTCTGTTTAGCAAGTTTATTTTCTAATTAATTTATTTGTAGTCTTCATCCTTGTAAAACACGATCCTTTTGTCCTAAAGGGTCACCAGAATTACATGAAATCTCTTCACAGTGCCTTTAAGAATGAAAAAAGCCCAAACAACACCTGTTGATACTGTCAGTAAAGCTGCTGCCACTCTTTCTGTCTGCAACATCTACATATTATTTTTGTGATTCTAGGTGACCAGATATCAGTCTGTTTAGATTTGTGTCTTTGATTGGATATCTCTAACAAATCAAAACCATCCATTTAATAAGAATTTAAAGTAATGACAACGTCTACGAAATATAAAAACTCTGGATTAAAGCAGCGGCACAATAGTCACGCACACACACATACACACACACACACACACACATACAAATACACACACACACACACACACACACACACACACACACACACACACTTACTGTAGGGTTATTGTGTGACTGTTTCTTTAAATCACAGGGACAGGAAGTGTGTGGGAAGGAAGGGATAAAGGATATGTGATAGATGTCCGAAAGCAGCGGATGTAAAGCTGAGATGAGACATTTAGTCAAATCAAATGAGTCACTGTGAAGTAATAAAATGAGTAAAATCAGGGCAGGTCCCTTTAGCATTGATTTAGAGACCATCAACAACAACAAAAAAAACATCTCCTGTCTTTGTGTGATTTTGTCATTTGTTGTTGAGGCCATGAAGTCCTCTGTTAATGTTTCCGTGATGGCTTTTTAGGTTTGCTAAAGACCTGCAGATACAGATTTAGAAAGACAGCTGCAAAGTTAGGGCCAGGTGACTTTAAACGGTCCATGTTGAAACTGTTGGAGGCTGAAAAAGACAGATAAGTGATCATTATTATCTTTTGGCTTTAGGCTAAATTTGTTGGTCAGATTCGAAAAATTAAGTGGGTAATTTTAGCGAGTGCTCACAGTTTGTTTTAGCCAGTACTTCCTGGAAGGCTGAGAGATTTTCCTCATATTTGGAAACATATATGGACAAGTATTAAATACGGATCTGGATTTCTGACAGATGTGTGGCCAGCTCTATTTAGCTTTGTGGAATTTTCTTCAGCTTTCACAAAGATCACTTTGTGGCCTCTCTGGTCGACTGAGACCAATTTTGGTTTGGCCCAAGTCATGATGAAAACAGACCTTCAATTCCAGCTGGCAGAGACCCAAGATGGCAGAGGCGGCCACCCCCACCCATCTGCAACATGCATCTTTATAAGGAATGGTGTCTTTTATGTGGCAGTAATTGAACACTGTATTAACCTCAGATAGATGAGAACAAGTAAATCAAGGTCTTATAGTATTTTTTATTTTTACTTCTCTATTATGAGACTCTTTTCGAGCTAAAACCAGCAGTGTGAGAGCAGTCTTTGACTGTTATCTCTGTAGGGCATTTGAAAAGCTCCAGATGACTATCAAAGGTCATGAGCTGGAGAGAAGAATCTCCAGAGTCTGTGAGCTAGAGGATGAAGAACTCTGGCCTTTGAGAGGTTAAAACCTTGGTGTTAATGGAGCACATGGTTGATGGGACATCCAATTTAATCTGTTACTGCAGGCCATTTTAAACCTTTATGGATAACTCCAAACATTGATTCCACAGACCCTTTTAAATAACCAGCAGTGTGTTTGATCTCTAGTAATTAGTTTTTAGTTGACCTCCTCTAGCTGTGCTGTTGGAGAGTTTTCATTGGTTACAAATCATTGTTTTGTATCCAAGCTCTGCTTGTGGTCATGGTGTCACATGAACCTTCTTAAGAAGAAACACATGTGCAGAAACCATGTGGCAACCTCCTGTCCTGAGAAACAAAGCCAAGGCAAGTGTGCAAGAAAACAAAAGCCCAGAGGATTCCCATTGGAGCCTGTTTTAAAATGCCCACTCTTACAGCAGAGTTACATATACATTTATCCTCTATCTTTTTTCTATATACCCATCTGGTATAAAACTTTTGTTTGACCTCTGCTCCTCATTCTTTAAATCATAACTGTATAGAATGTAAAATCTTATGTAACGTATGTATTTTGATTATGCAAAAGCTAAGAGATGTGCATGACAACACAAAATCAGGATCATGTCTGATATGACTGACAGCTCTGCACACTGTAGTTGTTTGCCAAGCAGCAAGGCAATGGTGTCAATGCCAGTTCTTTACCAAATTAGCTGAAAGTTAGAGTCAGCATTTCCATGGCAACTGCCATCTTTGGCCTTCATAACGCCTCCTAAGAGACCACTGGGTGATGTCATTGAGACTTCATCCACGTTTATACTGTCTGTAACATCAGGCCATAGATTCATGTCTGGTATTCATGTACTGATGGATATAAAGCATTGGCTTTTTCATACTCCTTTTTTACTGAATGAACAGATCATGTCCTTTATGATAAAAAATGTTGTGTTTATTCCAGTGTTCTCGTGGGTGACAGAATTGTCTACTTAGATATTGTTAAAGGAAGATTTAAGAGAGTGTTTTCTGTAACTTGCCAAGAACAGCTCCTTCCCATCCCTTTCTTTCATTCATTTTCTAAAATGTGATCCGCCTGCCTCAACTTTATAAAGCACCTTGCAGAGAGCCGCACCTTATAAGCCAATGTTTGGAGTCCTTTTAACTTTGCAGCCAAGAGGTTCCGTCTTAAGCAAATGTCGAGCTAAGACCATCTTTGAGAGCTAGAAGTCTGCAGGCAGAATGATCAGGGCTGGGTACTTTTAAGTCCAGCTTAGTGGTTGTTGAGACAGAAAGAGAGAGAGAGCTAATTAGGGGAAGTTTCCTCTGCTGCCTTTACGCCACATGGCTGTTTGGAGTCTGTGCTAGATTTTCATGCCTGCTTGATACGAGAGCAGCGACAGACAGAACAAGCTGTAACATCAAAGAGATGCCTGGCCAAATGGAGTCACACACTCGTACAACACACGAGATTTATTCAAACCCCTTTGGAAGAGTTTCTGCTCCTAATCTTCAGAAACATGTGGTGACCAAGCATGACGGGGCATTAGGACACGTTTTTTTCATCATATTTCCCAACACTAAAATTTCATGTATTCAAGGCTTTCCTGCTGTGTCATGGAAAAGTCAATCAATTGTTTTTCAGAATAAACAATGCTTATCCTGAATTGATTTTTTAAAAAGCTATTGCGTAGTTTCAGTACTTGCTACATCACCACTTGCATCAGACTAGCAAACAGCTGGGTACCTACCCTATCACTACAGTGCTGTGTGATTTTCCATTCAACAGAAATATGTGAATTCCTAAATGTGTGACCTCCTAAGCCATGTTTTGGCTCGCTCTATATTTGTTGCCAAGCTCTTGAAATCAATTTGATAGAGCACAGTTGTTACTTAGATTGAAATCTTAGAGCGTTCACATGGGAAACTGAATTGGCTGAATGTAAATTGAGCGTATTGTGGGGATATAAGCGTGGTCCTGGGAACTGCAGGTGGCCCTGTATCTCAGACAGGCCACCTAACTGAGTTATCTGGTGCTCACTGTTCAGGGCCATCTGTTTGGGATTAATGCGATCAGGTTATATCAGAGCCCCCAAGACTGAAGTGTCAGCTCTACACTGGTGGTCTGTTACATCATGATGCTAATCAGGAGCCCTGGTATGTCAATATCATTAGATTTATCTCTGAAAGAGTGACAGAACAAGGTCAGATAATCTGTGTAGTTTTTCACAGATGATCTTATATAGGGGAGACTGGGGTAAGTTTAGCCACCCCCTGTTGCTTGGAAATGGTAAAAGAAATTGATCATATGACCAAATATTAAGCAGATGAGCATCAATTCATGGAGTCTGTGAAGGTTAGAAGCACATGGGTGAAGGGGTTAAACATTAATTTCCAAAAAAACATTTTTTACTCTTGAAAGTAAATTTAGTCTGTCATTAGACATTTATTAGAATTGTGTTCAGACCAAAAAAAATCATTTTAATTTGGTTTATTCATCGATTGTGGTATCTATGAGCTACAACATGAGGTCAAAAAACCTAACATAAAAGTCCACCATTTTAGTTTAGAGGACTAATAAAGTCATAATAGTTTTTCAGGGGTAAGTTGAGTCAGTGGATCAACTGAGAAAGTAAAGGAGTCTGATGAGAGGATCAGAGTTTCAGTTCAGATTGTTGAAATGTTTTACTTTTTCTTTTCAGAAATACAGCTGTGAATCTGAATCACTTAAAAACATTCTCATGTTAAAATGGCTTTTTACAAAACAGCTTTTTAGCAGTTATATGCAATAATAATAAGAAGAATTATTGTACCAGTACCAATTATTGTACCGGCTCATCTTACTCCATACATGGGGTAAGTTGACCATAGAGACCACTTTTTTTGGCATGCTATGAACAACATCTTGAAATATATGCAGATACATCAGTTAGAGACAAAACTATGATTGCCTTGATGTAGTGATCTGAAATCTGAAAAATGGCTCATCTTACCCCACTCTCCCCTATGAAGTCCCTGAAAGTTGACCATCAATCATTCTGTATCACCCTACTTCAACAAGTTCAGGAAAAACAGCTTCTTGGATTTTAGACACTGTGTCATTTCCCTCTGTACCAGCTACACCAGGGGTCTGTCATCACCCAAATGTATCAAAGCATGTTTGCTGGTGCACCTGCAGACATCACGGTGTCCCTCCTTTTGCTCACTGCTGCTCTCCTAATTTCGTTTGACCATTTATTTTTTAGGTGGAATAAGAAAGTAGCACCAGCTCTCTCCTGGAGTAAATAGTGGATTTTGCCTGCCTTTGTCTTGAGGTTACGGTGTACTGTTTCAAGCAGAGGTTGTCAGATTGTCTCTTCTGTTGTGGCAACATTAAGAGAGTTCTTGTGTGTATACAATCCAAACCTGATCTGAGGACAGTGTTGGAAATCCTGAAGGTGAATTTGAGTCAACTTGTTTTTGGAGTTTTAATCACCTTGTGAGTGTTAAATTTAGGTTGTGCTGCTTTTGTTTAAGAATGACAAAGATGTAAAAATATTCGGTGTATGCATCAGAGATAATTGTTCTCTATCTCTCGTTTTCCATCTCTCTCTAGCTGTCTTTTTTTAAAAACACACACAACAAACATGCACTCAGACCCACACTGGTTTGGTGACATACCAGCAATGGTTCAAAAATACTGGTAGTGGAATTTTCATGTCATCCAGTTTCGTCAAATTCTCGTGAATAAGATTGATTAAAATAGAGTTTTTATTTGTGTACTGTGCCTGCATCTCCTTTTCTCATTATTGATGATTTCATCTTCAGAGGAAACACTCTGTGCTCCGGTCATGGGTCAAGTGACTTTCCCAGGCTGGAGTGTGTTTCTGAGCATGTAGAGGATGCGTGTGCATGTGTGTATGTGAGTGAGTGAGTGAGAGTGGAGGGGAAGTCCAGGGCTCAAGGCTCCATTTCTGACGTTCAGTCTTCGCAGTGAAAGAGTGAGGAGAGAAATCACTAACAGACTTACCACACACATGTAGAAACAGAAAAGGCACACACAGAATGCTGCTGGAGCAGAGCAGAGGAATGTCTTTAAGGTCTATGACCCCGCAAAGCTAACTGTACAGTCACTCTATCTTAACTTCATCCACACAGGCTTCAGATAATGCTGTTTTACAGAGCGTGCTTCTGCATTCTTAGAGCCTCATTGCTCAACAAACATAACTCATGAATGTGGGGACACACAAGAAAGTAACTGTAATGGCTGCTCCTGTTTCTCCTCATTTTGATTTAGTGCAGCTTTATTACCATGTTACCACCAATGCGGTCTTACCAAAGCATGTCAACACAAACTTCACAATCCTAACAAAAGCAGTAACAGTGGACGAAGGCTTAGAAAACAACAACAACATTATACATCACGATCAATAAATTCACTATTTGTCTTGCGGGACAAAATGCAAATTCAGAGAAGTTTGAGGCATCATGGTATTTTTGGATGTGCATAATCAATGCTAACATTCAGTCACTCCAGACACAGACAAAGAGGTGGAGTTCAGGTGGAGTAAAACAGCACCTGCCTGTCAATCAGCTTTGTACCTCTAATTACGCTTAATGATACAAACTTGTCACCCTTTTATTTTTCAAAATAGTTGAGTCAGAAAAGCAGTCTTACCATTCTTACCCAGCTGTTGCCTCAAGTGGACACTCAAGGAACTGCATTTTTTTGCTCTCCTAAACTAGTTATGGTTTTGAATTCAGGAGGCCACAGTGAAGTGTCTTTGATAGCAGAGCTGCAAAGTTACTAAATCAAGTTAACTTTCTGACATTTCTTGTCTCTCTTATTTTTCTGCACACTTTCAAAACAAATGCAGGAATTAATAAACTATTTTTCAATTATTGTTTATTTAAATTTTTTCACACACCGCATTACCAATATCAAGATTTATTTCAATCAAATGCACCCAATGAAAAGAGGATTTCTTGGTGTATTCTGAGATCAGCATAAAACACAGATCGAGATAAAAGGAAAAGCAAGAGAAACTCAGCAGGAAAGAAGAGGCATCTATGTGTGAATGTGATGTTATATAAAACTTGTGGGGATGTAGATACAAAAGGAACCAACCAACAATCTTAAGTTCAAACACTTAATCATCAGTGAAGAATGAACTATATAACTTCAGTTATCAAACTACCTCTTGTGAAAAATTCTATGCACTTCCGTCTCTTGAGACATGTTCCTGTTTAGTTACGGGTACTTAGTTTCAGGTTGTGTGTGTTGAATTGGGAACACTTTGTGATATCTGTCAGTCAGATTCTTCTCGTTGTTAAAGCTCCACAAGTTGACGACAGTGAACTTCTTTGTTTTTCTAACCCCTTGCATTTTGAATGAGTACTACTTTATGCGATGTACACTTTTTCTTTTAAAAGTAAAGAGGTGCTTGTTAACTTGGATCATTCAATTTTTTATGTCTCTGAAAAAGGTCGTCATTTCCCACTCCGGGTGAATCATGACATTTTTTCCTTTGATTTAATTCCATAAACTGCATACAGACAATGTAAACTTAATGTTCAGGAATGTCAAACATGACGTTGTCCTCTTCACATGTCCCCTCTCATGTATCACATTAAACCCTTGGGGCTTCCTCTCTGCTGTTCAGAGTGTGACATGCAGAAAATGTCCCCTTGCAGAGCAACCACGAGGCCACGCTCATCATCTCTAACCAGATCTCATCTAATGGCTCCTCAGATGTTTGAGGAATTTTCCCCCTCACAGTGAAGCTGATGACACAGAGTGTTATCAATTTGTTTATTGACTCCTCCCAGGTCAGGCAGAGTTCACTTTCTGCTTGTGATGTGACATGTGCATGTTTGGTGGGACTAATGTTTTTTTTTTTTATTCCCTCTCCCTGTCATGTGTTTGTGTGTCATTGTGCGCTTAGATCGGTGCCAACGTGCTGATCTTCCTGTGCACTAACATGATCGGGATCTGTACCCACTACCCTGCTGAGGTCTCCCAGAGACAAGCCTTCCAGGAGACCAGAGGATATATTCAGGCCAGACTGCACCTGCAGAGGGAGAACCAGCAGCAGGTACACACCCACACACGCATATGCAGTCACACATGCACACATACACATTCATGCTCAGGCAAATATGTGTGAGGCGCAGCCTTGACTGCGTCCTGTAGGAAAACCAAACACATTCACATATGCAAAAGAGCAACAAATGGGTGTCTCCATTCTCTGGTCTAATTTTTTTTTCTCAGTCTCAAGTGCAACAATATGTTCTGGAGTGTAACACATATCTCCACTCCTCTCTATTTGACTAACACATTCCCACGCAGATGCCATCAAGGCACAGTGACTCACTGAGCATCGGAACGGTTCAAACTGATGAAAATGAATGGGCTCCCCCTCTGTCTTCTTCTCTGTCTTTAATTTTCTTTCTCTTTCTCTCTCTCTCAGGAGCGCCTTCTGCTGTCAGTGCTGCCAAGGCATGTTGCCATGGAAATGAAGGCTGATATCAATGCCAAGAAGGAAGATATGATGTTCCACAAGATCTACATCCAAAAACACGACAATGTGAGGTAAACACAGGCAAACACACTTTCACTAAACCGCAGTAACACACTGGAGAAGATGTCGGCCCACTTGTCTCCTTAGCTCTAGTGGCTTTGACCTCGCTCCACTGACTGATGTGTCAGTTATAGAGTCACTCCAACAGCTATTTCCCTGCCAGCATGTATTATGCATGATGTTGTTTATTGACACTGACAGCAGCGGCTGCAGTAACGATATTGACTCAGGCCCACTGCTTGACTCTTGGTAGCAAATGACAGGAGGAAGTCTCAAATCTGTTGGCCCCCTGTGTCAGCCCTCACCACTGGATTTCACCTCCTGAGTGGGAATTACTCAGTGCTAACACATGATTGAAGCTCCTCGTCTACTAGCCTACCAAACATATCCGATTGGATTGCCCAAGTTGTTGGGCAGATGGTTTGACGAGACAGTGAAAGTCGACTACAGGGGAGGTTTACTGTCAGAGATGACCCAGACAGGTGCAGGTAGAGCACTCAGTGGAATTTGGTTTATTTACATCAGTACTGTTTGCAAAACAGGTCAATGTAATGAAGTTAAAATTCTGCTTGACATTCCTGTTCATATATTTGTGAGTTGACGCATCATTATAGGTGTGAATGAAACAGTTTTAATTGGAAAAGTAGAAATCAAACCAAAATGAAATTATCCAACCTATGTTGCCTGGCTAAGCAGAGATTTTTGATTGTATTTAGTTTACTTAAACTTTGCCTTTTTGTCTTTTATTACCATCAAGAACATTGGAGCTAAAGGGATTTGTTGTGCCAGTAATCATATTCATGAAGCTAAGATATTTGAAATGTCTCCAGAAGTCAGTTTGTGGTTATAATATACAGATCACATGGTCAGTACTCTCTGGTTTTAGGTTTTCTTGTATGAGATGCAGACAGGCTCTGGCTGTCAGTAAATACAAGCCCTTTCTCCCCCAGTGAGTGACCTCTCAGGAACACCAGCGCCCTCTGCCACTCTTAACTGGAACTGGTGGTATTGTTTATCCTCGCCTTTTAAAACTATCAAAAGTTAGCAATGAAAGGCATGCAGACAGGGGGACGGGGGGTTAGTGTTCTCAGAGGGAGGGGCTGGAGGAGGTGACCTACATTGGCTAGTATGTTGTGAACCGGAGCTGAACAAAGGTCTGCCTCCCTCCCTCCACTGCAGGACAGTTAGGAGGGAGGTGCTAGACCAGATCGACTATCTCTATACTTTATTGATTTCTCTCACTCTATGTCTCTTTTTTCTTTCTTTTCCTCTCCATCCTCCTTCATCTCTTCCCCTACAGCATCCTGTTTGCAGACATTGAGGGCTTCACTAGCTTGGCGTCTCAGTGCACAGCACAGGAGCTGGTTATGACGCTGAACGAGCTGTTTGCTCGCTTCGACAAACTGGCCTCGGTGAGGGTTGTCGATATATCATTCCCATTTTTACCAGAGATCTAACATAACCACCCCTACTTATGTGATTTTAAACTCTGTAGTCTTCAGTGATATTAAAAAAAAGCCCAGATAGTTCACTCTATTGTTGTGGGGGGTTTTCCTGACACAGTGCATTCTGGGAAATAGTTGACCTAACTTTTTTACGTGCATGTTTGTGTGTTTTCCTTTTTTTCTCCATAGGAGAACCACTGCCTTCGTATTAAAATCCTCGGGGACTGTTACTACTGTGTGTCGGGGCTTCCTGAGCCACGGGCTGACCACGCCCACTGCTGTGTTGAGATGGGAGTAGACATGATTGAGGCCATTTCGTGAGTCAAACACACATTAATACTCAAGATCTTTCCTCTCAGAAAAAAAAACACAGACCCTTGCAGTCACATGACTATCAAGTTGGGTTTTTTCTGGGGTGTAGAGGAGACTCAGGGAACTAACGGTTTTGAACAGTAGTGTTTCTGCGTGTGTGTGTGCACTTTCAGGCTGGTAAGAGAGGTGACGGGTGTGAATGTGAACATGCGGGTGGGCATCCACAGCGGGCGCGTTCACTGTGGGGTGCTAGGCCTCCGCAAGTGGCAGTTTGATGTCTGGTCCAACGACGTGACGCTCGCCAACCAAATGGAGGCCGGGGGGAAGGCTGGGTAAGTCCTGCCGACTCCACCTGCTCTTTGCCTCATTTTCTTTGTCTTGTGTAATGTCTGACTCTCGATATGCTTGTTTCTTTGTGCGTGAAGGCGTATCCACATCACCAAAGCCACACTGCAGTATCTAAACGATGACTACGAGGTGGAGCCAGGATTTGGAGGAGAGAGGAATGCCTACCTGAAGGAGAACAACATTGAAACTTTCTTAGTACTGGGCTGCAGCCAGAAGAGGGTTAGTGCATGTCTCGTACACACTGCCATTTTATACTTGACCTCTTCCAAATGTCACACTGGTGCCATTTTTCACACACACGGTATAATTTCTTGTCACCTGGCACAGAAGACCTTTTTTTTCTCAGTACTCACCACGTTGTGGTTTTCATCACCTCCAGAAAGAAGAGAAAGCCATGATGGCCAAGATGCAGCGAGCACGTGCAAATTCTGCCGAGGGATTGATGCCACGCTGGGTGCCCGACAGATCTTTCTCCAGACCGAAAGGGTCCAAAGTCTTCAGGCAGATGGTAGGATAAACACAGGAAGCACTGAGGCACCTGTCCTTTGTGCCTGTATCAGATCTTCTCTGTCATCTTCTCTACTCTTTAAAGTTAAATCACAAACATCCTTGTGATCATTCCCTTTAAGTACTTTGAAAGTACATATTTTATTAATCAAGGGTCAGAGGTCTATTTTAGGAGCAGAAATCTGACCAACTTCCAATCTGGATATCTTAGACTGATGGCCAGCCTTGCTTATTTTCAATGTGTGCATTTGAAATGTTAAAGACTGTATCAACAATCAGCCTAACACAGTTCTCAGGAACACCTAAATGATTAAAGACGTGGTATTATGCTTATTTTTGGTCTTTCTATTGTTTTTAGCAGCTTTACATGCTGTACAGTTCAACAAACTCTTCACATATTTCAGGCTGCTGTATTTGAAAATCCTCATTCCAGTCTATGTCTGAGGCGCCCTTGTCCCTTTAAGCCCCCCAGCATTCTGCAGTCCATCATTCTGGAAGCCTCCTTCACTGTTGCCACACAACAAAGTTGTATTTCTTTTTATAAAATGACAAATTTACCCTTTTAAGGAGATCACTGTCTGATAATGTCAGGATTGGAGCAAATCTCGTATTGATCTCGCTGAAATATCGTGGGATCTGGCGAAAATTTAAGTTATAGTCAAACACACCGTAACACCGAGTTAGACACCCCCTCGAGAGATGAATGTTGCCGTTTGCTTACTTCTCTAGTTAAACCAACTTTAGTAACGACTGCAGGATAGCAATACACAGCGGTCTACGTCTCCATGCGCAAACCTCAACTAAAAAGCCACTCTATAGCCACAAATAATGCTCAGAACAGCACCTAACTTCATCAACAGTAAATATAGGGTCCCAGCCATAGTGCTAGCCAGCAAACATCTTTTTAACTCTGCCTAATTTCTTTAGCAAAGAGACCAAACACAACTCACCTACTTTCATCCAGCAGCCCCTTTTATTTTGTGGGGGAGCCCCGATGAGTCGATCACCAAGTGCAGCGGATCATTTCCATGAAGTAATAATCATCATAATTATCATTTTGCACTGCAGATGCGATAGTTCTTCTGCCTTAGCGTCTCGGTCAGATTGCATTTCCATGAAGTAATAATCATAAATGTTATTCCTTGAGCTGTGAAACTCAGCTGCACTTGGTGATCGACTCATCAGGGCTTCCCCACAAAATAAAGGGGGCTGCTGGAATAGAGTGGGTGAGTTGTGTTTAGTCTCTCTTTGCTCAAGACACCAGGCAAAGCTAAAAAGACATTTGGTGGCTAGTACTATGGCTGGGACCCTATATGTACTGTTGATGAAGTTAGGTGCTGTTCTGAGCATTATTTGTGGCTATAGAGTGGCGTTTTGGTTTAGGTTTGTATGTGGAGACGTAGACCTCTGTGTATTGCTATCATGCAGTCATTAATAAAGTTGGCATAACTAGAAAAGCAAGTGGTCAGCAACATTCATCTCTCAAGGGGGTGTCTAACTTGGTGTTGCGGTGGGTTTGACCCTAACTTAATTTTACGCCTGAACATCCCTTTAACCTTGCAATCTGAAAATTTGCAGAGGTATTGTATTAACCTCCAACGTTTTAACTCAACATATGTTCTCAAATTACGAAAAAGGATAATATATGAGAAAGCCACATTCCAAGCATGAGTGTTTGAACGTGACAGGTGTGTCTGTTTCTGTGTTCAAATCTGGAGCAGAAAATGATCAAACAGGAGTCGCAACAGGACTTTCAGGGAGTCCCTGGGAATCTTTTACTACTGAAGCTGAATTGATGAGGCTGCAGCTGCAGATGTATCTTGTTCTCAACCCCTCTCCTTTCTTCCCTCTCTCTTGCTACAACTCTCATTTTCTCATCTTTCCTACCTTCTTCCCCTCCTTCCTCCGCCTTTGTCTTTCCCATCTCAGAAGAGTTTGAGTCCTAGGGGTAAAAAGAGTGTAATTTGAAGCCTCCAAGCATTAATTAAAACATCAGTCTGGCTCTCAGGGATTAACTGAGCAGATGTCTGAGTCTCTGTCTATTTTTCAGATGTACTGTGACTACACAATGATCTCTTCTTCTCTCTCTCTCTCTCTCTCTCTCTCTCTCTCTCTCTCTCTCTCTCTCTCTCTCTCTCTCTCTCTCTCTCTCTCTCTCTCTCTCTCTCTCTCTCTCTCGATTTCATTTCTACATTTTGGTGTCACTTTAACAGTGGTTTGTTTTGTTTTGTTTTTTTTCGACAGGGTATCGATGAGGCATCCAGCAAAGACAAGTGAGTGTTTTTTGCCCTAGATTTTTATTACTATGTCAGCATTTGTTATTAGCCGATGACTGTCAGACTGTCAGTGTAGCAGTCAGAGCCCACTGTTGGTTTTATACGGTCAGAACCTAACCAGCACTAATGCCACATTAACTCCGAGTAATTCTGCCCGTCACAGCTTAAGCCAACTCACTTTTTCACACTCACACTCGGACAGAAACCGCATGGTGACCCATTGTTTAATTTACCACAGCCGCTGCGCTCAGGAGGCCCTTAATCCTGAGGACGAGGTAGATGAGTTTCTTGGACGCGCCATCGATGCTCGTAGCATCGACCAGCTGAGGAAAGACCACGTAAAGAAGTTCTTTCTCACGTTTCAGACTGCTGACCTTGAGAAAAAGGTGAGTCTTTGACTCCTGTTTATTTCAATCTTTATTCCTCTTTAACTCAGCCAACTGAGTCTGATTTTTGATTGATTTTCCATTTTCAGTACTCCAAAAAGGTCGATGACCGTTTTGGGGGATACGTAGCCTGCACACTCCTTGTTTTCTGCTACATCTGTGCCATTCAGGGTATCATCTTTCCACAGTAAGTTGCTCCCTTTGATTTGTTGCCCCTCCTAGTTTCCATATTATGCAAAATTGTGTGGAGGAAATGTGGTTTTGATTAGCTTATGAGGAGTTAATGAGAGTTGTACATCCTAACAAGCCTGATTTTCTTCTCTTCCACAGTACACCACTTTTGTATGGCCTTTATGTTGGCATCTTCATCATCCTCGCTAACATCGGCTTCATCTGTGCCATCTACTCCTGCATCAAAGTGAGAAACAGAAACCCTAGACCTCTAGTATAATTTCTATGCAGATCTCTTCAAATGAGCATCATTATCATATTTCTTTAGCCAGCACTTCTAATAGTATTGACTCGATTCTCGTCCTCACTGTTTCTGTTCAAGCACTTCCCGGCTGCCTTGCAGACACTTACCAAGAAGATAGTCCAGTCCCGTGCAAACAGCACACTAGTGGGCGTCCTTACCATCCTCCTGCTCTTTATTTCCTCCTTTGCAAACATGGTAGGCATTACAGCTCCTCATTTTGTGAGTTTGTATCATGTAATGTCTGTATAATACGGAAGCTTATTGCATTCACCCAAAAAAACAGGAAAAAAAGTTCTGTTTTTCAGAGTAATTTTTTTCGTTTCTGTGTTTCGGACTAATCTTTTTCTGTTTTTCAAAATAAATTTTTTTGGGACTATTTTTTCTGTTTTTCAGACAGTTTTTTTGTTTTGTTTTTCAGATTGATTGTTTTTCCTATTTTCTGGGATCATCATTTAAAAACAGATACTTTCATCCCCCTCTGCTCAATTTATTGGAAGCAAACATGGCCCACTTGTTTAGTTTAAGTTTGACTTTCTTTTGGGTTTGAGCCACTGGGAGATACTCCTTTCTTTAAGTCAGAGTGGTGGAATCATCATAAGTTTGTCTACTTTGCGCAGACACATCAGGTTTGTTTACCCTATGTTTAACTAATGACATGCTTTACTCTCATTGACCCCGTAGTCGAAGTTATCGAGGAACTGGAGAATCCGCTGATTCGGAGCAGCCGCGGTAGTTAATGTTATCTGATTGTATGAGATTCTTGCAGGATTTTGAAGCTTAATCAGGAAAAAAAATAGTCTGAAAAACAGAAAGAGGGGAAAAAAATATTCATACAAAAGACAGATGAAAAACAAAAGAGTCAGAAACAGAAAAAAGAAAAAAAATTTAGTCAGAAAAACAGCAAAGAAAAAAAATATACTTAAAAAAAACAGTCTCCTTTTTTTTGTAAGTGAATGCACTATGCATCTGTAGTATTAAACTGTTTCTTGAATGAATGTGCCACAAGCTTCATCTCAGATTAGACCTGATGGGAAACTAAAGTCCTTTATTGTAACTGGATGAGTGATAGAAATCAGTCTGTTGTGTTATCTTGTTTGTTATTGTTTACCGATATCATTAAGACCTAAATTTTTCATGTGTGTTGTCATGAGGATAAAAATGCAATGGCATCAGTCCCAGTGTTAGATAATTACATGACTGGTTAAATGTTAAAACTGATGAAAAGATTGAGTTATGCTCTGGAACAGAGGCTGCAGTGCTTCTCACACTGGTCCTAATGTGTGCCTGGAAAATAATCTAAAATACGTCTTTCAGCCTCACAGTAATGAAACTTCACTTTCATCTATCAGCAATGTCAACTGAGCTTTTTAACTGAAGTGGTCACAGAAACTGTGCAATGGAAAATTTTGGGTTTTTGCATTCTGGACTGCTGTCTTCCTGCTTAAAGCTCAAGTCTGTTTGCAGTCTTGCTGATGCTGATTTATTTGTATGATTGGCGCCTGCAGAGGTATATCAGCCCATAATTGGTTGCTGGATGTCATTCTCCAATAACACGACATGGACTCAAACAGACTTTTTTATAATATTGATATTATATTATCTGAGTCCTCACAGTGGAGGGAAGAAATGATTAATCGTGTTACTGTTGGCATTTTAACTTTGAAGATCACATCACAGAAATGAGGATTATTGGATGGTTTCAGAAACTTAGTTACAGCGCTTTGTAACTGTTGATGGGCTTGTGGTATTTGGAACAAAAAGTACTGCATGATTCACCACTGCTCCAAGTGTCTGTCCACTGGAGAGAACTGATAACTAGTTTTCTGGTTAAAAATGTCTCATATGTTGGATTTAATTATTTAACAATATGTGTTAAAGAGGTCTTAACCAGAGTGTTTGTGTAAGGAGCAGATACACTCTTCTCATAAACTCTGTACCTGTTTGTTTCTGCCGTTAAGTGAGAACAAAATAAAACACAAATATGTTTGTCTACTACTGTCTTTCTATTTACTCAGTCCACCTTTACCCTCTCATTATTAAACAACAAACTCTTTTCTCTGGCAGTTTACTTGCAACAGGGAGAGTCTGCTGGGCGGTCTGTCCAAAGAGTCGAACACAACATTGACATCCTGTCTGCTGTACAACCTGAGCAAGGCAGCAAACAATTTGATCCCATGTCCCGATCAGAACAATGACTGTCATTCCCCTGAGGTCAGTCCCTCAACATTTAATGGCGGGTATGTTTTGTGTGTTTCTATGTGCATGAAAATGATGTCTGACTGCTCACCTGTGCCCCCCTCTTCCTCCTCCTCCTCCTCTACTGTGTCCTCTTTGCCATAGTATTTCTGCTACAGTGTTCTGCTGACCCTGCTGGCCTGCTCCGTGTACCTCCACATCAGCAGCATTGGGAAGCTGGCTCTGATGCTGTTCATCCAGCTCACTTTCCTACTGCTGGTGGAGTGGCCTCAGGTTGTCCTGTTTGACAATGCAGATGAGCTGAGCTGTGTCAACACCCTGTGAGTGCTGTGCAACAGAACATGCAGACACATGTACACTCATTATTTCCCAGTTTTCAACCTGTATTGTGTTAACTCTGTAACTGTAACCTTGTTTATGCTAACTATGGCCTAGTTTGTCGAAGAAATGGTGAACAATTCAAAAAACCTGCTTTCTTATGCAGCAGTTTGGCAGTTTCCTGTTTTAAATATGTTCTTCTTTTTTACTCTGAAGGGAATTATCAACTTCAGACCCGCAACAGTAAATTGAACTGTTTTGTGCTGTACTACCTTATTTTAGTGATCCATATGATTTGTTGATGTGACTTCCTCTTGTGTTTTTTTTTTCCAGACGGCATCTCAATGAAACTACTGACCAGTGGTGAGGAGCTGTCCCCTGTAGCGTAAAGTTACAAACCGTCCCACTCCAAACACTTTGTTCATGTTTCTTGTCATCCCTTTCCTTCTTCAGCCTGAAGGTGATGAAGGTGCCCCTTAAGGTCTTGACTCCCATCATCCTGACAGTCTTTGTTCTGGCTCTCTACTTGCACGGCCAGCAGGTGGAGTCGACAGCACGCCTTGACTTCCTCTGGAAGCTGCAGGTAAAAGGAACAAATTCAAGTGGGATATTGACACAAAACAAAAGCTAGAAATCTCTGATGAAATTCATTGAAACCTTTTTCACGGCAGCATATTTGACTTTGTCAATTTCAATGTCCCCACAAACCATAAAAAATGGAGCAGTCAAAAGAAATTTGGCCCTGGAGATTTTAAATTGCGCTTTTTACACAAAACAAATCAACATAGTAAAATATCTACCATGTAAAGCCTCCTTTCAAGAATCCAGTGACATGACATCCATCTGAGCAACCACCCCTTTTTCTCTAACTCTCAGGCCACAGAGGAGAAGGAGGAGATGGAGGAGCTACAGGCATACAACCGCCGTCTCCTTCACAACATCCTGCCCAAGGACGTTGCTGCCCATTTTCTTGCACGGGAGCGTCGTAATGATGAGGTTGTACTACCAGTCGTGTGAGTGTGTCGCTGTCATGTTTGCCTCCATCAGCAACTTCTCAGAGTTTTACGTGGAGCTGGAGGCAAACAATGAGGGGGTGGAGTGCCTCAGACTGCTCAATGAGATCATCGCCGATTTTGACGAGGTAGGAAGTGAAATAAAGAAGAGAAGAAAACAACTGCAAAATAAGTCACCCTTTTTCCTAGTTCAAATAAGTGCTCTGAGATTTTGCTTTTTTGCTGCTTTTGTTTATCCCTCCCCCTCTTTATTGTTGGTTATTTGCCTCCAGATCATCAGTGAGGAGAAGTTCCGTCAGCTGGAGAAAATCAAGACCATTGGTTCCACCTACATGGCAGCCTCCGGCCTCAATGACTCCACGTACGACAGAGAAGGTCGCTCACACATCCTGGCTCTGGCCGATTATGCCATGAGGCTCAGGGAACAGATGAAATACATCAATGAGCACTCTTTCAACAACTTCCAGATGAAGATAGGTGAGTTTGGAAGGAGTTGGATCTTGAATCTAAAATGTCTTAGAATGCTAAAATGCTCTTTACCTTGGAAAAGATGGTAACACTTGAGGGACTGCACTGTCAAGTGACACGATATAACAGACTTGTGGTTGTTCTCAGGGTTAAACATGGGGCCAGTGGTCGCGGGGGTGATTGGAGCCAGAAAACCTCAGTATGATATCTGGGGGAACACAGTGAATGTGGCCAGCCGGATGGACAGCACAGGAGTGCCAGACTACATCCAGGTATTGAAGCCAGATACACTCAAAACTGCTCAATACCTCCTTACAGCAGTTGGGAGCTCTATGTTGACGAGATACATCATAAAGTTTTGGCTAAGTTACTCTTCAAAACTTTCATAAAAATGCATCAGTCCTGCATTCTTGTTATCCTTGGCATCTTTCTGTAACAAACTTGGAGATGTCAATCACTCTCAGGCATGTGCATTACAAAAATGTTTGTTGTATCTGAAAGAGGATAAGTCAGTCGCCTTTGCCATGGACAAAAACATCAGAGCTGGACGGTCCTTTCGCTCTGAGATTTTGATTTAGACATCTGCTTTGCAGAAGTGCCCTTGGGCAAGAATCCCTGTCAGTACCAAACATGCTGTTTTCATCTTTAAGAGGGAATTTTTAATCACAGTCGGTTCGGTCAGCTGAGGACAAGATTCCCTCTGTCTTATTCATCATCTCATTTCAGGATGTATATTTGATGTGAAGACTTGTGAGAGGAACACCAGCTGAGTTTAGAGCTGTTGTGACATTTTTTTAAACCCCAAATCAAATCCAGAAGTTGGCTGAGAGTCTGATTACAGAACAGTGTTGCCATCTGCTGGGCAGTCAGAGTCCCTGCATGTTAAAGTGAACAGTAATAAATATGTAAAGCTGCTCCAATCAATTGTTAATTTTTCATCTGTTTGACAAAATATATCTAATATAGAATCATATTAAAACACCTACAAACAATAATTCTTCACATCAAAACTGCTTTTAAACCCAAACACCTTAAAACACAGTCAGCTTACAAAGATATGAACTGAAATAAAACTTGAAATAAAGATTAAAAAGTAGTGGGACCAAAATGCTCAAAATTAGAAAGTAAATTTCATGGAATACTCTTAGCATTTCTCATCCTCTCTGATTGAATCATTTTTAGTACTTCATTAACCCATTGTCTAATTAAGGGTGGTTTTATTGCTCCTCATTGCAGAGGAATTTTCAGTGTTACAAATGCCAGAGTGTTAGACTGAAGAGGAGTACCTAACAGAGACACCAAAGACAGACACTACCTGACAGGAGCTGAACGTCCTACTATAAATGTAGAATACTGTTTTAAGGATCCTTGGCTGGAATTTTCCTAAAAAGTTACACAGCAGGCACATTTTAACATAAAATAAATAGGAAGAAGAATACATTGTTAATTAAAATTAAATGAAAATAAATCTAAAATTGGATGAATAAATGAATAGAAAAGTAAGTAAATAAAAGAAAATAAAGTTGAATTTAGGAGATGTTAAATCAGCTTTAACTCTTAAACATTTATGGATGGGAAGGTCTTTTTTTTTTTGCTTTTCACAGAATTTTGAATTTTGTATGAAGCTTTTTAAACTTTGAAAACTTGTTACTTATTTAATGCTTGCTGTGTCAGATATTCCATCCTTTATGGAGGGAGTTAATTCCATGTGAAACGTGGTGTTTTTCTCATGAAGGGTTTGAGTGTCTGACATCTTGGGTGTCAAATGTCTGTGACCTCTCTTAGGTGACCACAGACTTATACCACGTGCTGGCCAACAATGGATACCAGCTGGACTGTCGCGGTGTTGTCAAGGTGAAGGGAAAAGGGGAGATGACCACTTACTTCCTCACCAGTGGTCCCCCAGGCAGTTAACACTGGGAGAGGCCAACCGCAGCGTAACTCCCACTGCACTGACACAACAGACATTGCAGAGACACTGAGAGGTCAGCTTGGCGATGACTGCTGCAGCACAGTACGAACACAGGAAGAGACGGGCCTGCAGAGTCCAGCTTGGCCTGTCTGTATGATGTGCACATGTAAGAAGGCGGGACGTTTTTTTTCCAAGCTGCTCAAGATATCATGAAGCCCAGTTGCCTTAGAACGGAAGTGGCTATGCTTGTGTTTATGAGCAATAGTACAAGTATTCCCTCTGGAGTCTTTATTTATTTTTGTGTGGATGGATTTTTGTAATGAACAAAAAAAAAAATATGAATCAGAGAAACATATTACATCAAAGAAAATATGCAAGGATGACATGAAGGATGAAAATGACCAAAGAACAAATGTTTGATATGAAGCAAACACTAACGATTCTGTTCAGAAGTACAGTGACCTTATGTATTTTATTCATCCTTTCACAATAAAGGCCACGGTCACATCTCTGTTGGTGATCGAGACGAACACTTTCTTTTTAACGTGGAATTATCCATGAAGGAGAACACAGGCACACGTGCACATACGCAGGTAGAAAACACTCACAACAACCTTGGCTTGGACTTCCTTATTTTGTATCAGGGCCTTCTTTTGTTTCTTCCCAGCCTGTGATCACACATAATCCAGACATGAGGCTGTTCGTGGTTCACTGAAATGTACGAATGACAACCTGCTCCCTGCGATGTGTTTCTGGTGAAAGCCAGAAACATGAAGAAAGAGATGAAGGACGGAGTAACTGGGTTAGCATCACGGTACTAAAGAGACTGTTAAACTGACTTGTTTTATATAAGTGTGCTTGAGTAGACAGTATGTATGGGTGCTTGGGTGTGTGTGTATGTGCGTGTGTGTGCGCGTGTGCGTGCACATGTAGCCAGATGCTGATCTTTATCTATAAAGGGGCATACTGTAACTTTTCACTGTGAGGTTTTTATGATACTGTACGACAGTGCTTTCTTGCCAAACTGGTTGCTGCAAGGCATGTTTTATATTTTATTTTTTTGGAGTTGTGTGCCCATTCCTGATTTCTTGTGTCAAAATGAAGAGAATTGTGTCTACAGCGCCTTTTCCTGGACTGTGATTTTGACTGATTTCATTCCAACCTAAATAAGCAAAAGCCTTTGAAACGTATATTTCAGATTGTGTTAATAAGTGTGATCACTGGTTTCTGTATGCAGGATTCTCCATCTGCTCACACATATTGCCTTGAGATTATGCAGTTCAAAGATCCATATACTTTCTGGATCTATATTCACAACGTTAAACAACAGTATTTGACCCTTTATGCTTGTGTTTGGCACATGGAGGCTTGTAACCCCCCTAAAAGCTTAGTTTAAAATAACTATATGAATGTACGTTATAGTGAATATTTTTGTTCACAGTGAAACGACCACTTAAGAAAACCACTCTTTAAATGCCTTTGGTACTGAAGAAGGAGTTTGTTTTACTTGAGGCCCAAGTGATTTGACTTCATGTTTGTTAAGAAGTAAAGGCGTATTTCATATTGAGATGAGTTTTACACCAGATGTTGACATGCCTTGTTTTCTGTCTGAGCCTAAGAATGCAGCCTTCATGGGCTACAAAAAAGACCCAGCTATGCTTATTTTCTCCTCTGAAAATGAACGGTCAACTAAACACTGTTGCATTTTATTTCAAAGATGGTGCGGTGACAGCAATGTTTGATTGGATTTATTTCCCCTTGAATTGGAAATTAATAAATGGCTGTTTTGCATTGATTGTGTGTTTTTGGTTGTCACTCTTTCATCAGCTATTATGCAGAAAAGAGACCGAGGAGATTTTCTTTCACTGATTTGCTCTTATAGATCTGTACTGGAAATGATAAAATGTAAAATATATGAAAAAATAAGCTGAAAAATAACTTCACAATGAGTTTCCAACAAAGCTTTGCCCTAAGTAGAAGTTTTCTATTGGGATTTAATTTAGCTTGCATGTCAATCAGCAGCCTGCAATCAAAATTTCTCCATGTGACAGTAACCCGAGAGGCCTTCTCCTCCTTTTCTAAATCAAACAGTCTACAGTTACAAGACGATGATACGGGAGGGAGTATTTAATTGCTTGCACATGAATAATGAATTTCTGCTGAGGTAATGGCTATGTTCACTTACAGCACTCTATTCTGAGCATTAATTAAGCGACATAAATTCCTTCTAATCCCCGATGAAAAAGCCCAAAGTATCTATTATAGGCTCACGATGCAGAGATTCAATGGGCAGGCCTTGTGAGTTTTAAATGTATAGAAAGCGAACTTAAAAAAGTCTAATTTTTGTTTATCAAAACTATTAAAAAATGTGTCATTTAGCAGCTCATTGACGTGTAAAATAACAGGAACTCTTAACTTTCATTGTGTGTTATTTCATTTTAAGAGACTTCTGTGAAATGTGTTTTGTAGTAGCCGATATTCATTTGTTTTAATTCGCCTTTTTACTGTTTATTTTGCAGCTCGTGGCATTTCAGTCGAGGCGCTCGCGTTCTGTATTCAATGGAACTGTCTTTAACGTTTTGGGGAAATAAGTGAAGGCGCGCGCCGCCAGCAGGGGACTCACTCAGCTAATCATTTCAACAAATGTCACCTGCTCGTGTCAAAGTTAGAAGCCTGTGTGGCAACGGAATTGTAGTTTTTCTGGTTCGATACAATCTCCAGCCTGACAACTTTAAGAACTACAAAAACCACAGCGTGTTCAATTGGCAGCTATCCACTAATAAAGGAAATATCACAGCGGACGGAACAGGTGCAGAAGACAACGTGTAGTCAATTCAAGGTAAGTGGCAGCACTTTCGAGGGACAGAAACCTTATGTTTACCTTTCACATCGTCTTGTTGTTGGTTCCTAGAGGGTGACTTTTGAGTTAATCCATCATATGTGTTTTTAGAGCCGTTACAACAAATAAGAGTTGATTTGTTCAAGCGTGGTTTCGACTCCGAATGGAACTACTTTGAGTGACAGCAAGTCAGCTCTTCCTCTTTCATTTCGCATTAGTGTATTGTTCACTTTTGACAGTTTTCAGTCTCTTTTACTGAAAGTAGTGGCCTACGTCTATGTAATGTTACTTCATGTCGAAAACAAGTGTAAACATCATTTACATTTTAAAAGCACGTTTCGACCTATGACATGTACACTCCTTTCTTTTTTAATGCCTGAATGTTAGAAAATGAAATATGTCACATTTAGTGTATGCAGCTGATCTCATGTCGTTTCTAAAATACAGCAGATTTTACTCATTCCTTTTTTAAGTATTAATCAACACAGATTTTATGAACCTAAAATGCTCTCATCATACCTAAAGTTGCCTGGCTACATACTTTTCTGACCTCTGTCACAGCTACAGTCACAACAAACTGGACTGACTGGTTACCCTAATGAGACAAAGTGTGCTCTGTCATACTCCTTGTTTTTCTTTTTTCTGAAACACCTAAAGAGTGTCCTCCTGCATCATGTATGAAGCAGGCAGCTTGAGAACGGGGTGAATTAATTATGACCAAGTAAGAGTGAGTCTCTTGGTAAAAAGTGATCACCTGAGGACACACAGATGTCACTCATTTCAATTATATCCAGTTTCATATGACAGGAAACCATTCCTCACAGTGCTAAGGCTGCTTGACTTGAAGGTCCTGTCAGATTCTCCTCTAAGTGGGAGGTGATAGCTGCTCACAACTGTCGAGGTGTGTACGAAGTAGTTGTCTATGTGCGTCACTCATGAACCAGTGTGGGAGATGCAGGTTAAACCTGCTGCATCACAGTGCACCTACTGCCACGTGTGCCCTGGAGGACCCTGGCCAGAGCAGGTGGCTCAGGTGTTTGCCTGGAGGTGTGGTAGTGTATGTTTGTGCACACTCTCCACCCTGTTTTCTGCGTATGTCCTTTGGGACGGGCTCCGGGAGAGACGAGGGAGGAAAGGTAGGGAGGAGCATGGGTGGCTAGAGTACCTGCTGCTATGACACTTGCAGAGACGCACAAACCGGTTCACAGCATTTTTCTTTAAATGACAATGGGTAAGAATATGAAAATGTGCTTTTCAGACGTTGCATTGAAACCTGTATTTAGGATGAATAACATTTTGCAGCCAATGCCTGGAGATGTACTTATTTTTTATTCTGATTTTAGCAGCCAACTGGATCTGGAATATGCGTTGGTTCCCTCGCCGGCGTGTGTCACCCTTAAAGCTGGTGCTCCTGGCGGGGACTCTCTTCATGGTGGCCCTTGTTGTTCTCCAAAAGGATGTCAGTTCTTCCCCTTCTGTTGACCCCTGGTTTCAAGAGCTGGTGGACAAGGGGGATAGGGTGATGGTCATGGTTCGAGATGCTGTTAACAACATAGGTTTCCAGATTGGAGCTCCTCAGCCTCCACCAGAGCAGCCCCAGCCCACCGAAGACATCAACTGTCCCACCGGATACTACACTCAGGCTGAGCTTAAACCTCACCTAGAGAGACCACCTCAGGACCCCAATGCCCCTGGTGCTGACGGGAAAGGATACAAAAAGGACCACTTGTCCACAGCGGAGGAGAAGGAGAAGTCAGATGGTATGGCGAGGCATTGTTTCAACCAGTTTGCCAGCGATCGCATTTCACTCAGCCGCGGTCTTGGGGATGACACAAGACCTCCAGAGTAAGAAAATGTTGTCAAAATAATCTGTTGCTTGTCATTATTTCAACATCAGTGTACAGACATGTACAGACATGTACACAGTAGGCTGATCAGCTAGGATCATACTCTGACTGGTATTTTTTCAAAATAAATTTTAAGAATGAGCTTTTGGTTCATGCTCTGTCACTTAGTCAAAAGGCTGATCTGAATGTAACCACAGACTTGGAGAGTGGGTACACAGCAGCTTGCACAGGGCTGTATCCTGGTTCCTTGAGACTGTCACTAAACCTTTATCTGTGTTGTTGGGTAAACTTTCACTCACAAAAAATGTTTGTCCAACTTGACATCTGTACATGTCACAGGCTTGAATGGCCTTGAAAGCAAATATCTCTCAGTGTATGAATGTTTGCACACTGTGCAGTCTTTTAATATCAGTAAGAACCTGTTTTGTATATTTCTATCTTTAGATCAGCCTCTCACTTTCGCAAACCCCTCTTTGTTTTCGTCTCTCTCTATGTTTGTTGTTGCTCAGGTGTGTGGACAGGAAGTTTCGCCGCTGTCCTCCTCTACCTACCACCAGTGTCATTATTGTTTTCCACAACGAGGCTTGGTCCACACTCCTCAGGACAGTCTACAGTGTCTTGCACACCTCCCCGGCTTTCCTTCTCAAAGAGATCATCCTGGTAGATGATGCCAGCGTTGCAGGTGTGTAAAACAAACACACACCACTGACAAAACATAGCTGAAGGCACACTAACAGGAAAACTACCATCAATCATTTTTAAAATGTCTTGTTTTTTTGCTTTGGAGTTAATTTAGTAGCACTGCTGACCTCTTAAGCACCAGGAAGGTGATGTTTTAATGGATGTGATGCAAATGAAATATTTAACAGATAAGCAAAGTAGTAAGATATGTTGTGTTTTCCTCAATGATCGGAAAGAAAGCAGTTCCGAATAGCAGCACTGCTGTGGTGGTGCATTGATGGAATATTACCTGGATAATAATTTGAGTAGTGTGTACTTGGGACTTGATTTCTATAGAATATGCAAATATTATTGTTTATTCAAATTAGTTGCAAACAGGGAAAGTTTTTCATAAAAGTCATGGTGAGATTACCAACAAGCTCTCTGTGGTTATTTCTTAAGATCAATAGGAAACAGCTGCAGAGCCTGAACAGGGAAATAATCCGAAATCATGACGTCTTTGGTCATAAGTCATTTATTAACTTTAATTTCAGAGTCTAGAGGGCGGCATGCTAGTCTCTGTAAGACCCAAACTTTGATATGTCAGATTTATGATAGTTTTGAACTAGCTGACACACAAGCAGCGAGAGTATGAGACAGTTGGGCTTTACGGACAGAAATAATAACCTCATTGGTGAGAATGACTCTGTTTGTCTTATAACAGGTCGGTTAGGCTTGCCTTTGAGTGAAATGCAAATAACAGTGATTTTATCTTTGGAGCAAGAGTGCAGCTTTGTTATTAGTTTTGCATAGAAATGTACTATGCTCACAGTTCAAGTTAGTGAAAACTCACTTGTTATCATAGTGCAGGTACATAATTGAGTTTTAGAGGGTTGTTTTTGTATGGTAACCAGTCCAAGACTGTTAAAAGTGTATATTAGTTTACTAACACTTGTATTCGGTTAATTTTTAATTGCCTTCAAACTGCCTAACTGTTTAAGTTGTTATTTCATTACAGTTACACCTATAGCTTTGAAAATCACTGCAGATGTTATCAAGGGTATATGAACAGAGGAATTAACATCCTTCTATCAGACAAAGCCGTTTCGACTCTGTTATGACAAACTTGATACCATTTGGCACGGATTGGATTTAAAAGTTATTGTCAGACAGTTGAGCTCCTCATGATAATCTTTGTCATAATGTTCTGCGTTGGTAGTCACAGCTATAATTACACATTCCTACTCAACCCATACTTCCTTATTTGCTACCGGAGCAGCAGCTTTTGTGAAGTTTACAGTTGGTGGATTCACTCTGACCGAAACTTATGACAAATGTGCAGCATGTGTTGTGGTCAAACGCTTGTTGGAAGGAAACGCGGCCTAGTTTTACGAGCAGCATTTCCACTTCATTGCCTATTCTTGGGTTTCATGATAATAAATATAAGTGCTTTACTTTCTCTTCTGTGTGGAAGAAAGCTGCGTATTTTTAATAACAGTTGTAAGATTATAGTCGAACAGACCAGTGTCATCAGTGTGATTTACCTCTGACTACAATGGGCATTTCGCATGTTTTCTGTTGCATAAGCAACACCCCTGATAGATGTCTAAATGTTTCCTGGTTGCAGTCCTACATGAATACAGTTATGTAAGACCTCTAACCACTGGGGCTTTCGATGACAACACAATCAGTTTGACCAGTTTTGTTATAAAGTAATTCAATCATGTTGCTATTGTTTTGGTTTTCAGACCACCTCCAGACTAAACTGGAGGACTTCGTGAAGCAGCTGAAGATTGTCAAAGTAGTGAGGCAACCACAAAGAAAGGGCCTCATCACTGCCAGGCTGCTGGGTGCCGGCATCGCTCAGGGCGAGGTGCTAACCTTTCTGGATGCACACTGTGAGAAACACACAACAACTAATATACATATTGGCATACACAGTGACTATTTCAAGTTTCTGTGTGTGGCAAAAAAGCATGAGGCACTAACTTAAAATGACTGGTAGCAGTGTATCATTTTCTTATGTGGCAAAGGTTAGTAAGCTGAAACATCTCTGTGCTTTCCTTCTTTCAAGGTGAGTGTTTTCACGGCTGGCTCGAGCCCCTGTTGGCTCGTATTGTCGAGGAACCCACAGCTGTCGTTAGTCCAGAGATCTCCACCATCGACCTCAACAACTTTCATTTCAACAAGCCCTCTCCGGGCGGCCGTGCTTACAACCGAGGGAACTTTGACTGGAGCCTCACCTTTGGCTGGGAGCAAATCCCTGAGTCAGCTAAGAAGTTGCGCAAGGATGAAACATATCCTGTAAAGTAAGAAAAGTCTTGTTAATTTTGCTCAAAAACATCACAAATTATTTCAGCATCTAGATTGTTATCATTTATATATCCATTCATTCAGTAATTCATTCGTTTAAAATTTTCAGGACACCCACTTTTGCCGGAGGTCTTTTCTCAATCTCAAAGAAGTATTTCGAACACATCGGAACGTATGATGACCAGATGGAGATCTGGGGCGGTGAAAATGTGGAAATGTCCTTTAGGGTCCGTCTCTTTATCTGTGTTCTCACCTGAGTTTCACAGTTTATGTCCCGTCATTTGAAGGTAGAGTCTGAATTTCTCTGTTCTCATGGCCAGGTGTGGCAGTGTGGCGGTCAGTTGGAGATCATCCCCTGTTCTGTGGTCGGACATGTTTTCCGTACCAAGAGCCCCCACACCTTTCCAAAAGGAACGGAGGTCATCACTCGCAACCAGGTTCGCCTGGCTGAAGTCTGGATGGATGACTTCAAAAAAATCTTTTATCGACGCAACAGTCATGCCGCACGTATGGCCAAAATGGTCAGTGTGACCCGCTGATGGAGAGTGCTTGTGTTTAAATATCAGACGGCGATGAATTTAGAACCATTAATCACTCAACTCTCACTGTATTTTTCATACCAATGTATATTCCCTACTGCAGTGGGATAAAAGTTCGACTGAGTGATTGTTTCTCAGTGTTAACTGTATGCCCCTCACTGTTACAGCATCGTTATGGAGACATTACTGATCGTCTTAATCTGAGAGAGAGGCTCAAGTGCAAGAACTTCACCTGGTACTTGAACAACGTCTACCCTGAGGCTTATGTGCCAGATTTAAGCCCAGTAAAATATGGAGCAGTGAGTCATGTTTCCTTTCATCTGAATGTGGATATCAAAGATGTTTCTAATCTCCTGTTACATGAAAGCGGATGTATCTTACTGATAAACTGTATCCGTGTTTGAACAAGATAAGAAACTTGGGATCTGAAAGCTGTCTTGATGCTGGAGAGAACAACAATGGAGGAAAACCTGTAATCATGTACACCTGTCACAACATGGGTGGAAACCAGGTACACATTGAAATTGAAAAACTGCCCATCATTTTTTTTATTCAGTATTTTAAGATACATTTCTGATTGGATGGTTTTGTTTTCTAGTATTTTGAGTACTCATCTCATAAAGAGCTGCGTCATAACATTGGCAAGCAGCTGTGTCTCCACGCCTCGTCCCAGCCCGAGCAGGTGAAGCTCGAGCTCTGCCATCTGAAAGGGCTGGGCACCAGTTTGTCACCACAACAGGAGTGGGTGTTAACAGAGGTGAGGAGCATATGCTGTTTGAGTGAAATTTAAACCCTGTCCTTAAACATGCTTAATGGCCTCTATCTACATATAAATGTCCAGAGGCTGTTAAGCTTAGCCTTGTTATTGTACACATACTGGATGCATTTTTGACTCTAGAAATATCTCAGCTGAGAAATACGCTTACCTGCAAATTATCCAAAACAAATCATTGTTTGGACTCGCTAGTTTGTGTGCTAATTTTGAAAAATCTTTTTAACAAATGATCTTTAGAGGAGCCAATAGGACGTAACTTGGCTTACTATTTCTATTTCCATCTGCTTCAAGTCATTATTTGTATTCTAAACTCAGCAAACAGCTGGTTTGCAATTTTAATGTTCACCTCACATTTTTGGCAAGATAATAAGATCATTTCATGTCACAAGCTTTATTTTGCCAAATGTCAAATATTTGTTTTAAGCATAGAGTTTTTTGGAAATATAGAAGTTTTGTTGAATGTTTTTATTTAACTGTGCCTTAGCAGTGTTATTAAGTTATAGTTTATTTTTCTTTTGTACTTTTCTCTAGGAAAAACTTATAAAGAATCCCAGCAGTGGGAAGTGCTTATATCTCCATGGGAACCAGGTTCAGATGGGCAGCTGTAACCCTGCTAACCAGTTCCAGCAATGGACCCTGAGCTGATCCCTCAGTCTAAAAATCAGGTGACCTCTAGCGCCTCTCGGGCCTTCCTCAGACAATGCTCTGAGGGCCCAACTCCGCATTGATCCGGACTGCTTCATACTATGGAGCTTCTGTGTTGGACTGTATTGAGAAGTCAGATGGAAGATGGAGACCAAAGTGATCACAGTCACATTTGTTGAAGACGCTTGGGTTGGCCTTGACTTGTTTTAAATTTATTTATAATGGAAAAGACATTTAAAGGTGGCTGGGGATTATCAGGAAGCACATGAACTCTGCATCCAGGATGGGCAGCTTCAAGGAGGATGACAGCTGTCACCTGCAATGATCTTAATTCAGGGAAGCGACACTCCAGTTTGAAATCACTGTTTTGGGACTTTTTAAGTCTGGGAATGATTGTTGAAATGAAACAACTTTTGCAAGAGTAAAAAAAATACTGTTTTTTAATAAAAATACACTATTTTGCAAAACATAATCCTCATTTGTATCATTTAAGTAATTTCTTAGCTGCAAGCATATTAAGAAAACATGATCATTGAGTAACTATACTATACTTTTCAGCCTGTGATTGTTGGATTTTTTTTCTGATATGATTACTCTATTATACTGAGAAGCCATTCATCTTAAATCTGGAGTTTTCTTTTAAGTTTATAAAATCCATAAGGTATAATCTTTAGACTTGTCTCTATGGTAACTGACATCACGAATCGCAAATCATAGGGATTTGGCTGCTAACATGGAGTCACTATGACCTTTTTTATTACGCTGTGAAAGTTACAGTGCTAGTGGCAATGTGCTGATAAGGTGTCTCTCTCTCTCTCTCTCTCTCTCTCTCTCTCTCTCACTCTCTCGGGGACAAATTCACAAGACTTTTTTCAGTCAAGGGGAACCAAGTAAACGTTTGCGCAACATTTGTTGAAGGAGTGGTTTAGAAGCAGCGCACATTCCTGCCAAGAACTTTCTTCCTTATCTGCACAGACCTGAAATGTGAGTAAAAGTCAGTGAGCAGAGTTTCTCCTAAGTGACCAAAGATAATCTGGTGGAATGTTCAGGTTTAATTATTTAAGATAGGGGTTGTCCCGTACACCTAACCCGCTGAAGAGCAGAGATTATACATTACAAATCATTGAGGGAAGTGTGAGTTTAAGGCATTTTTTCTTTGGAACAATAGGTGGCAGTATTACCATGCACAGGTATTTTTGCAAGGTAAGGATGACTGTTGAATTTTTGCCACACTGTATGTGCTAGTAGGTGAAATGAGCATGTCAACAGGAGGGTCATAGTGAGACCAGATGGGCCAGAAGATGAGCACTGAGCCTTTGAGTCGCTCTGAGGTGTTTGGACAGCTCAGAAAGGAGCTCTATGGAGAGGAGAAGCCCAGCCAATCCAACACACACATTTTCATCATCCTAGGAGCATCTGTGAGTACAAACTAACGCTCTTACAACATGGCATGAACAACTGTTTCCTCTTATGTAAAATTAAAACTTCAGCTCTTGCAGCTTCCCTACAACAGAGTTCAATGTAGACAAAGTTTTGTGTGCTGTTGCCAGGTCTTCCTACAAAGGATTTTAAAATCTAAACAGTAGGTTGAAATGAACATAAATGTGAGTGGGCCCCAACAGGGGAGGGGAACAGTTCACCGGGGAGCTTTGCAGTGCGGTGATCAGACTATGAGAGCCGGGTGAATGAGCATATATTGACTGAAATGTGCTGCTTCTACTTTTTCCTTTGTTGGTCACTGAGCAAAGGAAATGACTTTACAGAATAAATGCCTTGTCAGCTTGTTTTTATTTGCTTCAATTGTTGCACAATATCTACATTTGTTGAAAAAAGTCGTTCATTTCAGTCTATCTTTGCGTATCAAAAGCCTTTAAAGAATGAGTGCTCTCACATTAACCAACATATCTGCACACTCCACTCAACTGTGAGCACTTATATCAAAGTAAATCTGCTCTTTGGACTTTGTATTGATCAATGTTGGCCTCAGGATTTATCTGGAGGTGCTCCATTATTTCTCTTTGATTTGTATTTTTTTATTTAATTTTTTGCACAGGGGGATCTTGCTAAAAAGAAGATCTATCCAACTCTGTGGTGAGTACAGTAGCAGCTCAAACACCGGCTTGCATGTGATATAGTCTAAAACTGTTTGGTCACTTTGTGCTGTTTGACCTTTGGCCAGTGTTCTGCATCACTGCTGACAGGCTGTTCCTCCTGTAGGTGGTTATTCAAAGATGGGCTCCTCCCAGATGACTCCTACTTTGTGGGATTTGCCCGATCTAATCTGACAGTGGAAGACATCAAGGCAGCCTGTCTGCCTCATATGAAGGTAGATTTCCATAATAGTTCTAACACACAGTACTGCTGATTGTCTGAGTGTGTTTTCAGAGATAATGTAATTTTCCCTTCAGGTGACTGATGAAGAGAATGAGAGCCTCTCAGATTTCTTCAGTAAGAACTCCTACGTCAGAGGCCGATATGACGATGACAGCTCCTTCTTACAGCTCAATGCTCATCTGTCATCTCTGCCAGGAGGAACGGATGCCAACAGGCTCTTCTACCTGGCTCTGCCACCCACTGTCTACCACCATGTCACCACAAATATCAGCGCCCACTGCATGGGTCACAAGTCAGTGTCTGATATGGTCACAAGTTTTCAGAAGGAGTGATTTTGTGACTATTTGATTGTGTTAATTTAATCAGCTGTGTTCAAAAACAGAGGCTGGAACAGGGTGATTGTTGAGAAGCCTTTCGGTCATGACCTGCAGAGCTCCCAGGAGCTGTCAGCCCACCTGTCCTCCCTGTTCACAGAGGACCAGATCTACCGCATTGACCACTACCTGGGCAAGGAGATGGTCCAAAATCTAATGGTGCTCAGGTAACAAGGTCCACACACAATCTTTCACTCATTTTAATAATAATAATAATATCTTACATTTGTATAGCGCCTTTCAAGATACCCAAAGCGCTTAACAACACACTACAAAAAACCTAACTAAATACCAAAAGCCTGGATAAACAGGTGTCGCTTCAGAGCAGACTTGAAAGAGTCCAGAGTTAAATGTCATAAATACGTTTAAGAACAGTTGTTTAACACAGTCAGGAAGCATTTCATCAGAGCTTGCATATTTGAGATCCATAAACGTATATCACTCTTCTGCAGATGCTTTGAACTCTGTTAAGTAACATCACAGCAGACTGTCTCTTCTCGAGTCAAACCCACAATCACTGAGACAAGACTACAGCTTCTGTCCATGGTGCGCTTGCTGAAACCAGTAGCCCAACTGTCCCCCCTGAGATTATCTCTGCCATGTTCAACTACCATGCATGCCACCAAAGCAAATGGCAGACTTTTATCGTGATGTCCAGTTGACCCAAAGAAACATATGGCTACTGCACATTATGCAAAGTTGCTGGTCTGCGGTGACATGTAGAAACACACACAGAGGAGTTAGAATGCAGGAAAGTATTTACGTTTTGCCGTGGGCCACATCATGGGGGGAAAGTGGGACTGACTACCAAGGGCCCCAAAGAGGGTTGGACCTTTAAATGGTCTGACATTAAAACATAATTTTCCCCTTTAAATCATTAATCCCATTAAAAAAGATAATCAACATTGGTCCAAATAGGATGAAATTAGGAAGATTATGAACCAGTTATTTAGTCTGCGTCGCACTTGGATTAATATTTTACATAATCTAGGAAGCTAGATGACTGACTCTGGAGTGCTGCAGCTCCCCCAGTAGACCACAATATTTGGAGAATCTTCTGTTTGTTTGAAACTAAGATGGAGTGTATGCTCCCCTCTGCCTTCCTGTACTAATGATGGTATCTCAACTAACAGGGGTTTGTAATTATATATATGACCACAGATATTTCTGAGACGTATCACGCTTTAACTGCTGTTACTTTACTTCAACACAAAAGTGTGGTTATCTGTGTCTTGAGATGGGTATTCTGGGTTATAGAGGTGAGGTTATAGCAGGTGTTCAGGGTTAGCTTGGGCTGTGGCGGTGGTATCCAGGAAGATGACTTTTTAAGAGGGTCAGATTTTCTGTCAACACCTCCTGTTTGGGATCAAGCAAGTTCCAGTACAGTGTCAGAACTGGTTGTCTTGGCCAACGGAAATACGCTAATTAATATGAATAAAAATGTGTTTTTATTTAAAATGCTGTTAACTACTTATTGCTGTTTGTTTAACTGTTGTATTTAAGACATCAGCCATCACACTAAAGCTCGTGCTGTTATAAGGAACATCTGGACTTCTGTGATTTAATCTAAAGCAGGAGGCTGCAGGCTGAGTGCCATGGATAATCACAGCTGTGCTTAAATTCAGTGCAGCATCATTACTACAAAATCTCTTTGTTTGTTATTAATTATTGGTTTTATTCTCTCCCCTCCAGGTTTGGAAATCGTATCTTTGGACCCATATGGAACAGGGATAGTGTGGCCTGTGTGGTCCTTACCTTCAAGGAGCCTTTTGGCACTCAGGGCCGTGGAGGATACTTTGATGACTTTGGTATCATAAGGTCAGAACGAGTAAATTCAGTCACATCATTTGATGAAATGTTACAGTTTTCTGTCAGGGGGCGTTTCTTTAGCCGTATTCTTACTCTTGTTTCTCAATAAAGAGATGTCATGCAGAATCATCTCCTGCAGATGCTCTGTTTGGTCGCCATGGAGAAGCCTGCTTCCACCAGCCCGGATGATGTGAGGGATGAGAAGGTAAAACTGTCAACTGAGCAGTTAGAAAAGTACATTTCTGAGCACGTTTTCTGAACTTAATTGGGGTCTATGTCAGTGCAATGTTATTCTAATGAAACTATCGGTGTGCTGTAGGTGAAGGTGCTGAAAAGCATAGCTCCTGTTGCTATTTCTGATGTGGTGCTCGGTCAGTATGTGGGAGACCCTGATGGGGAGGGCCACTCCAAACTGGGTTACCTTGACGACCCTACTGTACCCAAAGGCTCCTGCACACCAACATTTGCCACCGCCGTGCTTTATGTCAAGAATGAAAGATGGGATGGTAGGACAGAACTGCTTTTCTTATGTAATGACAAAGTAATTTCTGATAGTTTTCTCCCTGACATGTTTTATCAAGATCATGTCTGCCACCTTCTCCACTCTACAGGAGTTCCCTTCATCCTACGCTGTGGTAAAGCTCTGAACGAACGAAAGGCAGAAGTGCGTCTGCAGTTCACAGATGTGCCAGGAGATATCTCTAATGAACGCTGTCGGAGGAACGAGCTGGTTGTGCGGGTGCAGCCGGACGAAGCAATATACCTGAAGATGATGACCAAGAGGCCTGGGGTTTACTTCAGCCCTGAAGAGACTGAGCTGGACCTCACATACAAGAGCAGATACAAGGTGTTTCAATCGTACATGGTTCTCGTTCATCATTAAGGTCAAATTTTAAGCTCAAAAAAGTTGTTTTTTAATCTTTTGAGAGTGATTACTATTTCTTTTAAACTGTTTCTTGCTTACACCTGTTTTTTTACACCTGTTAGTCTTATATTCTCAAAAGAATCTCAAAAGAGCAAAAATTAAAAAAAAAAAACTCAATCCATAACAGACATTTAACTTTGCTATAAATAATGACATGTGAGTCAGACATGCTTTAATGTAACAATCAACCTTTACATCTCATAACTTAAAAATGTATTAGTCTTTAGTTTATATATGATGTTACCCAAAGGTAACTTAACATGAGTGCTTACAGTGTGGAGATACACTACATAGGAAAATTGTTAGAAATGAAAAAAAGACCCCTTCAGTTTAAATATTACTCTATGCTAAAGTAATGGAACATAAAAACCTACATATTATGTATTTGAAGCATTCAGGTTTTATCTATACAACAATCTCCAGAACTTAAATGAGCAGGTATTTACAGATTTTCTAACATCATCCTCCAGAATGTGAAGCTCCCAGATGCTTATGAGCGGCTGATCCTGGATGTCTTCTGTGGAAATCAGATGCACTTTGTGCGCAGGTTGGTTGTGTTGTGTATAGTTACATCTGTTTCCCAGGTACTTCGTGTTAATGTTTCATTTTTTTGTTTGTCTGTTTCTTTCTCTGTTCCAGTGATGAGCTTCATGAGGCCTGGAGGATCTTCACTCCCCTCCTCCACCAAATAGAGGCAGAGAAGAAGAGTCCCATCCCTTACGTTTATGGAAGGTAAAACTTCATGAGATGTTAAAATGAAGAAACATGATGAGCATTTTCATTTTGAGTGACCTGTACCTTTATTACCATCTCAGTCGGGGTCCAAACGAAGCAGACGATCTCGTGAGGAGGGTGGGATTCCGCTATGAGGGAACATACAAGTGGGTGCAGCCCCACTCAGTGTAATACCTCCTTTCTCACACTGATGAGCTCATGAACACACAAACACGCACCTGTGTCAGCAAGTTTACAAAATAAAAAGTTTACTACGAATCTTCCACTGCTGTGACTGTGTGATTTTGTCTGCATGTTAAAAAACCCACCATACTTTAGTTTTTAATAAATCTCTAATCAAACAAGAACTAATATTGTGATTAAAAAACCTGCAGCTGCCTGATTTAAGAGTTCACTTGTAGTTTAAATTCTTAAAAATAAATCATCATTCACTGTTCCTCTTCTCTTTTCTGTCTTATTTTTAACCTCACTGACTCTTCCTGACAACTTTATGTGTGTGAAACTTTTAGTGCAAGATAATCTGTTTTCACGTGTTTTTAAATTTTACAGTTCCACTATTTCTCCACTATTAGCAGGCTGTGTTCACAGTTGTTACTCAATCACGAAAACACTGAATGAGGTGCACACAAAGCAACACCAGTACCACATATTTAAACCAGGAGGGCTTGTTGGGCTGGTTTAAAATATGAGGTGACTCCCTTAGTAACAGTCAGACACAAAGGAGAAACGTTTGAATGTCCCTCATTGGGGGAAAAATGGCTCCCAGGTAGGTGTTTTTTTCATAGCAACTAAGATTTCAAGTTATTTATCTGTCACAATGCTTGAATTAGCTCTAATATTTCAATCTCAGTTTAGTCAAAGCATTTCTAGAGTTTTTTCACCTGTTAATTTTACCTATGTCTGTCCCTATCAGGTGCGTGGACTAGGATGGCGTCTCTTACCCTTAAACACAAATCCACCCATAATCTGGAGCAATGTGAAGAGCAGCAGAGACAATTGTCTGTTTAAACATCCTCTCCTCCAGGACTGTTGTGTCTTTCTGTCATCTGTTATTTGATTAACATTTACTGTACGGAGTGCAGAGCCAGGTCATGATGATACATGACGCAATAAAAACCGAAGATACTTTTTAAAGTGATATTTGTTACTACAGTGTTGAGCTTAGGGGAGAGTGGGGTAAGATGAGCCATTTTTCATATTTCAGATCACTACATCAAGACAATCATAGTTTTGTCTCAAACCAGTGTATCTGCATATATTTTAAGATGTAGCGCATCCCTGCAAACCAACAGAATGAGTGTAAACATAACTGTCTTGATAATATAGCATGCCAAAAAAAGTGTTGTCCTTTGGTCAACTTACCCGTGTATGGAGTAAGTTAAGCCATATCCATACCCCCCACCCCAGCCCCACCCCAGCCCTCCCTCACCTTCTCCCTCCCTAAATAACAGTCACTTCTTCACATTCATGTGTATTTTTATTTCTTGTATGCTATTTAACAGGTACAATAATTCTTTTAATTACTATTGCAAATAACAGCTAAAAAGCTGTTTTGTAAAAAAACATTTTAACATGAGAAAGTGATTCAGAACATTCACAGCTGTATTTTTAAATAGAAAAAGTAACACATTTCAACAACTTGAACTGAAACTCTGATCCTCTCATCAGACTCCTTTACTTTCTCAGTTGAGCCACTGGTTCAACTTACCCCAGAACTACTATGATGACTTTATTAGTCCTCTAAGCTGATACAGTGGACTTTTATGTCAGGTTTTTGACCTCATTGTAGCTCATAGATACCACAACTGATGTATAAAACAAATTTAAAATGATTTTTTTTTGTCTGAACACAATTCTAATAAAACTCATGACAGACTAAATTCACTTTCAAAAGTGAAAAATGTTTTTTTGTAAATAAATGTCTAACCCCTTCACCCATGTGCTTCTAACCTTCACAGACTCCATGAATTGATGCCCATCTCCTAAATATTTGGTCACATGATCAATTTCTTTTACCTTTTCCAATTAACAGGGGGTGGCTCAACTTACCCTTTGGCTCAACTTACCCCACTCTCCCCTACATAAAAAACAGTCAGGCAAAAATTCACACCAGTCAGTCTTTTTTATTGCATTAAGATGCTTTTTGTGTCAACTGCCCTTGACTTCATCCATGGTGTAAACCTCCGGAAAATAAACACATCACGTATACCAAAACACTACACACCTCCAGAAGGAGTTCTTATTGCACAGAAAAACTACTTCTAGTATTTTTAATAGTGCTTTCCATCAGGGAGAATTCAGCAAACACACTCATTAAAAAATAAATATTTTTTTAACAGTTGCATAAGAAATTTTTTAAAAAGTGCCTGAAATATTTGGAACTTTTTGGCAAAGAGAGACTGTAAGCCCAGCTGACTTGTCGCCTCTTGAACAATTCAATCACCTGTCCCGATTTTTTTTCTTCCAAAGCTTAGTTGAGACTTGTCCCGTAACATGACCTTTCACGCTTGTCACTCTCCTCTCTGTAGTCCTGCACCGCTGCTCCATCTTCAATGCCCCGAGCGTACAGACGCACCAACTGGCCGTGGACTCTAAAGAGGAGTTCACACAGTTTAAAACTTCTCTGTTGGTACATGACAAAGCTGAGTAACAAAGTTGAAGCTAGAATTGGAGGGATAATGCAGTAGTCCATGAATGTGCTAAAAGCCTCTCATGGACAGTTGCACTCTCTCACCTGCTGAGGATCTCTGTTGAAGGCAGGATCTCTCCATCACAGTTCCACACTGACACGGCGGGAGCTTTGCTGCAGCACACACCACATAAAAAAGAGTTGGCTGTTTTCTGCCTCTTTGTTGGTTCTCGTGCTGCGCCTTTCTCTGCCAGGTGCTGTTGAGATCCGTTCCTGCTAGCAGTGTCAGTGTAACCCCGCTCTTCATCGTTACTCTGCCCTTCACGTTCAGCAAACGAGTCCTCCTCTTTGTCCGGGGGTAGAGAGAAGCGAACGGCCTTAACCCGATGGACTTCAACAAATGGCAGGTCAAACTAAGAAAAGCAGGACAGAGACTGAGCCATTTAGTGTTTACATTTGAAGGAACGGCTTTGTTTGCTTTGTTTGGATTAAAAGAGCACAAACCTGGTCCTGAGAACTTGTGTGCCTGTAGAGGAACTTGAGGAATCCCAGCGGGTGAGTGTCCCACACCAGAATGAGGTCCCCTGTCCCGTCTGCCAGGTGAGCGGAGGGAGAAAGGCCCAGGGGACTTCTGGGATTTGAGCTAGACATGCAAGTGAGGGACACACACCTGAATCTGCCCTCTACACTCACCCACTCACCTGAAGAGACAAAAAGAAATCAGAAAATCAGGATCTTTTCCTGTGCATTAGATAGGACTACTCAGGTTTTTCACAAAAACAAAGCAATTCACCAAAACTGGCTTTACTTGTAGTGATTTATGAGTGTTTTTTTTTCTCTTTTTAGCCAAACATTTGTTTAACTTTGCTCTGTAGTGATTGTTTCATTGAGCAGCTCTTACATTTTACATAACTTTGCACTCTTATCCTCACTAATGCCAAACATTTCCTCTCATTTCTGCTGTAGTTTGTCAATCAATTTACAACATGCTTCAAGTTGTTTACCCTGTGAAAACTTATTTGACTAACAATTTCAAGCAAAAGTGTTTTCTCCTAACCTGAGGGGGTCTTTGCGATTTCTGATCTTTTCCCCACACTTTCCTTCTCATCTTGTGGAGTGGTATAAATCCTGCCTTACCTTGCAATCAGTTTAGACTAAAAGAAAGATTCCCATTCCTGACTTTAACAGAGACAAGACTATTTTGTGTGTGTGCATGTGTGTGTGTGGTCTCACCCTCTGAGTCATTATTGTACTGGCTGTGGTAGGAGCTGTACAGTGAGCCGGAGTCTGAAGAGTTGGGGAAGAGCCTCTCTGTACTTCTGGAGCAAACGCTGCACCTAAACACACAAACACATACCGTACATACATGCACAAACACACACACACAGAGAACACAAACACAAAGGGTTTTCACTCTGTTTGAAAGTCTGTGAAACAACAAGTTCCTCTACCTTGACACCCGTTCATAGGAGGATCATAAACCCTGAAGCTAACAGCCAAGGACAGCTGCCGCAGACAAAGAGCGAGGAATTGTTCACTATAATAGAGCTCCAAGGCTCACCTTTCAGCTAGATCAAGTTCCCCTTGCCCTGGTTCATACCCTCCTTAAGGTGCAAACAACACCTGAGCCCAAACCACAGGTGGTAGCAATTACAGTGTCTCAAACAGTGAATTCGAACCATTTCACCAGTGCTTAAATAATAATGATTCTTCTCCAAGGACACTTTCTCTCTTTGTTATAAAAAGGGTTTAATGTTTGCAAGGTCAAACTTTCTGTTGTGGTGAGACAGTTTAGAAAAGGATAAAGACACACGAGGAGACAGTGAGTGAAATACAGTGAACAGCCATCCTCTGAGATAAGGGATGTGGTTGTTGGTACTTTACCCTGCGAGGCAGCGTGTTCTGTCTCTGGGGCTGGAGAGGACCGGGTCTGCTGGTAGATACTGAACTACGCCTGCATAGCTTCTGTTGCTCAGGTACACCACTGTGCCTACACAAAGGGGGCAGTTAGATCAGCAGATATTCAAAAAAATGAAAACAAGTTATTTGCAAAACAGCTTGTTATTTTTCTAACAATGAACAGAGCTTTGAGCATGTCATGTCTAATAATTTAGATGTCATGCATTTGTTTATTCATTTGTTTATTTAGAGGTAAGTACCCTATTTTATAGTGATTTCTCTGTATTCTGGTAATCACAGGTACTGATACACAACAGGACACCATGTTATATTGTTTAATTACTGTCAATGGTAAAAATACAAAATAAGTTCATAAAATAAGGTTACCTAGGATGTGAAACTATGGGTTGTGACTGTATACTTAATAAGACAATGTTAACTGAGGTGATACATCAGCTAATACGTCAGCAAAAATCAAAACTGGTTCTGAACAATTCCCCCCCAGGGCCTTTTTCCTCTGACATCGGCTGAGAAACTCCAGTGCTCCCAAGCTTTATGTTTAAGGTGAACAATCAGTTCAATCAGTTCAAACATAGGAAATCTGTGAAAATGTTCTCATTTAACCCCTTCTTCGACTGATCGTGGGAGTAGTGAAAAAAAGCTGATAGATCGTGAAAATTAGCTAGCTTACTCTGCCATAAGCTAGGACTTTAACCCTTTCCTGGGATATACTTTATTGCTATAGACAGTAGCTTTAGTTTTCAATTATTGCATTTTAGTTTGAAATATGGCCAACTGCGCCTTCCGATCTTAAGTTGTTTTTTTCAGTCTTCAGCTGAAACGTCTCGGGGCAGCAATATGATATTTATTTGTAAGATTCACTCACTTTAAGGTTTGAAATCTTAAACACAGCAACAACAGCTATAACAGTCCAAGCTTTTCCAACCTAAGGAGGAAATCAGTGGACAACCACTACAATGTAAATATGGGCAATTCAACCTTTTTTTAATATTGCAACCTGTGAACATGCCCCCTGCTGGTCAGTAAAAAAAAAAATAAATAAATAACTGGTTTACACCTTTACTGTGATTTAACTTCTGAAACTGTCTAACTCAACTTTTTAAACCATTTTGGCTAAAAGCGGAATACTAAAATACTTTTAAACTGTAAAATTAACATAAATCAACATAATCCACCGTAGTTCAGTGTACAGTTATTCCTGTCTTCTTAAAAAAGCCCCTCTCGTACCTGAATAGTCGTATCTGAGAGGTCCCATCCAGCGGTGCTTCTCACTCTCAGCCAGTACGTCCCCATAAAAGCCATAACCCAGCAGAGACACAGAGTAACGAACAAGTGCAGAAGTTTGATGGACTGAACACACATCCAAGGGTTGAGAGTCTCCTGCAAGGCATTGTGGGAAATTTAACAACAGAGCACAACTACAACGTTTTTTTTTTCAACTTCAGTTTTTAATATTAAAAAAAGATGACAGTTGCTTCTCACCAATGATAATGTGCAAAGCTGAAGTAACAGGGTCGATCACCCCCACTGTGGCAAAACACACACAGTCTGTAGAACCTGCAACAGACGAAGTGAAACAGGATGTGGGTGTGTGTGTATCTGTCTATCTACGCTGTGTATCTGACACCAACATTCAGTATTTTGGTGACTTCATAACAGTGTTGTTACCAGCAGGGATGATGCCGATGTGTAGCGGACACGGCTGCAGAGTAACAGTGGGGTCATCCTCACAAAGGCCTGCCTCTTGTTGCGTCCGACCAATCAAACCGTGAAGTATTTCGCTGAACATGCCATCCCCACCCACACACACCACTCTGGAATAAACACACACAAGAGTGTCTGTCAGGAGAGCTCCTCCCAGCAGGCTTAGCTGTGACAATGCTCTCATGCCACAGTGTTTGTGGTTCACATGCACTGAAAGCTCTCACCCGTTAAATCCTGTCAGGTCTTTCTTCAGGAGGTGGTCTCTGGCCTGGTTTGCACGCTCAGTCACTGATCAATAAATGTGATCGTTACACATAGACAATAAAAACATATAGAACTTTTAAAATCATGTCAATAAAGAGACAAAAATTTGAATTTGCAGGAAACTGATAAAGCCAGGATTATTCACCTATTACATGAGAACTGATACCAGCCAGCTCAAACAAAGGGCTAACCAGAGAGTGGTAGATTTCTCGTCCTTTCTTCTTCCCTCCAAATGGGTTGATAAAAACCAGCAGCCTTTTCGGGCGCAATGGACCTGTAAGACAAATATTCATCTTTAATGGTGCACTTACTCTGAAACTTTTTTTGTTTTAACTTTTATTATATCTTGGTCATAAAGGGGCATACACTGTGTTTTTTTTTTTTTTAATTAAGCATCCTGTGCAACAAAAACACTCATAGTATCCATGTTGGAAAATATATACAAAGTGTGTGTGGTTTGTATTACTAATATTGTATGTTAAATTATAATTGTTACCCTCTGAAAACTTCACAGATCTTTTCAATCTTTCATCACTTCATTATGATATGTTTTCTGATCTGATCTTGTGTTTTGTAACATTAAAATGTACTCTGAAAAAGTTGGGATAAACAAAAGCAGATTTTTTTGGTAGGCTGTAAATGGTCTGGTCTGACACTAACCACCTCACAAAGACATTTAATCAGTCTTATTCTTGTTAGCATTTGTAGACTTTAAACATGAACTTTAATATCCATCTCATGGCTGTTTTACTCCTCATCAAATCTCCTGCCCTTACTGTGAGTTTTGAGAGCGGCTTTTAGGTGTTTCGTCCACTGGTCTCTGAGGACACGACTCAGGCAGCTGAACTGAGTCCGGCCCAGTCTCCAAAGCAACCCATGGGAGCCCCCGTTGCTGCAGCGTTTCACATAGAAAACTGCAAGTGGAGGTTGGAAAAAGAAGTCAGTGCAATGTAGCGAGGTCATCATATCAGCTGTAGCAAAGTGAGGGTTAACAAGATCATGTTTGCATAAAATGATCGGCCACTGTTGGGTGCACTTGTTAGTAAATTATTCATATTGCCATTCACTTTCAAGCTCAATCAAAGACTGCATGCCTCATGTTGTGCAACCATTTACTTCAATCTAACTGTGGCTTTAAGTTTGTGATACCTGAAAGTCCACCAAGATAGCCCACCTGTGAAGTCTTTGTCTGTGTCCTCAACTGACTTCTGTGGCAGGATCTCCACCCGGCCCTCTTCCACTCCAACCACCTCTGACACCGGTACTGAAACTTTAATCATGCGCACAGATAAGCACAGCCTTAAAGTCGGTGTTCTGGTTTCTCTGAATGTATTATTATATAATTCCTCCATAGCTCTATTTCTACTCCTCAAAGCTGTTAGTAGTTATATTAAACTTTTCCTGCTTGGACAAGTCATAACAGGTGTTGCGGGATATTATTGTTGATGTGGGATCGCTGGCACACCTCAATAAGTGCATTGCCATTCTTCATATTACAAACTGCACCTGTTAATGATCACTAAAAGCCTCACAGACCGGTAAATGAATGAATGGCCTACAGTGATAAACTGGGATAGATCTAGGTTATACAGCTGGTAGAGCATCATGATGTATTCTTGCAGTTAAAGCATTGCTGATTTTAAATCTAAGCCATATGAGTGCTATTTTGAGAAAAGAAAGCTAATTTGATGAAGATAAAGACAGCCCGTAGAATATCACTGAATGCTGGTGAGTAAGATCTCTGTCTGTGTTGTCAGTAAACTGTTTCAGTGGGTTGTGTTTCATGTTGGTGCTGTTTAACTTGTTCTTCATGTTCCCTTCAAGCAGCTTTGGTTTAATTAAAGTGCTCCCTCCCTTTAATAATCCAGAATCACATGCATTGAAATAAAAACTGTGAGTTTATGGTGATTTCATTCGTGGATATTGACTCTATCTCGTTTGACATCTGTCCTGATTGTTCTAAAGCAGATAGGAAGCAAGCTTTGGCCTCAGGTGTGTCTGTATTAAGTATTTCCTCGTGCTCATGTGAGAGAGTCATTACTCATAGCTTATAACACAAAACAAGCTGAGGGCAAAAATGAGATCAGTTTTTCAGATTTGTACAGTACTCTGTGTGATGCCATTCAGCTGATGTTTGTGAGAGGTAAGAAGTCACCTACTTGTTCTCTTGTCGCGGTTCTTCTTATCTAACTCTGTCCATCTGAAGTGCCAGCCCGTCAGGACAGCCCGGTATCTTTTATTTTCGACCCACAAACTCGACTCCAGCGTCAGGTCTGACTCCATCCGGAAATATCTCTCTCCCTTTCTCACAAAACTCATGAGATCACATTTTACGCGAAAAACTTTTTCACTTCTGAGAAATAAGCACGCTGGCAATCTGATCTCGCCATCAGTCAACAAGCCGGAGTCCTTATCTCCCGAAGGAAAGTTTCCATCTTCATCTTAGTGGGCTTGAAGACTTTTGAATAAATAAATAAACACATTCAGAGCATTGTTCCTGTGACATACTGAAGGTAGCGCCTGGCACACGAGCTGTTTTTGTATAAATGTTGGTTTCCTCTTCAGTCCCTCCCCGCTGACACCTGCTGCATTTGCATGCTGCTCTGTTGATTGGATGCCAGTCTACCTGGAGGGCCCACATGTCTGCTAGTCGACAATAAGGTCCTTACATCATTTCCCAAGATGAATTCAGACTGTTACAGTAACCTATTCAGAGTACAGTAGGCCTAAAGCTTATTCAAGCGAGTGAGCCAATGAAAAGTGTACATAAGAAAATAAAGGCTGTGCATTAAAATGCAGACTCTCGTATTAGAGATTACAATTACAATCAATTACAACAGAACGGAGACAATGCTAATGACAACAAAAACACGGAAAAAAATTACAAATGATAATAATGACCCCTTTGTTTCATAATTTACGTTTACATTTAAAAGCAACAAAATGCTAACCATAGTGCTGTTCTGTAAAAATTAACAATAAAACAGACAATTAACACAACAATAAAACACAGATGCAAGACCACAGCAAAAACAGAAGGACAAAAATGGTTTAATAAAAACAAGATTCAGTCAAACTCTCAAGAGCCAAAGGGAAAAAGTGCATTTTGAAATATGAATATATTTATTTAACCTTTATTTAACCAGGTTTGTCCCATTAAGATCTGAGGATCTCATTTGCAAGGGAGACCTGACCAAGAATGGCAGCAATACATAGTTACAACAAACAGTCACACAGACTCAATACAGAACAAAAATGTGAGGAAACATCAGTTAAAATAGAGACATTCTGAGAGTTTGTACTCCAGCCTTTTCACTGCAGATTTAAAAAAAGGCAAAGACACCAGGTTTTGCAACTTAAATTTGGTCTGCAGATTATTCCACGCAGAGGGGGCAGAGAACCTGAAAGCCCTCTTTCCCATATCCGTTCAGACTCTGGGGACAACAAACTGTATAAATCTCAATGATCTCAGGTTGTGTAAGCCGTCCTTTAAGATCAATAAGGAGGAGAGGTAGTCCGGAATTCCAAGAATGCCTTTGCAAATGAAAACGTACCAATGACCAAGCCGATGAATTAACAGGTAAAAACATCTCCATCCCTGAGATGGGTTTGGGTGTAGAGAGGGGTCTAGAGGTGGATGTAGAGAGAGTCAGAGACATAGTTGAAGGTATCTTTAATTTGGTGTGCAAAGGGATGTAGATTGATTGACACAAATATATGTTTATTTAATTGTATAACAGGTTGGTTATGTACTCAAAGCAGAGATCCAAGATGTAAGAGTCCTTTGTCAGTGATCAAGTGAAGGTAATTTTGAAGTTGTATCGCCCTTAAAGGTTTTAATAATTTTTAATTGATTTTAATGACAGTAAGCTGCACTGTGCGGCTCTTTTCACTGACTCTACAAAAGGAGTTCTCCAAGGGTCATTGTTGGGTCCTTTGTTTTGTTATCCTTTATATCATTTAAATAAAAAAATGTGGCAAAGGCAAACTTTATTTTCATACAGATGACACAGTGATGTATTGTTCCGCACCTACTCCAAACCAAGCCTTATTTAAGTTACAGCATGCTTTTAACACTGATCAACAATGATTTATAACTCATTTTAAATGCAGATAAAAATAAAATCATGCTGCTGTCAAATGGAAAATCCAAGTCTTTAAATGTGCCATCAATATTGACCTCACAGGGCACACTGATTGAGTTTGTGTCTGTACAGATATCCTGGTATTCTAATTAATGAGTTCCTCTCTTTTAAACCATGCGAAGATTGAAACATTGGTGAGTATTTGTTTTTAAGTCCTAGGTAGGTCTGCTTCCTTCATACCTCTTATATTAAACAGAAAACTACAGGAACTTAAACTCTTCGATCCCAAGACATTTTCTTACCGTCTATTTCAAGGTCAGAACAAAGACGGGCAAAAAGGTGTTTAAATTTGCTGCTCCTTTTTATTGGAATGACTTGCAGAAAGAGCTGAAGCTCAATGAACTGGTTTCCCTGGGAAATCCTGTTTGACTGAACAAAGACATTTTGACTTGCTCTGTTATGACACATTTTACTGGGTCGCAGAAATTTAATGTTAACATGAACACTTTTGTATGTACAGTATGCACATAAGGCTGCTTTTTGTCTGTCAGAAACTTTGTGTTAAGTGCTGCTGCCCATCTTGGCTGGACACTCGATGGACATTCAATGGACAAATTTATTTTTTGGCATTAGAATAAAACCATATTATATTTGAAAACAACTTATTAAATTTGTCTTTCCCTTTTTGTTGCATGGTAATAGTAAAAAAAAGAGATTAAGTTTTGTATGCTACACAATTTTTTTTATCATTATTAATGACAATTGTTATCAAAATAAGATTTTGACATGTTCAGACTCATCTTCAGTTCCAGCAAGCATAAGGTCTTTTTGTTTAAATAGCTGTCAAGATGTGCTATATCAGGTACTTCAGTCAGTCACAAGAATATCAAATAAGGGAGGTCAGGTAAAGTTTCTGTGCATATGGGAGTGAGGGGGGATGAAAAAGTGAATGAGTCGGCTAAGAGGGCTTTAGAGAAAGAAAATATTGATATGCAACTTAGTATCAGTAAGTTGCATATCAATTGTTAGGGATACATTAGACAAGCTGTGTGAGAGATGTCAAGGGGAGGAAAAGTTGATGGAGCATGTAGTTATCAGGTGCAGGAGGTATGAGATGCAGAAATCTACTGTGTATAGGCGAGAAAGAGAGTTTAAGGGGATTGTTGGGAGACTTAGGAGACACGGGGGCTTTTTATAGGATTTAATAGGTAACAAGGTAGAGTTGTAGTTTTTTTATTATTTTCCCTCTTTTTTGTTGTTGCCTACAGTTTAAAAATACATAAGTATATTGTATAGTTCGTTACTGACACTGCGGAGAGGTTTGTGGTAAACACCATTAAGCTGGATGCCAACCGCCGTAAAACAAAAAGACGACTTTTATTTTGAAGTCTAAACCACACTCTGACCGGAAATCCCCATCGTTATGGTAGCATGCTCCTTCCTGACTTCCTTTCCCTGCTAGCAAGTCAAGTTAGCTAGCTAGCGAGAGAGAGTCATTGAAACAGCCAGGTTTATTATTATGAATTGACTGATATTTGTATCATATTAGAATTTTGTTCACATTATCTGAATAACAAGCCAGTTTGCAAAATGAACATACGAAACGCCAGGGTAAGTGTAAAGGGTTCCTCTCGACAGCCATGCTGCTTCTTTTACTAACCGGTGGCTAAAGCTAGTTTCCGAAGCCGACTGAGCATCTGACCAAGTGTGGCCGAGTTCAGGGGTATTATGTTGTCAGGCACTTTTTTGACATGACATTTTCTTTCCTTCAGCCCGAGGACCTGATGAACATGCAGCACTGCAACCTGCTGTGTCTGCCCGAAAACTATCAGATGAAATACTACTTCTATCACGGACTGTCCTGGCCTCAGGTAGATAGATCACTGTGAAACCGAGCCCCTATCCTGCTGCTGCTACCATCACTGCTTCTTTATTCACATCTGTTTTTATTGTTCCAGCTCTCCTATATTGCAGAGGACGAAAATGGCAAAATCGTGGGATATGTGCTGGCGAAAATGTGAGTTTCATTTATATACTTTAACCTGACATCAGCTGGAGATGGACCGTGTTGTTTGATCATGTTTTGTACTCTTCTAGGGAGGAGGACCCGGATGATGTGCCTCATGGACACATTACATCTCTGGTGAGTCCTGACAAGAGCCTCCATATAGAAATAAAAACTACTGTTTATACTTCTAAGAGGCTTGACTTGACTGTAGAGATCCCTATCCCAGCAGAGATTATTTTTATTCAGTTGGGCCAATTTTTGTCATTTTTATATGATCAAAATCTGCTAATTACATATATGTCTTATCAATGTGTCTGCCGTTGATCAATGTTAACATCCCCCTATGATAACCTGCTTTTTCCCTCATAAATGATCAGATCTAAAAGCAACTGCTGGCCAGATTTCGCCGATATTATGTATAGAAAAATGTATTTTAAAGTTGTTTCTGACATAAATTTGTCATGGTCTGAAATGTGTTTTTGTACTCCATGAATCAATTCATTATCAATCTGTGTCACATTTCTGGCTAAATCAAGACTGTAATTGTTGATCTAATGGATGCTTTTGTTGTTGTTTTTGTTAAATTGTTATATTAAATTGAATGCAAAAACAACAATGTGATGTGCAATGTGCAATATCTGCAGCAACCCTAAAACAAAACAATATACATTCATAACTACCTTTTTTTTGTCTTCCAGGCAGTGAAGCGCTCACACAGACGTCTTGGTCTGGCTCAGAAGCTGATGGATCAGGCCAGCCGGGCAATGATCGAAAACTTCAATGCTAAATATGTCTCTCTGCATGTCCGGAAAAGGTACTGTTGACTGTTGATACTTTTAACTTTTGAAACATGGAGAATTTTTCAACGCACTGACCTAATCTTTTCCTTTCCATTACAGCAACCGAGCGGCGCTTCACCTGTACTCAAACACACTCAAATTCCAGTAAGTTTTACATGCTGACACTACTTATAATCTTGTGTTTTAACACGCACTCCTGACATGGAGGTGCAATGGTTCTGTCACGGTCATAAATATAAGGACAGTAATAAATAAAGAGAATGAGACCAATACACTTGTTGGGCCAGATATACTAACAGCTAAGCGCTTATTTAAGTTGTGGCCATTAGCATGCGTTTGATAGAAACTAAACAATGATCATTGACTGGAAACTGAAGTGCTAAAGATAACCTCAGTGGTCCAAAAATAAAAAAGTGAAACCATGAGAGTTTTTGTTGCTGTTACAATCAAAGGGTTTGAATCATCTTAAAAATGTTTGTACAAAAAACTTAATTTTCCCCCTTATTAGAAGATAATTAAGATACATGTCCTATCTTTGGCATATATTGCTGTAAGAGACTTCAAATATCTTGCAAAGAAATGTGTTCTTGAGTTGCTTAAATTGTATCTTTCATGTTATTGTTACTCCTCAGGATTAGTGAGGTAGAGCCCAAGTATTATGCAGATGGAGAGGATGCCTACGCCATGAAGAGAGACTTGGCCCACATGGCTGATGAGGTGATGTATTTCTTTATGCTGATATACCACAGCAACACATGTTGGCACTATAATGGCTGATCCTCAATGTGTCATACTAATACCTGTGTGTCTTACAGCTGAGGAAGCCTGGGGTTCGCGTGTCAGGTCAGGAGGCACCGTCTGGCCAGAGCCCGTCAGGGTCCGGTGATCAGGAGAGAGAGAGCGAGAGAGACAGCGGAGGAGAGAGCAAAGAGCTGAGTGAAGTCAGCGAGGCGACAGAGAGCACAGACGTCAAAGATTCTTCTTCTGATTCACAATGACCCTGCAGTTGTAGACATTTTAAAATTCATCCTTCATTTCTCATCTCCACTTTTTATCTGTGTTTAACAGTCTCCGATTTACAAACCTGAATGCCACGTGCATCAAAGCCTCTTATGTCGCCATTTTTTTCATCCGTCTCTCACTGCAGTGATGAACAAATCTCTCAGATGATGACATGAATTAGGATGTTAAAGAAACTTAAATAAGTGACAGGTCCGAATGTTTTTACAGGATCGCTGTTGTGGCCCAAAATATTCAGCAAGATTTTCAGAACCGAAAACAACTCGTTCTTTTTGAAGTTGTATCATTCTGGTTTATTATTTAACAATTCCTGGAAATAAATCTTTCAAATAACGTCTTTGATTTTGTACTTACTACATTTAAAAGCACTTCTGCTGTGTGAAAGCATGATCGTTTGTGCAGGAAAACTATTTTGAATTCATAACCAAAACTTTGAGCCACAAGACTATCTACATTGCCAGTGAAGAGGGTACTTGAGTTGGCACTTTCACATGATTAAATCTCTACTTTTATGCGAGGCACACAAGACCTGTGGTTGAGGTTTTCATGATTCAGTAAACAGTCCTCACAGTGTGTAAAGGTCTTATGTATGTGAAACTTTAGCAGCACCTAGTGGAGACAAGAAGAAAGAAAGCAACAGAAGTTTGTCACGATTTAAACCCCTCAGTGGCAGCTTCATTTGGACATGATTTGACCTTGTTCAAGTTTAAAAACCACATGTTTGAACCAGTGAAAACACTATAAATCCTCTGATAAATCAAACTGTCTTTAGGTGAACCCACCACCGTTTTTAGCCTGGTTAAGCATTGTCTTCCTGCTCTTCAAGGAAGGAAGCAGGGGTGAGAGAAGTGGGTGCCTGACTTAACGACACGTTACGCTCAGTGACCTCTTAGAGAGTTCACTTGTTTCTAACATTTAAAGTAGCTCTGTTTCACGGCTCACTGCAGTTTAACACTTTTCAGCTTGAAGAGACAACACTGATGTTTCAAAGAAGTCTTTCACAGTGAATAGGCATAGACTAATTATGGAGCAACAGAAATACATGTGGCAATGTGCAGCATTAAAGGTTGCATCTATTGACTCAACGTGTTTGTCCATCAACTGCGGTCCGGGGCCATCAGAGCATTCATGTATTTTTCTCTCTCTCTATAAACTGAACACGGCAGCAGCTGATTTCACTCAGCGGCCTGTGAACAACCTGAGCAGAGGGACCAATCAGTGGAAACAGCTGCTGTATGATTGGACTGAGATACTTGTGAGGAGTTCAAGCCTCAGCGTGATCGAGAGAGAAACCTCAAAAAAAATAAAAAGAAGGGTTTTCACTCATCTGACTTTCACAATCGAGCACGGATGGCTCAAACTGAATGTGTGAGTGAGATGTTGGGTGAGGAAAGAGAGAGGAGTGAGTGTGTGTGTGTGAAAGAGAGAGAGTCAGAGAGATGTGCTCTACTCCACCCACATCCATCCGTGTCCAATGTGAGGGGGAGGTGAAACAGTTGAGAGCTTACTGTGCTATTAACTGGCATTATTTAGTTGCTTCACTCTGGGGAAAAGACTTGTCAAGACTGCTCCTCATCAGGTAAGACTCTTTTTTCACACTTTAACAGACTTTTATCTACTAATTTGTCTCTTTAAAAGTGTCAGTTTTTCCGTTGGTAGGTTGACTTCACATGTCTTTTTGCTGAGAAGTAACTTTGCTGTTTTAAAGATCATTATGTTGATTATCTCAGTTGTGTTCTTGTTTGAGCCCTCCGGTCATAACCGTTTCATAACTCAGGCAGAATCTATGTGTTTGTACTTGTAGAGACCATGAGTGACACACACAGAATCACTGTAATAAGAAGTAAAAAGAGCATTTCCACTGAAGTTAAGTGTAGCATTGATGAAATATTGCTGTACACTGTGACGATGCAGAAGCTGGTGATTCACTGCTGATCACACAGAGCAAGAATGAAAAGGACTCATGGAAAAGGGTGACATAGACTGGAGAAAATGAGACGCTCTCCTCTCCGTTTTTGGTTTACTTTAACCGGGAAGGTCCTTTTTAGAAGAACTAAGTTTGTTGGTAAATGTTTTAGAAGAACAAAATGCTGATGAGTGATGTTTAGCCTCTGAGAAAAGGGAAGTTAAGGGGGAAAGAGAGAGAATGTGATCTGGTTGTGTACAAAGGGCCATGATCCAGCAAGAATCTTCTCTTCCCCTTTTTGATGTGACCTAAAAAGCATCTATAAAAGTGAAATTTTACAGAAACTAGAGGCTAAGTTCAGAAATATAAAAACAACATCATCTGACGGGCTTTGACTAATTGACAGTCATGCACCAACATAAACTATCCGTTCTCTCTTTTGCAGTGTTTTCTGCAGAGAACAGGCTGAGATACTACACAGAGGCATTAGCTTCTGTCACAGCTTGATCAGGAAGAAAGAAACCAAAACAAAGTGGTCTTTTCATTGACATCTTCATGTCTCTATGTTGAGGTTTGGCCACAGTGAGACAGTCAAAGCTTGAAAGGGCTAGACTCCCTGATGTATTTTTAAAATGTTTATACTATAAGTGCACCAGTAAACCGAAGCGTCATGACTCAAACCACCTGTAGTTCTCAGTTCTACAGATCGTAGTTCGCCCTATTTTTAGGGGAGCTGAGTTGTTGCCGGAGCTATTTTTGCATCTCGTGCAATCTGCAGCGTGACTAGTGCAGCAGGCAGCACATGCCAACTGGTTTTCTACTTGTCTGCCGATCAGCAGACGGTGACCAGTTTGAAGAGATGTGTTACAGTAAGATGAACGTGCCCTCTTTTTATTTTTTTATTTTTGCTCTTTGTGTGCCTGGAGGAAGTTGGCATGGCCCTCAGAGGGGGGTGTTGTGACACTAAGAGTGCAAGAGTGTGTAGGGAGAGGAAGGAGGGAGCCATGCTTTGGTGCAGCAGTGTCTCGGAGGCCTTTATTATGACTGGACTTTGTCATGGGAAGGAGAGCATAACCGCTTGCATGAACATAAACAATGCTGTGATTCTGCCAGAGAGGTAAAGGGAACAGGGCAGCGGATTGAATCAAGTTATGGTGATTTTATTTTATATTCTTCCCCTTTTTTCCAGAATTTCACCCAGTTGGAGCGACAATGACTTCCCATGTGAAACTCCGCAAAGAGAGGGTTGGTGTTGTGGACTACGATACACAAATCAAAGGTCAGTAATTTACTTTCATCAACATGCTTTTTTTCCAAACTCTTGACTTGATTAAACCCTTCTCTCTTTCTTTTCTCTGTGACCAGCATGTACGGTTTGGCGGAAACTCAACTCTTAAGAACTGTGTGTCACCAGCCACAGGTCTCTTGCAATGAGTCATATTCACCCCTGTGTTTCTTTCTCTGTCATTCAGAGGTGCGATGCCAGCTTGTGGACCAGCTGAAGGTGTTAGACCTGCAACTTGAGCAGAAAAGCCAGCAGCTACAAGACCTGAGTGACTATTTGCGACGTCGTAGTGAGATTGAAAGCGAGTACGCACGCTCCTTGGAAAAACTCGCTGAGAGGTTCACTTCCCGGACTAAGAGGTAGAGGTCAATCCTGTCTTCAACAGCACATACATTGTACTAAAATCAAGCTGTTCTCTTTTAGGACAGAGTTTTGAAACATCCCTAAAGTTAAACTCTTTTCCCTCTGTGTCCTCCTCCTCTTCTTTTTCTTCACACTTGCTCAGGAAGGACCCCAGCAGTCACTCAGTGGCCCAAGTCTGGCTGGCCCTTCTGTCCCAGACCCGCCAAGAAAGTAAGGACCACAACAGACTGAGTGAAAGCTGCAGCAACTACCTCCTTCAGCCCCTCACACACTGCCTGGAGTACACACAGCGGCTTGCCAAAAAGGTATTGATAAGAGCGCCATCTTCATAAAAAATAAGGCTTTCATGGTGCCATTCAGCAGCTATTATGCCATTCTGTTTCCTTTTTCTCTTCTGAATTTCTCTTGAACTCTTGACACATGATTTAAGTCTCTGCGGCTCACTTGTGTTCCTTCCGTGTTGTGCCATTTCACTTTGTGGTATTTTGTCTTTGCACATCGAGAGTAAAGACGTCTGCACTCAGCTACAAGATGGTCTGCTCAAGGTTACCACAGAGCTGCAGACTGTAAGTGAGAAACAAAGCGCCCAAGACGTATGTTTTCTTCACACAAAGAAAGTCATACCCACAAGTGTGTGCATGTGTGTGTATGTGTGTGTGTGTTTGTATGCAGGCATGGCGAACATACTACCAGTACCATTCGGACTATGTGCTAGCAGATGGGAAGCTGAAGGAGGCCGAGAAACAGGAAGAAAAGCAGAAGCAGAGTGCTGCAAAGAAACTGGAGAGATTGATAGAAAAAGTAAAGGAGAAATACTCCATTTGTTATGATACATAGGTCTTTATTTCTCCATTTGACCCCTAATTGTAATTGATTCTGTGCTACAGAGACAAGGGAAGGCCAAGGAGATCTACCTGAAGTGCAGCAAGGCCCGAAACGAGTATCTCCTAAACCTGGCTGCAGCCAACGCCTCCATGAACAAATACTATCTCCAGGATATCTCTACACTTATAGATGTGAGTGCATCAGATCACATTTATGTGTCTGAGTTCAATGTTCTAGTGCAAGTCAGAGTCACAATTTGGTGATTCAGTGCACTATAAGTTTTTCTTGTTGTATTTCTAAGTCCTGACTTTTCCAGCCATGCTCCATTTACTTCATTCACACAGTCTAGATTTCCTTCTGTCATCAAACTCCGGATTGGAAACTATCTTTAGTTGTTGTCTTTAGTTTTCTCACCAGATTAAGAATTCACTCAACAGTATAATTAATGAAGAATAAACTTAACCCTCCTCCTGTGTTAGGGTCTGCACCGACTCGTTTTTGTTTTCAAATGCTTAAAAGAACCACATAAATTAGCTTTGACTTTGTCAGGAACCTCTATTTTAATGAAATAAAAAAAATTGAATTGACTCAATTATAAAATGCTTTTATTAAGATTATGGCACTTGTCGTGTTAGGGTCGCTGTTGACCCAGTCACAGTCACACACAAATCAATAATAAGAGCAAAGACTGAAATCATAAGTGCACTGTCAGGCACCACGCTGACAGTCAGATCCTCTCCCAATCATATGAGATTTAGGATATTCTCATTTTACCATGTTTTTCCCTGCACAAAAAAAACAATATTGGGCATGTCCAGACATGTGTAATCAGTTCAGTATAGATGTCTGTGTGAGGGGTATACTGACAAAGAACAACAAAAAATATTGTACACATTACAACATTTCATGGATAATGAAGCCTTACAAGGTAACCTAGAGATGAGAACCAAATTGGATGATAGAGAAATGTTTTAAGTGTAATTTGCAGCTGATTTAAGACACGGGTCAAAACCGACCTGTTAACATAGTGGGTGCGTAGTGAAAGCTAACACAGGAGGAAGGTTAAACGTCTTTCCCCCAGTCCAAATCTGACCTATAAAACCAACAGTAAAAAAAAGGTCTCCTGGTCCAAAGATTGTAACTTCTTGTTCTCCTTTGTCTCAAAACCAAATCAAGGCGTATAAAAAAGAATATTTTGGTGTTTTGGTCTGAGTTCCGAGAAAGAAAGGCTGTCAAAGGTTCATAAAGCAAAAGTGTGATAAACCGCAGTGCCGATTGACACAGTGTACAGAGTATGCGAGCTCTGAAAGGAGGAGTGCATGTATTAGATATCAGCATAGTGCAACACAGATATAAGTGTGGTAGCAACCAGTCTCTTTTTAGACTGGAAAGAAAAGCAGGATTTGATTCCTCAGCTGAGGGCAGATTCAGTGGTTTAGACTTCGTAACTGATAACAGTAGGGCTTTTGTTCTGTCTGCATTTCAAAGTTTTAAATCACACAAATCTGAACAGTGTTTAAAGCTCCCACTGTTGGAGAGCTTTGTCTGGAGTGGTTGTCACGAAATGCATTACAGTGTTAGCATAGAAATGAAAATTTGCATTTGGAACATAATTATATGCAAGAAAACACTCGGCAAGAGCAAAAGAAGTAGAGAGCAGTGTACAGCCTGGCTCCCAGTAGTGATATTCAACATTTATTTCACTTTGATTTATCTTTAAACGCTTATCTGCATCCAAGTGTAGTAAATTTACTTTTCATGTTGAATAGGGCCAATCAAGTTCATGGAAATGAAGCCTGATCTGGTATCAAAGTTGTTGATTTCAAGTCAGGATGATCTGAATAAAATCAGTGAATCTGTCTCCCTCAGTGTGCAGATGCAGGGTACCACCTGTCTTTGAACCGGGTTATGCAGGCCTACCTTTCAAGTCGCTGGCGGGCTCAGCAAAACCTTGGCACAGGCCTGCAGCAGCTTCAAGGTACTGTGTCTGGTTTAGACCAGAGCCACGACAGAGATGCCCTCCTGCAGGACCATTATAACACCTTCTCCATGCCGCTCCGCTTCCCTTATCAGCCCCATGATGGAGACCAGGTAAGGATTGTGTGTCTATTCCAGCAGATTATTCAACTGTTTGTGATTAATATTGAAATTTCTGTGTCTCAGATTTCTGAAGTCAGTGCAGAGGGGGAGATGAGGTGTGAGCTGGAGACCAGATACAAGCAGATTCAAACCAGACTAAAAGCAGTCACCCAGGAAGCAGAGGAGGTAAAGTACACTGACAACATTTTAACACCTCTGTGTTTGTTTACTGTACCAAGGGTTGTTATTTAACACCTTTTTGATTAAAGGGTTTAGGTTAGTGTCAGTGTTAGTGTCAGTTTTACTGTTAGTGTCATTTTCTTGTTTTGAATTGAAAGCTAAAGGCCTTTTTTCTGAATACTTCAATGTTAATAGGATTAAAATCTGGTCAGGGTGCATTTAGGAAATCTAATTACAGGAATGTGTCTGAATAGTTTAAGGACATCCATATTACTGTCTTTGAATGTATTTGATTTGCATTTCTGTCTTTTTAAAGTAGGCACTCTTATGCATCACATTTGTTTACATTGAACAACCATCCGCTTCTTTTGATAACTGTTAACTGATTTTGTTAACTAAAGCATAATATTCAGTAGTTTTCTCTGCCTCCGTCACAAAGGCCAATAAGAACATGAGGGCAACCCAGTCTTCTCTGCTGGAGAACATCAGTGATGATGACCTGGACCCTGGCAGCGGTTTGTCTCAGGAGGGCAGCACTGAGAACCTGACAATCAAGCCCAGTGTGGCCCGCCGCAGGGCCAACCAGCAGGAAATAGAAAACCTCTACTTCACTGTGAGTCCTCTTTTTGAGGTCATGGGCAATGACCTTTAAAGAATGTCTGAGCCCAGTGACAGACACATGTGGTTTTATGATATACCCGTGGTTGAAAATGGTTGTTCCATGACACAGCAACTGATAGAGCGCAAACAATGCATGCTGTACATCACATTTCATTTGTTTTCTAGAGAGTCAAAGAGTATCTTGTAAGCAGCTCCCTGGAATCGAAACTTCAAGCAAAACATGATCAGCTGAAGGTGGCTGTGGAAAAAGGTATCACTTCTGCATTTCTCACAGAATACTGCCAAAAAGGCTGCTGACCCAAAGAGACACAGGAAACACTGCATTTCTGTCAGTTTTGTTTGTTAAAGGAGGGATTTTCTGTTTTTGTTCCCTCATAGCTGAAGCATCAAATGGACATCAGCCAAGGTACAGATGAAGATCTATAAATAAACATCAAAATGTTACTGTGCTCCTATAGCAGCTCTTGATTCTTGATTTAAAGGACTAACTATGTTAAAGAAACTTTGTAAAAATTTGACTGTTGTTTCAAAGTAGAGTTGACTGTGTGTCCTGACCACACTGTATGTAACTCCACAGACCCAACGGGCAGTCTATACGTGTCAGGAAGAATCCCTCCAGTGCCAGTTTGATGCACAATCACAAACTTTTCAAAGGAGACATGTTGTCCTTTATAAATGTGAGCTATCATCACAATTACACCATTTAACCACTTTCTCTTTGTAGCATTTCTCTCACTTGAGGTAGCCTTGCCTTTTTTAAATTTATTGTTTACTTTGCATTATTTAGGCATCAGGACAACAGATTCCAATAGTTGTGGCAAGCTGTATTCGCTACATCAACCTCAACGGTGAGTAAAAGGGCTGCAACATTATGTTAAGATTTCAAGACTTAAAGCCACCGTATTGAATGTGAAAATTTATGGTTTTAATTCACAGACTATATCACAGATTTATTAACCGTAATCATGTTGTCTTCAGGGGGAAAAAAAACTTCTGTGTAAAAAGAGGTTAAGGGACATAAAACTTCAACACACAATGGTTCTAAGTGTATTTTTGCCTCCATATACGAGCTCTCTGCTCATTTGTGTGTAGAGATGCTGTAATTGTGTCTGTATATCAGGTCTCCATCATGAGGGCATATTTCGAGTTCCAGGGTCCCAGATGGAGGTCAATAACCTGAGGGACGCATTTGAGGGAGGTAAGCCTGTGTTTTTTTTTTTTGTCTTTTATTTTGTGTGTCTGTGACATGTTTGAGCATTAATAATGTGTGGTGGTGCAATGTGGGTTTCCCCTGCAGGAGAGGACCCCCTGGCTGAGCAGAGATTTGATCTGGACTCTGTCGCTGGAGTGCTGAAGCTCTACTTCAGAGGTCTGGAAAAGCCTCTCTTCCCCATCGACAGCACCAGCCAACTCCTGGAGCATGCTCGTAAGTGTGTGTTCAGTGGGTGCTGACACATCCTAAGTGCAGCTGAGAGCTCACAACTGTAGCTCATGGTTCCTTTTGTCACTCTTTGTCAGAAATCAAGAACGAGGCAGAGAGAGCAGCTCAGCTCAAAACAGTCATCTCCTCCTACCCGGAGCCTGTGATCATTGTCATGAGATACCTTTTTGCATTCCTTCATCAGTGAGTATCTATCTGAAGTCACTGGTGTCAACATGTTTCAGGAAATAATGTCTCTGAAAAATATGGAACAAACATTTAGAGTAAAGAGGAAGTTAATTTGGTAATTTTGTGCGGTTAAAGCGGGAAATATTCTAAATAGATAGCTGATATCCTACTAGGTCTGACAGAGATGTCATATTTTTATTGTAGTGTTACATTTAAGAGGAAAATGCACCGAATTATATCCAAGGTGAGCTGAGAATGTGTTTGAGACAGTTGAACTTAAGATGTAAAAAACTAGAAAAAAATGAGAAAAGAGGAAAAAGAGCATCATGACAGTTCGAATTATTGTGACAAAATGTATTTCTCAGACATTGGTTGAGATAAATTAATGTTATTTCCTCCCTGCCTTCAGTGTGTCTCAGTACAGTGATGAAAACATGATGCAGCCTTACAACCTGGCTGTGTGTTTTGGCCCCAGCCTGGTTAGAGGGGAACACGATGATGATGTGGTCACCCTGCAGCCGCAGATCAACGCTCTAGTGAAGGATATCATCTTGCAACATGAGAGCATCTTTCCCAGCCAGGCTGAAGTACCAGGACCATTATATGAGAAATGCATGACCCAGGAGCAGGATGACTGGTAAGAAAAAAAGGATTTCATGCACCACACATACTTATGGCATGGGTCTGATATTGTGGAACGATCATCTGAGGGTGTTTTCTGTCACAGTGAGCCTATCATTGAGGGAGATGTAGAAGCGGAATACAGCCAGAACAAAGAGGGTAAGTTTGTGCTTTTCTGAACTTGTTTTCTTTCTACAGCTGTGATTTTGTCACTTCACATTACATTCAAACCTTTTTTCAACAATATTCAGAGTTGGAAACGGGGCCCTCAGCAGACAACAGCTCCAGCTTGTCTTTGGCACCAGCACAGAGAAAAGCAGAGCGTCCCAGAGCAAACAGCAGTGGTGCAATTGACCAAACCAGATTTACAGCTGGACCAGCAGGGGGCAGCGTTTCTCCAGGTGGGAAGTTAATGTTGCAAATTCCCATGGGGAAACCACGGCGTTTCCACTCTCCTGGAAATGTGCGCAGAGAGTGAGTAACACTGATCATCATAACTTCACAACAGACCTTTGTGGTTTAAGTGAGGAATTAATGTTTCCTTGTTTTTGCCAAACAGAGTCCAGGAACTGTCATCTTCTGAGGAAGTCTCCGTTAAAGTAGACAAGGTCTGTTTGTTTCTCATTTGTTTTACATACTACAAGGCATTGTTAAAGATAGAGTCTATAATTGGAACTGAAGGCTTTTGAGAGCTAATAAGTAAGACCCCTTATGCTGCTGCAAAGGGTCATGAGACTATCACGTAGGCCATCTGAGCCATAAATTTTAGTAAGCCACAAAGGGCCTTTTATACCAGATAATTTAGTTGGGGTAGTAAATGTTGTTTTGTGATAAGCAGATATTGTCCAGATGTTCAGCAGCACTCTAGAGGATAAGTGGTTGAACCATTTTGGTTAAAAAAAAAAAAAAAAAGATCTCCCAGGATACTCATTTTAATAATCAAAAGACAAAAATTCTTCCAAAAATATATTTTGATACTGGTCCCAGAAGCTTAACAGTCTAACAAAGTCAGCCTAACAAAGTTACTCCTAACTTTCAAAAACATGAAAAAGGAAGTGGAGAGAATGAAGAAAACCTTTACCGTGGTTTATTTTATTTTACAGGATGTTTGTCGCCAGATGGACTCAGTCTTCAAGGAGCTTCTGTCGCGGCAAGTAGTGCAGGATCCCTCCTCCACCGCCCCCTCTCCCTCTGCTGAAGCGGCCCAAAAGAAGGGGAGGCGGGATGTCCGCAGGGGGAGAGGAGCAGGGCTCTTCAAAGCGGCAGATCAACTGGACTGAGAGCACTGTCATCACTAGGGGATATGAGAAGAGAGAAACAGATGAGACAAATGAAAACTAAGGTGTGAGGAGATGAGCCCTGACGGCTGCTTTCAGCACATCAACTGAGTTTCTAAAAAAACTCCGACCACTGACACTGATGGAAACCTCAGTCAGTTGTCCATATCCCTTCTCAGGGGCCACTTAACTCATATTTTGCCCACCAGGGATTTCAGCCCTGTGACACACTGTTAAAGTCTGGCTTACTTGAAATACACCGACCATGTTTGTGTAAAATTCAACATGTGTATGCAGTTTGTGGCTTTATTTGAATCAGTCAAGGTGTTATTATTATACTGGTTTTGGTCAAATACATATTTTCTTAAGTCAGTTATCGGCACATGAACATTTACAGTCAAGAACATGGAACATTAACTGTGTTTACAAAATCCTAAGGGAGTTTATAAGAAAACTGTGAAGACTGTAGCTGTAAAGATTTCGTATGTACATATTATTTGTAACCTGGTTGACACTTTATGACTTGTCTGTTCATCTGGACCTTGTGCCAAATAAATATCTTGTGTATTATGACTGTCATTTCATGTCAAAGCAAGCATCATTGTTGGAGCACTGTTTCCTCTTAATTCCTCTCATCAATCTTTTGTTAAGTGTTTGTGCATTCAAAATGTCTGACCCAGATGCAACAAAATTAGCAGATAGATAATGTAACTGTAAATGTATTCAAGCTGATAAAATAAAACTTATAATTCACAATTTCATATTCTGCAGTTACCTGTCGGCTCAGTCTTTAGTCAATCTTTGAGAGATGGAGTACAGGGGAGAGTGGGGTAAGTTGAGCCACCCCCTGTCGCTTGGAAATGGTAAAAGAAATTGATCACGTGACCAAATATCTAGGAGATGGACATCAATTCATGGAGTCTGTAAAGGTTAGAAGCACATGGGTGAAGGGGTTAGACTTTTATTTAAAAAAAAAAAACAAAGTTTATTTAGTCTAAAAGTTTATTAGACTAAAAGTGAATTTAGTCTGTCTTAAGTTTTATTAGAATTGTGTCCAGACCAAAAAAGATAATTTTAAATTTGTTTTATACATCAATTGTGGTATCTATGAGCTACAACATGAGGTCGAAAACCTAGCATAAAAGTCAACCATTTTAGCTTAGAGGACTAATAAAGTCATAATCATAGTTCAGGGGTAAGTTGAACCAGTGGCTCAACTGAGAAAGTAAAGGAGTCTGATGAGAGGATCAGAGTTTCAGTTCAGATTGTTGAAATATGTTACTTTTTCTTTTCAAAAATACAGCTGTGAATATTCTGAATCACTTACAGACAAGTGACTGTTATTTAGGAAGAGAAAAGGTGAGGGAGGGCTGGGGTGGAGAGTCGGGGGATAGTAGGTATACGGCTCAACTTACCCTGCTCCTATGGTCAACTAACCCCATACCCCACAGGGTAAGTTGGCCATAGGAGACCCCTTTTTGGCATGCTATATTATCAAGACAGTTATGTTTACACTTATTCTGTTGGTTTGCAGGGATGAACAACATCTTGACATATATGCAGACACACCAGTTAGAGACAAAACTATTATTGCCTTGATGTAGTGATCTGAAATATGAAAAATGGCTCATCTTACCCCACTCTCCCCTACAATTTGATTTTCAAAAAGCGTAGAGTCTCTGCAGATCATAAATGTTGCTGAGATCTGAGTCAAATGGCAAACAGTAGTTTCATAATTACATACAATAGAGGTCACATTTACAGTTTTCATTTAAGTTTTATTTTATTTTATTGTAGCCTAAATGGGTTTGGTATAACTTTGTGAATCTGGCTGAATTTGGACGCCTGAGTCATTTCTGATCGATATTTAGGATTTTATATGTGTAAGATGAACTTTGCTGGTATGATCAAGATGAAGAAAGGACATTTTTCATAAGTTATTTTTTTTTTTTTTTTTTTGCATTGACACATATTAACCGTACAAACACAAACCAAAGGACAAAAGGTAGTCACAAAACAATATTATAGGCATCAATTCAAACAAAAAAGTAAAAATAAAAGAAAATGGTTATAAATCATTAATGTATTCATCACATATTCTTTTAGTTTTGATAGCTTTAGTGTTTTTACAATGTTTTTTCATCAGTTAAATATCAATCTTTCTTCTCTACTTCAGATGACGTGTCGACTTCGTAACTCCCCCAGGATGCTTTGCGCTGCAGCAGTCCACGTCATTGAAGCGCAGGCGCAGAAGCGTTACTACAGTGAGCTGAGGTGGACTTCTTCCTTTCAGTCAGTGTGACAGTCGAAGTGTAGTCCAACATCTAGACTTTAGAGACTCGGTAACCTCTCTGACCATCCTCCAGACCTCACAATGATTCGGTTAGCTGCTTTCCTCGCTGTCCTTGTGGTCGCCTGCTCGGGTAAGTCTCCGGGGAAGCGGTGGATGAGATTGACCGGGTTTGAGTGCTCTGTAATGCTAAGAAGTCTTGTCCGGGAGCTACACCAAACCACTTCTGTTTGTGCTCTGTGTTGTGTGTGTAAATTTCAGTCTACTACAGATTATAAATAAGTGAGCTGTGTTTATACTCATCTCTGCTTTTCACTTCATTGTGTTAGGGGAGAGCTGCACAGAGCCAGCGATCACCCCGTCGGCCTACACCACATCTGACGCCGTCATCTCCTCCGAGTCTGTCTTCATCGTTGAGCTCAGCCTGGCCTGTGCCAACGGAGCACAGGTAACTATCCACCTACAGCACCTCAGACAAACACTGTGATCATGTATTGATGTTATTGATTGATTGACCTATTGATGATTGTATTTGTCCTCTGTAGAGTGTGACTCTGTATGCGGATGTCAATGGAAGACAGTTCCCTGTGACCAGAGGCCAGGACGTGGGCAAGTACCAGGTATGGTGTAGATCTGATTAAGACATGTTATCTCATTGTATGTCCTCGTAATATTCAGTGTAATTTGTAATATTGTCAGGCAATAAAAGTATATATTTTTGTCTTTTTCATCTCCACTTTTACATGTTAGCCTATACAACAAGGTGCCTCTCACTCATTATAAATGTCGTCAGCAGTCATGACAAACATGCTTGACAAAATGTGACATCTCTCCCTCAGGTATCTTGGAGTCTTCCTCACAAACAGGCCAGCTCTGGGACATATCAGGTCAAATTCTTTGATGAAGAGTCCTACAGCGCCCTGCGAAAGGTGAGTGTTTGATGCTTTCTTTCTCAACTATTTGTTTACAGCAAGTTGGGCCTCATTTATTGTGGTGTGTGCAGTCTTTGTAAGGAGAAGCTGTTTGATTTCAATTCAATATGATTTTAATCTCATTTGTTTCAGGCCCAGAGAAACAATGAAGATGTCAATGCCATTGAGCCTCTCTTCTCTGTCAACATTGACCACAGGGTGAGTCTCTAGAGACTGTGACAGACATAATCATGGTCACATTGGCTTTATAAAATTAAGTAAACACCCATGAATAACAGCAGCATAGATCATTTCATTAACTGATTGAGATGAGTCCAGATTTGAGTATTTCTAAATGACTTTGCCCTAGTTTGTCTTTCTTGCACAAATTCTTGGATCCCAAATCAAGTTTCGAAATTAACCCTTTGCTGTCATCTACATGCAGCTACTTCCATTTAAAAGAAAAAAAAAACTAACTTAAATTACACATTAAAGATCTTATTGCATTAATCCAATAATTCCAGGGAGCAATCAGTAACATAGTGCCCAGCAACAAGGTGCTGTATTTATTTTCCTCATTTACTAAAGATGAAATCAGCTAGAAGGCACTCAGTATTCATGGCCAGAAACACAAACCCTAGTTGTCTTATTGGTGAATAGGCTGTATTCAGTTGTTATTTCCAATGCTCATTAGTCTGTTGTTCTGATCACTCAAACCCCTAACATTACGTGTCACACTCACCCATTTACACCACAGTTATAAACTGATGGCAGAGGCTGTTGATATTAGGCATCAGTAAAATCTAATCCCAATCGTACACTGCCATCTAGGGCTGAACAATTATGGCAAAAATGATAATCATGATTATTTTGACTGATACTGAAATCACGATTAATGAACACGATTTACATTGATTTCAAGACTTGAGTATGAATTGAACCAACAAAACTTAACTTTAAATATAACTTATAAGAACAGCCAGAAATAAATTAGTAACAAGTAAACAAGTAAAAAAATAAAAATAACAATAGTCAATTAATGTAATGATAGCAATAAAAACAATAAACAAAAATAATTTCCCAATCTACATGCACTCCTGCAAAACTTGCAACATGCGAAAAAAAACCCACTAATTTCACAGACAAAAAACTAAAGACTCTTTAAAGGTTTTTCAAAAACCTTTTTTTTTAAAAAGCAATACTTCCTCAGCCGACCTCCCTGCAGTTTGCCTCCTACAAACTCAGGTTTTTTGGCTCGGAACACCAGTCTCTTGACTTGGTCTGGTTTTAGTGATGAACAAAGGCAAGTAACAACAATGCTCCGTTATCACCTGTCTATCACCAAAGACCACTTTATGACTACACATTAAGTAACTGAATAAGTTCAGTGTTTCCCCCAGGATGGGGCATGCTGGGATAGGCATGTGGAAAGAGGGGCCAGGATTCAACCTCTCAACCTGTGATTGAAAGATGATCGACTCTGCTACTGAGTCACAGCTGCCCATTATAATGTGACAGGGATACCAGACATTTTCTAATGCATAACTCCAAACACCTTCGTAAAAAAACAAAGATTCTTTTGTGGTTATCTCACATGTGGCATCAAGAGACAAATTCAAGAGCTGCTTCATATGAGCAACGATCACTCACATCTGTTGACATTAAACCAGCCAAACATACTGGGTTTTGTTGGGAAAGATACATTTTGAGAAGCCCGGCTAAATTCCAGTTTTTATGAAAAAAATATTTTGGGAATCCCACAGAGACGGTCTGTAGGTCAATAGCTTAGGGCTACAGAGGTGCTGGTATGTAGGTGCTATTTTTGCTTCTTTCCATGAGCAGCTTGTTTTGACGTACTTCTTCCATTTTTTTGTGCATTAAACTAATAAAGGCAAATATTATCAAAGAATTACATTATAGGCTCAATTGGAAGCATGTGAATAGCTGTAGTTAGTGTTTGTGTTCTGCTCCAGCTGTTCAATCATACATGTTTCTCCCAGGCTCAGTGTTTCCCTAAGATGCTATGAATTCACTTCAACATACCCAGACCGTCTTTACATAAACTTGCTTCAACTCTCAGGCTCTCAGGCTTTTGGAGGGTCATTTGTCACAAAAAGGAACAATCAGTATCTATTTACATCAGAGTGATGTTATCAGAAGTATACTGATTATATAAGAGTTCTGCTTCAAATAGTAGCAGCAGATGAGGACAGAAGGAAGCTGCAGAGACTGATTGTGTTGATGTGTTAGGTAAATAATTAATTTAAAACAAAAAACACTTTTGGTGCCACTTGTATATTTCCAATGAGACAACTACATAAAGTACAACTCTGAGAAATTGACCATGACACACAATGTGCAACACTTGTAGTGCGCACCCCACATTCAAAAGCCATAGTCTTCATTGCAGTGGTTTCTGGTTTATCTCCCAGCCTTGATTGTTTGTCATATGTCTCCCCCTTCTCTGTAGTTCCCACATTTTTTGTCTCTTTACTGTCCTGTACAATAAAAGCACAAATGCCCCAGGCTAGAGGCTAAATCACTGTACTCAACAGACCTAGCTATTACCTCTCTCACGTAAGATTGAAATGACAAGATATTTGCTCACCTCTCTTCCATTCTGAACTTTTCTCTGCAGGGTGCATGGAACGGGCCATGGGTGTCCACTGAAGTGGTTGCTGCCCTCATTGGTATCCTCGTCTACTACATGGCCTTCAGTGCTAAGAGCACCATCCAGGCATAAAGGGTCCCTTTAAGAACCACTGGATCATTAAAGACTGAAATCTGGTGGCACTCAACCAATGTGCTGTAATCCAGTGATGTGGCAAACAATAAGACCCGCCTCCTGGTCTGCCACGGGATGAGGAGCAAGACCTGCAGTCGTTTTTAATTTCCTTTTTATTCAGACTGTGTCTGTTTGGCATCTCTTTTTTTTCTTTTACAGGTGAATTTCTACATGAGTGAGGCCTGTCCATGTGGACAGACTTTTGAAAAACAATAAACCTGGACAGCATTACAAACAAATTTCGATCATGTGCTGTAATCAGCCCTGTTTAAAGTTGGTTGCGCCATCCAAACCAGACTCGGTCCCTCTGTGTGGACTCTCTGGTCAGACTGGAACTTGTACAGATGTCCTGAACACAAACAGAGTGAGGTCATGACCTCAATGTAAATGAAATGTCAGTGTGACTGCACAGGCTGATCTGAACAGGCCTGGTGTGTTTGTCTCTTCCACTAAATTGAATAAATGGCTTGTTTTTCCTCCAGTGTTATGTTTTGCTTCATGTGACAGACCCCCTCCTCTATAAATTCCTTTTTCTCTGAGAGGGACTAGAGAGGGAAGGATTGCTCTCATTCCATAGCAACATATGGAAACTAAGGAGTTTGAGTTGATGATTCAAGGATTCCTGATTTCATTTGGATCAAACAAAAACAAGGTCCAACTAGTTTAAACGTTTTCAGACGAAGGCATGAGAAAAGGTCATACAAATATGAGGACTTCATTTTTAATCTTCTGATTTATTAACCAGTTTTATCTTAAAGTTTCGCAGCTACTGTCGTCACGCAGAAGTACTTCTTCCAGACGATCTTTGAATTATTCTCAATAAATTAGTCATATACGATGTAATCATGACTTTGTGTTCACTGTGAAGATGTTGAGCTTAGAGGTTGTAGCTAAGCCCTCAGTGGACATTAGGGCTATTTTTGCCGGCAAAGTAGAGTCATTACTGTCCCTCTGGTATTCCCTGATAGTGAAGGAGAAAACCATGGTCACTGCAGCAGTATACCATCAACTAAAGGCCTGTTTCCACTCAATGTACACTCACATTAAAGGTGTTAAATCAGTAACTTGGCGCTTATCTCTCTGGTTTGCTCCACTGCAGTACTACCTGTTTAACACACTGTGGCAGCTGTGTGCTGCTTCTTGAGGTTGGATGGATAGTAAGGTCAGATATTACCCTTTAACCCATCACGTGATCTTATTTTTGCAAGTTCACGATCAGCTGCTAATGTAATGCAGAAAATTGCATGATGTACGTTTGCGCCCCTGATCTGATTTTCATCCATCTTGTTCAATTTTGTCACGTTATGCACTTACTGCAGTCTCGTGCTTATGTGATCCAGTTTGTTGCAGAGTGTTTTACTCAGCATATCTATTTCTGTAGAGGGTCTGGGTCAGTGTTTGTGCTCAGTGACAAGCACAGCGAAGCCTAAAAGATCAGCAGGATAGCAACTTCTACCCAACTCCCACAGGACTGATGTAAACTTTGTGTATGAGTAACTTGATCCTGCCCTCATAAACCCTGCACAGTGTGCAGAGTGCACCAGAAGTTTCTCATGTCTACTTTTCTTGAAGCGTTGTCAGCACAAACATACACACTCCCATGGTTAAAAGCTTTTGTCTTCTGTCACCTTGGAAAGGAGACAATAGAAGCCTCACACTGTTGTTAATTCAGAGCAGACGCAAGCTGGATTGAATCCAGACACAGCCCTGCCCAAGGAGTCACCTACTAAGGCTGTGGGAAGTGGGGGGCTGGGGGGGAAGTCGGGTGGCTGGATGGAGGGATATAAATGGAATGAACAAACAAACATGCAAAGAAGGCCAAACTCTTCCTCTACTTTGTTGTGTGATGTTTTAAGTGCAGCGCTTCAACCCGCACGGATTATTGCGGATACAGGATCACATTTATTAAGCTGATTGTTGATGTTTGAAAGTGGATGCTCTAACAGGATGTCTCAATTTGTTCATTCAGCGCTGAATTATTTTTGTAGATTTATTCCTGCTACTGACACTAATCCTCACTTGCACAAACAAATAAATCTTAGATATTTGTTGTCACATGATTACACAACGAATGGTTTTTGACGTTTTAAGAGGTTTGCATATGCTTGTAATTATAAGAGTATCACTATTACATAAGACACTTTATTTGACCAAAGAGTGTGTATGCCTGTGTGCTGTGATGCGGAGAAAAGCTGCTCTGACAGGGGTGTATAAAATAGCAGCTCAGGGGGCAGACAGCGATGGGCTTAGTGAGATTCAGCAATGTGGAAACTGGCGTCGCACAAACTACTCTCACATGAAGTCACACTTACTGTCTCCGCCATAAGTTTGTACTTGCCGCCCTTTAAAAACCAGAACAAAATCAACAAACAGGCTGTTTAACTCATAAGCAGAAAAGAGACTTTCGATTTTCACGCTGGATTTGACTTCTTAGCTCTACAATAACAGTTTTTGTTGAGGTCATTTCATGGATGTGTAAGTACAGTGAAGCATGTTACATGTGTAGCCGCTTCAGTCACAACAGTTGATGAACTGTGGTCAGAGTGAACAGAGTCACAGTCAGGTCAAAGCTTTTGTTACTCCTCCTGTGATATCTGCCTCTCCATGTGCAGTTTGGGCATCATCTAATCCAGCTGCCAGTTAAAAAACAAGCCATATAAGGTGAAGGACTCATTTCTCGCTTTCTCTTTGCAAACATCTGTTCATACATCAAGTCAGACATCCCCTAAACATTTCATATGAGGATGTCAACCACAAGCGCTGGAGACTTTTTACTATGTGGGATACTGCTCATTATTTGGCAAGAAGCCATGAGAAACTGCAGGTTAAACAGGAGCATACAAATCACAACAAACCAGTCTGTGTGCATTAACCTCTTTGAAAGCATGTTAAAAGAACAACAAAGAAGTGTTTTTATTACTGTCTACATGCCTGTTTTTATCATGAAGGAAAAAATTACAGGTTCTAGTTGAGGTGTGAGGACTAGCATACTTTAAACTATGAAAACGAGGTGGTAGAGAGCAATAAAAGCTCACCTTGATGCCTCTGGCTCTCTGAGGAATAAACTGTAAATACTTCACCTGCTCTTAAGCATGAGGCAAGACCGGCCGTAAAAATAAAAGTGTGGCTATATTTGGTAGAAATCACCTTGAAAACAGCTGCATTCACACTATTGTTGTCAGTAAAGCATACAAAAAGCCATTTCAGAGAAAAATTTCTGCCTCCTTCAAAATAAATTCTCAGAAAGTGTATATATCTTGACATCCTTGTGTTCATAAAGTAAGATGCTCCAGTGCTTTCTGCTTACACAGACACAGACACAGGATTTTGTTGTGTAAGATGGTGGGGGCCACATATACCCCCCAGTGTCTTGGAATGAGCTTAGTAGCGACCTCAGCAGTCATCAGGTCTGCAGAGGGGTCTGGAGTTAAGCAATGCAGACACATTGCTCAGTGCAGTAAAGCTCCTGGCTCCGGGTCTGATTTATACCGACTTTGGTCAAGGCTGGGGGTTGGTGTGGAATAGGGGGGGTCTCTCAGTCATTCTTCAGAGCCACTGAATGCACTTCTCAGCCAACCTGAAATTGATTTGAAGAAGGGGGGATCACCTATTTCTTTGCCCTTGTGACAGCTGCACAGAGGGCTCATTTATTTCCCTTATACCCCCTCATAGGACGCTCTGCCCCTTTGTAATGAAGATGTGACCTTCAGCGTACACATCAACCTTGATTCAGCTCGGATACCATAAGCATCGGGACGTTTAACATAAACACACACACACACACACACTAACACACACACTCACTGCAGGAAGACAAAAAAGGCGAGACCCACCCTATAGACCATCTATCATGGCTCTGACAGCAGGAGATGATGGTGGCTGGGGTGATAATAGCTACTGTCAGGTCTTCAGGATACAACTTTGAGTCAGAGGAAAAAATTCTCTTCAGTGATGGGTCTAATTTTAGAGGGTATTTATTCAGTGTGTCAGCAGCTCCTCCATTCACATGAACATTTATTATTTAGCCGTTGTAATGCTCACTAATGACCATGTGGAAAGTTTAATGCACAACCCGAGTGTGTTTGGCATCTTGGCATCAATCAAAAAAAAAGGCTGACTGATGTGAGGTCTGGACCTTTCAGAAAAGAAGAATCATCTCTTGACCTTTTCACTTCCTGACAGGAAGAGGAAAATACATGAACACCCTCAGGCTTTGGGAGAAGTTCATCTATTTCCTGATATAACAAAGTGAAGCATGAGACGATGTTGCTGTAGCCTTTCGGTTGGCAGGGAATCAAAGCAGAGGCGTGTGTCTTGGGAATGAATTCACAGTGGCGTGCTGAAAGCTCAAACACCCTGGCCACACTGAGGAAAAGGTGAGGCTTCTCTGTTCGACCCAGACGAACACTCCCGAGACACCTTGTAAGCATCCCAGTATTGTCCTGCTCACTCAGATAACAGTGCTCTCTCTCATGAAAGAAGGAACAAAAAACACCATCATTTCCAAAAGTATACAGTCCAAAATGAAGTTTGACCACATATAGTAATCTTACACTCACACACACACACCACTATCACATGTCTCGTATTTACACTAGATAATGCAATCCCACATTTAAAAAAAAAAGATGCCTTCATATTTCCTCTTCAAGTCTGTCATGCAGTTTGGGGGCGCGATAGATTACTCTTAATGTGGAATAAGATGTGATATAAAAACTGTACATGAAGAGAAGGCAATAAGAAAAACTTATATCTATTATTTATATATATACTATATATGCAATTTTATTTATAACATAAATAAAAATGTAGAGGAACATGTGGCTCATTATGTGACCTAACAGACTATATATTACACTTCCAATGATTCCAGCGGTGGTGGTAGCTCTCTCATACAATAACATGGCTGACATCATTCAGAGATTAATCCAGTGAAGGCGGCCCCAATATAAATGTTCTCTGACATAACAGGCACTTAGCTTGACAGGGAGTATGTCCGCTGTCTTTATACTTCATATATTTTCTCTGTTATGGTTTTATATTATCTACATTTAAGACTTGCATTAAGCCTTAGAAAATCTTTGGTTTCTCTTGTAGCTCTTTGTGTTCACATACATATATTGGACCATTAAAACTGTGTGATTTACATTCAATATTTATCTTGTACACTATACAATAATGTGCCTTACATTTGCAATAAATACATATACAAATATATTGTTCATGACTGTACATGGAATGCAGCTGAATATCTCCTATCTGTCTCTTTCCTGTGTCTTCTGCTTGATATTCTTGTGTCGTTCTTTCAAGACAGGAAGGGACTTTTGTGTACCTCATATGCCGTGTTTGTGCAGAATACAATCACATAATTGTGTCCCAGTTGTTGGAGGAAACCTGGATTGTTCATTTGTATTCTTCCAGGCCCAAACCCTCCTCCTGTCTGCATTAACCCCTGCTCTTCCAGTTCCTCTTCAGGGGCAGTGTCCTGACTCTGCTGCACCATCCTCTGAGTCAATGTCCATCCATCTCCCTATGAAATCGCCATTGTTCTTTGGGACCGGATTCCCTCTGAGCGAATGTAAATACAGCCCAAAGCATCCGTCTCTAATCCACTTTCTTTGATTTAACAAAGTTTCTTCACATTATTAGATTTCAACTACAGCCCTCTGAGGGACGCTCCCACTTCTGTAACACCCTTGACATCCCTCTGTCTGTTCTCAGTCCAGCAGCAGTCTCTCTCTCCCACTCTGTTGTTCTCTCAATGTGTTTCTCATTCAATTTCACTCCGCCTGCTGCTTTGTTTTCTCTACATCCATAGCTTCGTCTGCTGCTTTGTATATTAGGCGTGCCGTAAGGCCATTAATGCTGTGATCCACCCCTTGCATTCCTGTAGCTCTGCTCTAAATGGGGCAGGATTTTTTTCCTCATATGAAAAAACAAAAGAGGAATCCTCCTGACTGCAACTATCAAGGCCATCTTGCATTGCAGATGCGCTCACTGACAGCCACTGTAAACTCCACGGTGCCCTCATAAAGTGGTGTTGACAACTTCAATGACACCCTTCCACGCTGCCTGGGTGGAGAGGACAGGTGATTACAGATGGAGGTCCTGTTGATAGAACAGCTGTCCTTTGTTGTTGGAAACATCTGGTGGAGGTCAGCGCTCTCTGCTCACAGCCTGTGACACCAGAGGTGGTAGTTGCGTCGGAGCTGCACGTCCTTTGCAGCTTATGCACGTGCACACATAGCTGTCCCTTTTTTCAAACATGTCTCTCTGCGTGCTCGCTTCTGTCGCATTAGTCTCTGTCAGTACAAGCTGTCCTTGGTGGTGGATGTGTGTGTGGTGGTGGAGTCGTCGGGCAGGGAGCCTCGGCGGCCTGGTCTGGATCGACAGTGCAGTAAGTCCTGCAGTTCTCTGGACACGCTGCTGGAGAAAGCAGTGTAGATCCACGGATTGGTGCATGAGTTCAGACTGGCCAGCAGCATTAGGATAGTGAAAGCAACTCCTGCAGACACAAATCCACATTACAGCAGGTGCATAAACACATGTAAACACAAGTAGTGAATGGTTTATTTGCATGCAAATTTTCATTGTAGTTTGTCAGCTGGGACTCTTTTTTTTTTCAACTGGATACAAACGCTGACACAAGACTCCATGTAACAAACATAAATATGTACATTTACTATTCATTTAGAAAGTAAACCATCCCCATTCTGTTCGGCGCATTATTCTCTTAGAATAGCAACAGGACTATAAATACCCAACAGGGAAATGCCACATACATGTTCCTTTGGTATTTTCACTGCTAATAATACGTGTTATGTGTAAACTAGAACTTACTTCAATACGGTCAGTTGAGGACAATAGCCATGAACAAACTGGTTTCAGAATACAAAGCCGATAATGATCTGTGCTGAGTGTTTGTGCGTGTGTGGCAGGAATAGCAGCTGCCAGCCGGTAAGGACTCATTCATGTGTATACATACTTGTATCTGCATGGGAATAAACTTTGTATATGCATGTGTGTATGCCTGCGAACTGATGGGCTCTGCACCATGTGTCTGCTTTCGATTCCGACTATGTGTGCGAGCTGTTGGCACACATAATTGCTGATGAAATGTCAACATCTGGCAGCATTGCCAAATTAGCAGAGGGATGTAAACAGGTTATTTGCGGGCCTCTGATGTTTGTCACCAGCTTCAGATCAGAGGACACCCACCCAGTCCAACTATCAGCAACAACTTAAGGCTACTCTCTCCACGCTTACTCCATCAGTGGCTGCCAGGAAAGACACCAACAGATGCTGTTTGAGTGCCAGGGCTGACATGCAAGAGGGGTCTAGTTGTGGGTTGAAGCAAAGGTTTTTTTTGACCTCATATTTTTCCCACTGTTACCACATCTGAGCTGGAGCTGGTTTCCCTGGGAAGAAGTGTCAAAAACATACACAACAGCATTGATCTGAGCTTGTTGTAGCAAACCAGACTGTTTGTATGGCTTTTGTTTTTGACTGCTTATATTGCAAAACAAACAGGGGTTACTCATTAAGTCCAATTAAATGGATATGATGGGCTTAAGAGGATAAAGCCATTTGAGGAAAAACAACTTAAGTGATTCACTGGCAATAGTTGCAACTCAAATGTCTGTTTCTGTTGCTCAATGAGAGAGGTGAGTGTTTCAGCGCTGTGGGTAACTAGCAGTGTGTGTGTGTTCATGACTGACCCTGGTTTGGAGGGTCGGGGTCCCACGCCGCCCAGAGCTGGACGATGAAGAAGGGGGACCAGCATATGGTGTACACCAACACGATGACAAGGGTCATTCTCACCGTCTTCGACATGGCTTTAGTGATGCTCGGAGGTGGGGTGGAAGGACGGTGAGGTTGGACATAGTCAAGGGAGCATCGCGGTGAACCTGAGGCCAGCTCACAGGACACGTACGACTCCTGGCATTCTGAGCTGTTCGCTGTTTGCTGTTGTGTGGAGGATGTTGTTGTTGTTGCTGTCACAGCTTCACTGCAGCAACTGTTATACTGAACAGCGGAGGAGACATAGTCGTAACACTCTCCTGCTTGGCTGTTATGGGTGTTATTGTGAGGGTTGTTATTCACACCCTTTATAAGCTGTCCTCCTCCTCGTCCACCTCCAGCAGACGCCCGTCTCCCCCTCTCCCTCGCCCTCTCCTCATCCTTTTTGAAGCTGTGAAAGCGGAAGAGGACTTCATTTTTCTTCAGCTCAGCCGTCACCATCCTCTCCGACTTCAGGTAGATGTTATTGTGAATCTCGCGGAAGATTCTTATCTGAAAAACAAAAGTAGGAATAATGCAAAGAGAAGCCCGGGGAGAAAGTACATTCCAAAATTCAGAGCCCAGAAGGCCTGGGGATAAGGATTTTACGAGTGGCACGTGCCAGAATCAGATGGCTGTCTTTACTCTTTGCAGACGATCCTGTTTGCATTTCTGCTTCAACAGCAAGAGGAAATTTGAAAAGTGTGTGTGTTGGCCCTCACCATCTGCTCTAAAGCACTTTCAGACATTTTTATTCAATGCCTCAATTCCAACACTGTGTTATAATCAGAGGAGCTCTCATAAAATTTTAAAGCAGCGTAGTTATTCTTCTCTACTAGGAAAATAAAAAAAATCTTTGAAAATAAAATATGTAACTGATTTATATTTGGAACTCTATTTTTACAGATTTCAAGTTTTTGTCTTTTACTGCCAACTGTTCTCCTGCCATATTTCGCTTTTAAACTAGCTTTTTTTTCGCTTTTTTTGTAAGGGTGCATGAAAATTCCACTGCAATCCACAAAACCACACAGGTAACAGGGACACAAGTGAAACACGAGACTACATCAGCTAAGTGAATTCCTGAGCAACTTCCCTCTGCAGAAACGACATCATCCTTCAGTAAAGGTGTCTGAAGAGGCCCCTTGATTTGAAATTCGATAATGAAAAAAGGTCAGGGTTTCTATGTTTGGCTAAGATCTGGTACATTCCTCTTGCTGGCAGGAGGTTCTCAGAGTGGGCAGATTTTCTGAGCAGCAGTCTCAGCAGTGGTCCTCCAAGTACTGTGTTAATTAGGGGAAATAGCTAGACCCTGGAATATCTTTCCCTAAATAGCGCAGCACGGCTGATGGGAGCTCGCCCTGAATGCCTCCTTGCCATGGGATGCTATATAACACCGACCACAGTCATCCCCACGGGTTATCGGACAATGCCTGCCAAATGCACTCTCTACTAAAACAAAACAGAATTTCATTAATGCCTTCATCATTGGATAATGTTGCTAACAGCATGTGGTCTTTGTGGGCGGGGCAGAGATTGAGAGTCCAGCCAATAAAAGTACAGTTACCTGACAGATGGTGATTATTAAGGCTGGCAGCAGGAAGACCGCTACAGTCATCCAGGTGACGTAGGCCTTCAGCCCCCACGGCTCGGTAAAGTGACCCCAGCACTCGTACTCTCCATCATCCGCTTTTGTGAGAGAGAAGATGAACACCTGACAGATCGGACGAAAGGAGGGTGGTGAGCACTCCCACAGAGGTGACTATCAGTTTTCTTATCTATCAGCTGAACTGTAATGACCTCATCAGGCTAAAAATAAACTGACATCTTGACTGTTAATGTAGAAACTCTCATTTCCATTATCACCATGTGTTTTTGTGTGTGTGAATATATTTGACTGTGTTTGCGTGTCTGTTTCCTCCTCCTCACCTGTGGTATGCTGAGCACAAACGCCAAACCCCAGGCCACCATGACAGGGGTGTTCCAGCGGGACATTGCCCCCCCGCGGTAAGCCTGTAAAGGGCAGCAGATTGCATGGTGCCGGTCTACCGTCATGGCAACTATCATGTAGGACGAAGCAAACATGCCCACTATCTGTAAGTACTTGATGGAGCGGCAAAGCAAGTCAGGCCCTTGAAACCTCTCTGTGATGTCCCATATTAGCTGAGGAAGAACCTGAACACAGATAAAAAAGGAAACAGTTATTTATATGAAGTGGCCTCTCGCACTGTGGCGAGGTTTCCTAGAAGTAGTTCAGTTTATTTTGACAAAGACCTACAGCACACACTGCCCTGGCCTGCTGCACGTAACACTGTCTGGAACATGAAATGTGTGTCAACCCAACCTGAAAATAGTCCTTAACAATTGGACTCTCAAATCCAGTTTGAGTTGTGTTGTTGTGTTAGGTGTTATATCAAAGAAAAGAGATTTTTGTGTAATTTAAATCAAGTTATCAAAAGAAAAATAGATGTGTTGTGGATTTGGGTCAGAGATTTTTCCACAAGGAGACTAACTCAAAAAGACAGCCTGTTATTTGTTTAGGAGAAGAACTGTAATTTTTAACGCAATAATCTAAAAAACATCATAATCTTATCTTAAATCATTGAATATTTTATTTTCAAGAATTGTCACTTTTATGCAATTTTTTTTCTAAATGTCACAAAACAATTCAAATATTAACTGTATTTATGCTGTAATAATGCTGCATACAGGACATACTTCTTGTGCCGTATGTACCATATAACCTTTGACGTGTGACTACAAGCTTAGTGATCAACATATAACAGATGTGATTTTCTGAACTATTTGTGCATGATGTCATTAGCTGCAAAGCCTAATGACTCAAACTGAATATAATCACATCAAGGCAGAATCTGGAACGGAACATTTTTTACATTTTTCACATAATGAACGCCTCAACGCCTATTGAATTTCCCATTGGGGATCAATAACGTTCATGTGCATTACTTAACGTAGTTCTAAAAGATAATGAAGTTAGTCCGGCCAGTCTCATACTCTGCTTCTTTGTTCTGCTTGTTAGTGCAGTGACTCTTGAACTAACCTGAAACAGGGCCACCACCAGGTCAGCCACACACAGATTAACCATGAACACGTGCATTGGCGCATTGTGTTTCCTCCTCCTCAGCAGCACCCACAGCACGAAGCTATTCCCTAAGGTGGTGAGAGCCAGCACCACCCCAAGTACGGCGATCTCTGCCCGGGCTAAGTTGGGGTCCCTGCCCCGGGGCTGGGGCAGCGTGTGGGGTGTGGTGGTGGAACCGTTGTCCGGGAAGATCCCGAAGAAGGATCCCCCGCTGTGAGAATTATTGAGGGGGTTCGGCTCAGAGACAAACAAAGATGAGGAAGAGAAGTTGTTCCTTCCTGTGGCGAGCAGAGAGGAGAGGGCTAACCCATCCCAGTCCGTTTCCACACTGATGCTTTCCATTCCTGTAATACAAACAAAGTGTTAATGGAAGAGATCCAGTGTAAACCCGACGTTATTTTTAACACAATGCCCTTACGAAAACCCTTAGCAGTCAAACTGGTGCAGGGTCATAAGACCCTGATTTTATCTAAGAGTTTATTCACTAACAATTTACTTCGTCTGTTTATATCACAATATCCATTTTATACCAGTCTTCATATTTAATTTCCTCCACTTGCCCTAAAAGATGTCAGCTGAGGAGCCTGATCCTTTTCTTTTATCTGATCACAGAGAGCCCATTTTAGACAAATGTTGATGCAGATATTAATCACAGAGCATGTTTTTATTCACTTCATTTATTACATTCTCACATGTTTCACCATAAATAGCCTCCTTTGATCAATCCTAAGGAAATTAGACATAAATTGAGAAAAAACAGACACTGTTCCAATCATGCCGGCATGTTAATACTGTTGTGTTTTTGATGCTGTCTCCGAAAATTAAATAAGTCTTAGAGCATGTGTTTGTACATCTTTCATAGCTCTCAGCTCAGTTTGACGCAAGTCCAGCGTTGTTTATTTTCCTTCTCATATTTTCTCAAGGTTGATTTGACAGCTTTCCCCCTTCTCCATCCCACTGCTCTTATTCCTTCACCTCCACTCTCATAATCGCTTTCATCCCCCATACATTCCTGTTTTCCCCTGTTTTTGTTCACCCCAGCGCCCTCTCCAACTTTCTCTCAAATACCCCGCCACTTTTCCCCCCTCTTCCCTGACACTTGCACTCTCTCTAAATCTCAATAAATTCTACGTTTGTTTTTCTTTGCTTATAAATAAATGTCTCAAAAGGAACCGAAAACTGATAGGAATGAGATGTCAATTTAGAGAAACAGAGCCGTGGGATGCTGGGGGCGTCCTTGGTCAAATAAACGGCACGTACAGAGAGAACGTCTGGGGGGGAAAGACAGGAGATGAGTGAAGAGAAGGAAAAGGGCAGAAAAAGAAAAAAAAAACTATGTCGAAAAAAGGTAAAAGAAAGAGAGATGTAGAAAGAGGAGGATGAGATAAGAAAAGAGGTCAAATAAAGCTCTAAGGAGAACTTTGCGCTTTCACCATGAGTACTGATTGACACTTATGATGATGAGCTTTTTGACCAATGTGTAAGGAGTGGTTAGGTACACAAATGATACACAGGAAAAGAACTTGGAAAATTTCCACCACCAAAAATAGGAGGAGAACGACAGTGATAGTATTGTGCAATTTAGCATGACTAACATGGCATTACAAGGTGGTTCCCACTACTCCTCAGAGACCTAATGGCCAATTTGCCAGTAATAGCAAACTCACTGCTGGGTGTGTGAGATAACACAGCTGAGCACATTGTCAAGCGTTGCATGTCGGCTTTGCCAGAGGAATGTATTCAGATGAATGCATGACAAGCCAGGCCAGCTGGACCCCTCCACCCAGCATGAAGGCAAGAGCTGTGGGTGAAAGGAGGAGAAGCTGAGTGGAACCGTTTCTCTCGAGCCGGCATCTTTGGTTTAAGTGGATCCCGCTTTGCTGGAGTCCACGCCGAAACACATGGCTGAGCTAAGTCCGGCTCCGCTTTGTATGCACCAGTTACGTTAGTTTTTAGAAGTCAGCTCTAACATTTTCAGTGCCAAAGGGGTCAATTTGATCAAAGCGTGCAATATTCAGTCTAATTATTTTACTGTTTCAAGTTTGTATTTAATTACGGCTTCAGACAACAGGGCTTTTTATCATCAAGGGATCTGTGGCCCCTCTTCGTCTGTACCTGAGGAGCCTTGTGCCCCTCTCTGTAATTACAGCACAAATTCATAAGAGGATTCTTTGTGCTGCTTCGTACTCAATATATAATCTAATTATGTATATTTGCCCATGTGACACATCTCAGATGTGAAGTTTCTCCGTAAAGATAAGGAGTGATGAAGTTGGGAGGTGCTATAACTATAGAATAACACTGATATGAAATGAATATGGTGACAGTAATTTTCTTCAGTGAGATTAAATAAAAAAAAAAAGCTTATTAACTGTTCAGAGGAATATCCTGTGATGGTTTTATCTTTTGATTAAATAGGAGACATCTTGTGAGGCATTTACTCCAAATTCAACTATCAGTCGCTTCAATTTAGATAACTTCTGTTTGAGCCTGTTTTTCCCAAACTCCGGATGGACACAAAGAATTTCCTCCCAATACGTTCTCATTTGCATGACTTAAGCATCCAAGAAATCGAGATTGATTGTTTTCGAATTGCTCAACGGCTCAACAGCAGGAGACCCACGCATCGCTCCAAAGATCTGGCAGTGATTTTTTCCTGCCCTTAGAGGAAATTCCTCACACTGAGGGTGCACACAGAAGGTAAATATTGTCTGCAGAAATGTCCTGGATGCTCTTCAATGTATTCCCTGTCTCTAAAAATGTATTCTGTTTTGCTCTCTCTTTAATAACACAAGCAGCGCACAGCATTCCCATCTGTCCGATCTACTTAATGTTCAGCTCAAATTATTCCATCTCTCTGTGCCGGACAGACCATAGACTCGGCTTTTAGTATGGTAAGTGTGGTATGTAGCTTCCTCCCGTTGCTTTAAAGCTTTCACTGTGATGAATGATGGAGTCAATTCCTCTTCCTTTCCTCTATAGATCCCAACTTTTGTGCAACCATCCATTTTCAAGTCCTCCCCATCCGTTTCGTTGTTCCCTCACAAGAGTCCATACTGCCTCAGGGAGGACAGAAACAGGTACTTAAAGATTGCGAAAGCATTAAAGCTACCAAACATTCACATCTCTCAACATCTCTGTCACTTCTTAGCTGTCGGCATGTGTTCTTGTCATTTTCTTGGGGAAACTACGTCATGTTGCAGCTATGTCCAGACCCATACTGTTATTTTGAGACTCCTCTTCTGAGGTAAAGTAAGTTCACCTATAAGTGGAAAAAAAGGCTCTGAGAGGAGAATATAAACACTTCTGTATAATTCTGGGGGAGTGACTGACATAGTTAGTCAGTGTGACAAGAATTAGGAAGTAGGAAGTAGGAAGAATGTTAATAGGTCTGATGCAACACGAGTAACCTGAGATGATCTCTGTGAGTTATATTTATTGACGTTGCTTTAAAATTTTTACTCACTAAATAGAGTAAGGATGTAAAGTAAACATTTCTAACATTTTTTTTAAATTTAGGCAAAAACAACCAACCTGTATGTTTGCAAATGTTGGCATTTCGCTTATCTTTTTTATATTTTTCATTAAGTACTGTCTGTTAACATTACTGCATGTGTCTTGTGAATATATGATGGACCATTCTTAGATTTTAGATCACTATATTTTATCATTTTCAGCTGACAAACAACACCACTGTTTTCTATTGTGTGATCTTTGTCTAAATTTCACAGATAATTTTTTGGCCTTCATTGGCGAGGAGAACCAAAGAGAGGCAGCAAATGTGAGAAATAGAGAGCAGAGACAGATACGCAGCAATGACTTGAGGCTGGGAGTCAAACCTATGACCACAGCGGTGAGTATTGTGTCCTCTGCACATGCAACACACACTTTGACCATAAGCCTTGTTTTCGCTCTGATTTTATCAGCAGACCTGACATTGCACAATCTTCAGGGGAACATGTAGTATTTTGGTGCGTGTCTGATGATACATTCATACAGACTGATTAGAGATCTGAGTCTTAAATATCCTATTGTCTGTAAAAGTCTGTGAATTTGGATACATGACGCCTCTGAAGCTAAACCACAAGATTTTGTAATGCATGAGTCGACTAAAACAATGGATATTTGTAAGTGCAGTCTAAATGCATTTAAATTTGGCAAATGAGCAAATAAAAAATGCAAATCCACTCCTATGATCTATTATGTAATGGATATACACATGATTAGATTGATTTTTTTTTTTTTTACACAAAACCAAGATCTGAGTAAGAATACAAACATAAGGTGGCCTCTTACAGATGTGCACAAAGATCCAGAAACTTTCCCAAATATGACCCGAGAGAGCTGTATGTGTAAACAGCACAGTCAGGTAAATTTCTGAGCGAGGGTCCCTGAAATGTTCCTGAAATTTTCCAGGATGGGGAAATGTCTGAGAACAGCTTTAACCTCTTGTGCCTACTCACTCTCTCTTTTGTCATTTGATGTCAAAATGTTTCCTCTCTCTGTACTGTCATCCCATTCCTGGTAGAGACATACATTTCCCTCACTCTCTCATACAAACAGCCCCTTATTTTGTATCTAAGGACCTCAGCTGTTTGTTTGCCAACTCAAGCTAATCATCATGAAACAGCAGTGGCACCAGAGGCAGACAGGTGTGTAAGCACTGGGTGCAGTAATCCAGACATAATGAAAGATCCATCACTTCCTGTCTGTCTTGTGAGTGCACGCTAGTCCTTTGATTAGTTCCCATTGACCAGGTTTGACCTAATCTGATTAATGAGGACCTCTGTGTTCTTATTAGCAGTCCAAACAGGCTGCAGTCAATCTCCTTCCTTTAATCTGCTCTTCTTCCTCTTGGCTATTTCCTCTCTTACCTGCTATTTTCAAAAACTTTCATTTTTCTTTTCACCCACTCTATTTCTGTCCTGTCACTCAGGTTCAGAACTGCGGGGGAAACTCTCTCTGATATGCTTATTATGCTTGTTTGAGTTCAACTATCACCCATTTTAATAGACTTCGGCAGCATGAAAGTGGATTAAAATGGTGTGGCTCAATCTGCATCTGAAAATAAACCCATAAATCCTGGTTTTAGATCACACCACGTGATGCTCTTCAGCTTTGCTATTCCGTGCCTCTTTTCTCAGTATAGCTGGAGACTTTATTTACATATCAATCAATAGGTTCTTACACAATAAAGGTCTGGGTGAGGTCCACACTCTGGGTCCTTCCGTATATCATCTGCATGATAAAGCAAATGTGACCACACTTCACCTTTAAGACTGCACGTGTCGGTAAATCAGATCCCCACCTGCACTTTCCCATGTTGCATAAATTCACCATAAATATGAGTACCATTGGTATAAACTCCTCATCTAAATGAGTCATTTCAGTGGCAGGTGGATAGGTTATACATTTCCATACTTTCAATTGAAGAGGGAACCTGCTGTGCTGAACAGAATAAGAATTATGCCTCTGTATTCTTGATATACTCTTTTTTTTTTCAGAGGACGTCTCTGCTGCAGACTGCTGCCCATATGAGCAGTAAAAGTCAACACTTTGTTCTTTTACTGTCAACAACCCATTAAATGTTAATCATGTGGGACCACACCTCATTGCACACACTGATACACTCATTACTCGCCCACATTTCTGTGAGAGTGTGTGAGTTCTGCGGTGCACTACATGAGCTTTGTATTCACAAACATCACAGTGAGTTTATTTTCACAATACACCAACCAGTGGTCAGAAGTCACCGTGTCAGGTGTTGAAGAAGGTCCAAGTCCTCTTATCAGCACTGATAAAGCTAGTTCCTAAGACCACTGGCCACTGTTTTTCTTGTTATGTATCATTAACCAGCACACTGTCAACAAGCATGTGCCCTAAACAAAGCAGGACCTTTTTGATGCCAAATGACTGATATAAAATTTAGAGCATGCCCCCAGAAGAACTGAAAGTGGGCCGCTGCGTTACAACATCAACATCAGCTTGAACTGGCTCCCGAGGTTTGTAGCTGATATGGTCGTGATCTGTGTCACATGCTGGAATGAGGACGGTGGAGTTATTTGCTGTTACGGGGAAATGAACTAAATTGACCATGGAAATAACAGTTATGATAATGGTGTTGATTTCCCTGAAGGGGGCTACAGTGAAAGAAGTCATTTTGTGCAGAGTGTTGAATTAGCCAAACATAAGACAGACTGATTCATGGTAATAGGTTAAGCTAGTTATGAAACAAGCAGAGATGGTTATGCTTTTACTGACACCTTTTCTGAAATATTAAAGCAAAAGAGGTCATCAGTGTGAAGATGGACTTTTTCTCTGCTGACACACTGACAAAAAGAAACTTTAGTGATTTATTTCACTGTAAAAAATCAAGTAGGTTAACATTTTTTATTCTTTTGTGTGTGTGTGTGTGTGTGTGTGTGTGTGGGGGGGGGGGGGGGGGGGGTCGGCCTTTATCTAATGGGATGGCTCAAGAGAGACAGGAAATGTGGGGAGAGAGTGAGGGATGACATGCTGCAGGAAATGCGGTCAGAATCAGGAATAAATTCTAAAATCAGGGCAAGGGTGAGTGTGCATGGGACACTTGCTACCAGGGGTGTAGCACCAAATTCTGGGCTCTGTACACTCTCAATGTCAGTGGGCCCCTATACATGAGCAAAAAGAAATCAGGATTTTCATGAGCCCTTCTTCCTACTCGGGTCCTGGGTAGTCAGGTCCACTCCCCCCCCCACTACCACGCCCATGCTTGCTACACCAACTGAGGTAATTCAGTGTCCTGCCAAGATACATACCCCTGTAAAAAAGTGTGTCCCTTACTTAACTAACCTCACCTCACCTTTACTCTCGCCATGACCTGAAGCCAAAATGAGGAATGACACAATGCACATGGATGCAGGACAAAAGCAGACAGAGATAGGAGGTGCTGCTTGGGCCAGAGAGGTGCCAAATGACACAAACCAAGAATCCCACAGAGGAGCTTTAATTGTTTTTAGTCAGATCCAGATGAAAATTAGAGCTTTTAATTATCTTGTTAGCGCTCAAGAGACAGAGGAAGTTAGTTGTGATCCCACAAACATAAATGAGTAGAAAATTAAGTTGTGAATTTTCAGTCGTGCCTCACGAAAGCTTTTGGCTTCTGGTGATCATATTCATGTTTAAAAAATCATAAAAGTGCTGCTCATTGATAGGAGTCTTACATAAGGCACCATTTAGACAACTTAGACATGTCTGCTTCCAAGAGAGCATGTTTTCTGCAAAAACCCCAAACCAAAGAAAATTTTCATGGACTTTCGTCAATGATACTGGACTGGCCTACAAACTATGTCATCTCTGCAGAGACGGAGAATCTCCAGGCTTCACAAAGACGTGTTCTTGCTGTCCTGGGGAACTTTTGGTTTCCATTAAAATATTACGAGATCGGTTTCTCGTTGTGCTGATCTTTTCAAAGTCAGTCAATATATCAGTCATCTTTGAAGATGTGTGTAGCATAAACACGCAGCCAGTCTGGTACATATCGCCTTTTATCCTTTTAACACCTTTGATTCCCCAATTAAAATACGGGCGGCACGCAAACACCCACACACAGAGAAACTTACACACAAACACATTAAAGAAGAGCACACCAAGGTGATGAGTGTGTGTCCATCTTTCTTCTCTCACCTTGATGTCAGTGCATGGTAAGCTTTCTCACGCGTGTCCTTTTCTCCTAGCGTGTCTCTGTGACTGTGAGACAAAAGCATTAAGAGCTGTCACCATTACAGTCCATTAACATTACATGCAAGAGCAGATCACATTAACAAGCTGACTGGTCTCTTGAGCTTTTTTAATCCATGGAAAAACTTAGAGGACCGCATGAATTTTCAATGAGACCGTGTGAAAAAAGATCTCTAATTAATCCTATGAGTGTGAGACATGATGTCTTTGTGAATATATATCAACGTCACATTTAGAAGACGCTTTTGTCCTGAGACGCACAAATTCAACAACAAATTAAAAGACTGGCAGTAAACACAAGTAAACACACTGTTCAGACATGACGTGAATTAATCAAAATCACAATGTTTGGGTATTTTTTCTGTTCCATAATCTGAATGAGAAATTTGATGATATAAACTGAACAAAAACAAGAGTACAGAACCCTGTAAAATCATGCTTAAGTCATATATTATGTTTTAATGACTTGGCAAAATTAGCCTGTCTATTATCACTGAATTAATCTTTTTTTCTCTGATTTCCAAAACATAGGCTACTGTTATGATTTTGGTAGCTTTTCTTAGAAAAGTGGTTTATTTTTCTGTGGGTTTACATAATTTATTATTTAAGGACACGCTGTTATATTAACATTATGAAGGTTAAACTAAACAGTGAGGAAAGATTAATGATACTGATTGAAGGATAATGATAATATTCAAAATAATTTATACAATCCTTGATCCAGAGCTTGAGTTGTATATCAGTGCCACATCCAGACACTGAGAGATGACCTAGATTGATCAGTAAACAAATCCATTCCCACACAATCTGACAAGTTTGAGGTCCTCCAGACCTCATGGCTCTTAAGTGCTTTTTAGGATTTTTCTTTCTGAATTAATGAAGGCTTATTAATAGACTTGTAAGTATCAGTGGTATCAGTACTAGCACAGAGTAAATAAAAGGCACTTACCCAATGATCCACTTCAGTGCTGCAGTGGGACAAGAAGCTATCAGAATTTCACCTCAGACAGTCACATCTCCGGTGCTGTCAATCCACTCAGTCCTTGAAAAGCTGGCTCCTGTGTGAAGCAGGTGAACATCAAACATGAAAATGATCGGGAAGTTTCTCCTTTAATTCTGTCACTGTGACATCAACGCTGTCTGCAGGATCCGTACAGGTCCTCTGAACGTCTGGTGCCCGTATTGTCCTCACTGCGTTGGAGTTCACAAGTCTATGTCGGAGTAATCCATTTGATAGCCATGCGTGTCCCGGCTCCTTGTGCGTCACGCTGTGCTCCTGCAATGTGCTGTTCCCCTCCAGCCCTCAGCAGCAGAAATGAATCCGAGCTCCGTGCGCTCCAACCTCCCCCCCTCTCACTCACCCCTCCCTCCTCCAATATCCCCTCCTCCTGGGTCAACCAGCCTGTCCTCTAGGACTGAGGGTGGAGTGTGCAGGCAGGAGCGGAGGGGAGGGTGTTATACATACCTATAAAGTAAAGGAGAGAGAGAGAGTGTGTGTGTTAGAGAGAGAGAATGAGAATAAGAAGTAGGTGCACGGTGACAGAGAGCTGGCTTCCTCTACTTCTCCACGTGATGTATGTGTGTGTGTGTGTGTATGTGTGTGAAAGTGCATGTATATGTGTAAAGAATATAAAAAAACTTGTTTTGATGTTAATATTTGTGGGAATGAGTTTGCACGTGTGAGGCAAAGACAAATGAAGGGGGAATACAAAGAGGCACCTCCCCTCATTGTAATGATTTATGCCTGGTATAAGTCACTGCTAGTGTTTTTATTCAAAGCTCTCTCCTGTTTTGCGTTCTTTCGCCTTTCATATGCTTTGTTGCCGGTGGACAAGGGCTGCTGCTCTTCCACCTTTCCAGGAATGCCAACTGGCTGAGTCAGCCAGGCCAGCCGCAGGTCACGCCCTTGATGAACACAAAGAGCTGTGAAGGTTAGACAAAGGGAAGAAAAGGAAATCTGTCTTTTAGATTTGGTGACACCATTTTTTTTCTTTCATGCACATACTGTACACATGCGTGTATTGGGAGGGAAACACACTTGGCATTATCAGATCATTTACAGGTGTGCATAACAAGGAAGTTCATGGATTTACGTGAACACATACAGGTTTGGTACACATCCACACAGAAAAATCCAACCCAACAGGCTCATGGTGCCAATAAACCAAGCGTCAGCTTCTGGTGTGAAGAAATGAAGCCGAGGCGGAAGGATGAAAAATTACAGTCCTTAATGTGACCTCTTGAGACTGACCCAGAAAAAACTTTGCTGAGCCTCAAATTAATGTGTCCATTTTTAAAGCACAGCTTACTATGTTGACAACTGTATTTTGGTTTCTGTAGGAGATTACTGAATTCTTAAAATCTACAAGGTGGATGAATTGATCACAAGTCATCTGTTTTGATTAAATTTAAATCAATAACCACAACTGGCAGCATGGCTCATCTGACTGCCAGGTGGTTTCATTGTAGCCACCAGCCAAGATTCTTTCATCCCACCTCAGTTCCACCTCTCTATCAGTCTTGAGATTGGGCAAAAGGTAGTCAGAGTCAACAGGGGTATGAGTCATCAAGTATTTTATCATTCCCATTCAGTGCCTATGCAGCTCACAAACACACAAGGACACAAACACAGACAGCATGAAACACCCATGGGACGCTCTCTGTCTGTCCATCTAGCTTAAAGCCATTGATCTCCGGCCAGCGTGGCCAGGATTGTCCCATGATGTCAGAGAACCTGGCCACTCTTCCTCCAGCGGTGCTGCCAGGTTCACATCAGATGCCTCCCTCAGTCAAACTATGTCGTCCTGCTGCTGCTGCTGCTGCTTCTGCTGCAGAGGTGGAGCTGTGAGCTCCCTGAGAATCACTGTAACTTGATTATCCTGGCTCCTCTGGTCTTACAGGGCGTTTCGTGACAAAGCAGCAAAATTAATCCACAATCCACTTTGTTGGAGAAAAAGCTGCACATGACAACTGATGAACAAGAGAAGGAGTGGCAACAAAGGAAAGGTGTTGGTTCAAGGATAAATAAGTTTCAAGCTTATGAGTATACACCCTTTTAGACAAAATACGCCCTGAATGAAATATTCAGTTTGGGAACACAGTCACCAAAATGGCATTACTGTTCTTTATCAACAGGTAGGAAATGGCTTGCACAGTTGGCCACAGAGCAGAACGAATGCTTAAAAGGAATGTCAAGACCTTTAAATATCTCAATCTATGACAATGTTTTCCACAGAGATTTCTGGCTGGACATTCTCCCACATGTTGGGGCTTATTTCCAGCTCCTAGTATTGTGCCAGAAATAAAAATGACAGCTGTTTTCCCTTGAGTGGGGTCTCTTCTACAAAGACCTCTCACTGACTTCTCCTGGGGTCCTCTTTATCCCAACAGAGGTGTTGACAATCATAAAACATCTTGCACTGGGATTATGTGAATCAGCCCTGTGGTCAATCAAGAGCTCGCTGTTGCCAAGAGCAGAAAAAAAAGATGTTGGCTGTCCTGGAGTAAACTGAACTCAGTCCAAAAACAGTCAAGCAAATCAAGTGCACTTTTAAGTCCAAAGGGCTTGGCTTCGTTTCTTCTCAAACATGGCTACCATCAACCTCAGCAGAGGGAGATGAGGCCCAACTGGATGTTCACTGAGGGGGACTAAAAGTCAAACAAGGCTATTTGTCTCCCTGATGGACAATCTGAAGTAGGCCATGGCTCTGGCTTTTAAGTGCAGAAAGAAAAGAACAACACCTGGTTTGAAAAAGTTGGCCCAAAAAAATTGAGGAACATCTGAGAGAATCATTAACTGTCAGCTAGCCCATGAATAACACAGACAGATGAAGAATCTGGTATTTTTCCTTGTGTGAATCACTTAAAACCAGGAAAAGATTCTGTGGTGGATAACTTTGCCAATAAAGGGTTGTTTTATTTCTGTCAAAGGCCCTATTATCGTCATTAAAAACCTGAGTTGTATGCCATGACATGATACCAGCATGAATCACCTTTCCTAACTAACCCGTTATATTTTAAGTTTTATGGATCATAGCTGTTGTTTTTGAATAAAGCCACAGTGTTGGAAGAAGAAGTTCACACGTGTAATAATCTAGTGATTGATTTTGCGACTATCAATCTTGATTTTGGGTTGTACTTCTTAATTTCCAATTATGTTATCTATCTTACCTGCCTCCAGCCCAGTGCAATAAATACGACACTCATTTTGTGGGGTTGATAGCACTTAAGAACATTACATTTAAAAAATCAATGGTAACATCTCTTACCGGAAGCAGTTTTCTTTGGAAAGTACTCCGGCTAATTATCAGGGCCTCCCTCAGCATGGGGGAGGTTTCTTAGTGTAGAGTACTTCCACTGAATTTTACCCATAAATCAGTTCTGGGCTAGTTTCCTGAGGCTCTATTAGCCGCCCGTCATATGACAAATGCATATGTCTGACTGGACTTTTAGTTGAAGAGTTGCAAAGAGTGTCACACAGAGTAGAAATATGTTAAAAATAAATATGTTTGTGGTTGCGGTCCTCTGATTTTGGTCCTTTGAGAAGTCTTGCACTTTAATGTTGTTTTGGTGTGGCTCACTCGAAATCTATATTCCTTTAATTGAGTTATTTTTCTTTTCCACGTTTTCCCTTTATTTCATTTGAAGCAAAAGTCTGCATGTGGTTTTGATTTAATTATCAATGAGTAGTGTTCAGAGCTGAGCAAATGCTTTTTTAATACCAGACTAGATTTTTCAAAGTGGCGGGGATAGAAGATTAATAAGGGGAAGTTTGAACTCTTGTAAATGAGGAGATAGGGCAGGACAGGAAGCTCATAATTGGGATGAAATTTGTGGTGTTTGAGATACAAGTGCTCTGTAAACACAAGTCCAGCTGTTCTTGAGTGCTGAAATTTTTTTCTCTGGTTTATCTTCTTCTCCAAGCGACATGTTTATTTCAACCATGAAGCCCACAGTGATGACTTCATTTGTCATATCATAGCAAACTCTGCATATGGTCACAGTATGATAGCCATAACCACTTTTCATTGAGGAATACGGCTATTATCTCTCAGTGCTTTGTCATTCTAATGGCTGCAGAGGACATAGATGAATACGCTGAATGCAAGACATGTGATTCTGCCATGCTGGATGTTAATGGACGCCTGTGAAGATAGATCTGGGCCTGCAGGAAGAAGCTGAATCGAGATTTGCCGTTGATGCATGATCCAAATCGTATGCATTTTTTTTCTCTGCATTTGTAGTGCTGCAAAGACAAATTTCCAATCCAAATCATTTGAATATATTAATGGAAATGGGCTTATTGATTGTCTGAGAAATGTAGAAATTTTTTCTCGCTTAATTAATGTACCTGTCTTTAAAGTGCTGCAGTTTCTTGAAAACCAGCAGTACAACTTTAGTTTCTATGGGGGAAAGTCGGTCAAGACTCTGTAGATGACAGATTAGCATATGGACCTCTCTCCCTTGAAAATATAACTCCACAAAAGAAAGGTAAACAAAAAAGAGAATTGTTTTAAAAGTAACTCTGGGGCACATCAGAGTTATCAGGACGTACTGTGAGTGTACAAAGGGATCCTGGAAACCGTCCGCTTTTGCAGAACAGTCTGGGATACATATGCACTTTGTGCAAACTGTCAAGAATTCACATCTTTTCTTCTTATCTTTATCATCTGTTTCTTCTCTTCTTTGTGGCCCCTCGCTTGGTTTATTGGTCCGTTCTTTCTGTTCAATCTGTCAAAGCTGCCTGACTGCTGGGAGGCAATGATGGATTTTTCTGTGTGCGTAGCAAACACACAAAAGGCTTAGAAAAAGGAAAGATAAACAAGAATGCAAATATATTGATGGAAAAAAGGAGGCAGGTCGAGAATATGCATAAAGAGGAAAGGGGGAAAAAAAGGAGAAATCAGTGAAAAGACAAAACAGTTACACAACGGGAAAGAGAGATTTTATGGTTTTAACCCAGCATGAAGATACTCAGGAAATGTTTTGTTTTGATTGACTAATGAAAGACGTTTTTAAGGATATGTAATTTAAAGCTCCATTCAGCAGAGGCTGTAACAAAAACAAACTTTAAAAGCTCTCTGCTGGGGAATTATTTACCTCCCTTTTTTCTCCGCACACACTTTTTGTCCATCCATCCTCCCTAATCCTGCGTCCCGTCTGAGTCAAACTAAGTGGTTGGGAACAGGAAAAACTGGACTGGGCTGTAAGTAGAGCGTATAAGATGGATAGAAGGCTCAGGGATGGTAGATATCTGCATCCTGGAGAGAAAAACTTACAGCATGAGGAGGAAGAATTAGTGGGATTAGCTGAAAGGAAGAGAGCAGGGTAA